CAAGCTTTGATAAGTAATATTTGTATGTTGAAATCTTTATAATATTAATTACTAAACTGTGGTAATAATTCTATAAGTACTACTCTCATTATTACTATGTACTATATTTTAACTGCCTCGTTTTGGATGTAGTACCTACTGAGGTCCTGGGGTCTAGTCCTTGGTCGAGTTTAGTCGATTACTAGCATAGGCGTATCCAGCTTTTGGTCATAACAAAAATTTATAACCCGGTCCCCGTGTTTGTTTTACCCTACACACTACACGAAGAGAAAAATCCGAATGTCCATTTTTATTTAGCGTACACATTTTACTATTGTTCAATAGATTACACAAGTCAGCACGCAATATCAACCAGATTTTTAAATACCTATGTAGGTACTGTATCATATGATAGACAAACAACTTACCCCGAATTCGCTTGAGTGCGTCCCTAGGTACCTACGCGAATTTTGTTCTCAATTTTATGGATTTTAATTTTTTTGACCCAATCCTAATTATTTACAAAAAAAATAAAAGTAGAAGAGTTTAGCTGTTACCAGGGTGCGCCGGCGTCCGACAGAAGCGGTTACCTACGAATAAATAATAAGCCAGGAAGTCTAATTCAGAACGAATTCCACACAAAAAGTGGCTCTCGTTCAAATCAAAACGACTCAAAATACGAATCACTTCTGAGGTTACAAGCAGACATGCTTGGTGATTGGTGTAACTTCTGACCGAAATCAGGGATTAGTTTGCGCGCGTGCTGCAATGTCTGTTATGACAGCTGAGTCATGGCGGCGTAGACGATGTTATACAATAAGTGAATCGGATCAAATCAATAATAAAACAATATTATTATTGTATAATGTTTTTTTATTATATTCAAATTCAAAATATTTTATTCAGCATTAATTTATTACAATTTTTTACTCAATGTCATGAGTCTACTACCAGATCGGAAAGAAGAAGCCTCAGACCTGAGAAGAACTGGCGAAAGAAACTCAGCGGGACTAATATTAACTCGTTTTCTTTTTTTTTAAAGTAAAATTATAATTTACAATATTACTATCAAGTTGGAGTAGCCTGGAGGCGATCATTTCATTCCCAAGGTATGCCATCTTCTATAAAATCATTTATTGTATATCTTTAGCACACAAACGTTCTTTAACAATTTTTTTGAATTTGGCGATAGAAGCCTTTTGAACATTTTCTGGGATCCTGTTGTACAAGCGTATACATTGTCTATAAAAAGAATTACTGACTCTGTGTAGACGAGTCACAGGCATTACAAGTTTGTGTTTGCTCCTAGTATTAATGTTATGCATGTCACACTTCTTGGGAAATTCGTGTATATTTTTACGGACGTACATAACATTTTCGTACACGTACTGAGAAGTAACAGTCAATATTTTTATTTCTCTAAACTTATTTCTTAATGACACTTTAGGACCTAAACTATAAATCGCACGAATAGCTCTTTTCTGCAGGACGAAAATCGTATTAATAGCAGCTGCATTTCCCCATAGTAAGATACCATAAGACATAATACTATGAAAATAACTAAAATATACTATGCGAGATGTATCTACATCAGTAAGAAGTCTTACTTTTTTTACTTGCAGAGCTGAGTCTACTCGCTAGCCCCTCAATGTGGGGGCCCCACTGCAATTTCGAATCTGTGATAATACCTAGGAATTTAGTGGACTCTACGGGTTTTAACACTTCGCCATTTAATATTACACCATTATCAACAAGTTTAACATTAGGTATTTACAAAATTTCATCAAAATCCCTCCAGTGGTTTTTCTGTGATGCGGTAACAGACAGACAAACAAAAATTCTAAAAACTATAGATTCGGCCTCTGTATCGATAAAAATGTTTATTTCAATAAGATTTTTCAAAAAATATTTAATGTGCAGATTCAGCTTAATTACAATTTTAATATACGTATAGATGAACTATCGATTTTTTTAATTATAAATATAAAATCAGACCAGATTTCGTGAGCCGTTGGTAGTCTCATGCTCAGTGAGATTGATCTCCAAAACTGAAATCGGTTTGGACGACCGATATTTATTAAAAATTAATCGCCACTGAAAAAATTAATCGCTAATACGATTTTATCTCACAACTAGCGGCTCATCACGTACGTTTTAAATAGATATAAATAGTTATTAGCCAGCGTTAGCCATATAATTTTTTTTTGTTAATAATATTGACAAATATTGACATTAATATTTATACGATTCTAACGTCACTCAATTGCCATCAATGTTTTGCCTTCCCGGAACCTCTCACTCTTACACTTAAACTTTATGGTATGGTATTAAAGTTCAAATTGACTTTTAAGTATTATTACGAATCTTTTGTATGGGAGTATAGAAAAGTGTTGTTTTTAGACTTTTTCAGGCAATTTTTTAATTTTTTCGAACCATCCGCGTACTTCAAGGAATATTCTAAAAAAAGAATTAGCGAAATCGGTTCAACTGCTTTCGAGATTTGCGCTTACCAACACATTCAGCGATTCATTTTTATATTATAGATATACAATTAGCAATGTATATTATCTGACGCAGCGGTAGCCCAGTGGTAACGCGCTCGCTTGGGAAACCTAGTGAAGCGAGTTCAAATCCCGGGTCTTGCACCTCTGATATTTTCATGTGCGAATCATTTCTAACATGATTACCATTTGCCTTACGGTGAAGGAAAACATCGTGAGGAAACCTGCATGTCTGAGAGAACCTAACAAGTTTTCGAAAGACATGTGAAGTCGGCTGACCCGCACTTGGCCAGTGTGGTGGACTATGGCCTGATCCCCCTCGTATTGAAGGGAGGCCCGTGCCCAGCAGTGGGACGTTAAAAAAAAGGGCTGAATACAATACTATCTATAATATCAACTATGTAGCAATTGTATACTATCTATATAAAATCGTACATAAAATATAGCTTGAAGTTTTCAACCGACTTCAAAATGGAAGAGGTTATCAATTCGACTGTATTTTTTTTTAATGAATACATCGAGACATGTTTGGAGCTTTTATTGCATTATACCTACTCGCAGCTTCTATCAAAAAATAAATCATAATAAGCCTTCATTTTTTTTTCGCAGGAACAAAATACTGTCCATATACTTGGTTGTGTGGTCTGCTTTGGCAGACCTGCCGTCGGGCGTCGTGGTTGAGTGCGTGATTCCGGGACGCCCTATTATGTATACTAATATTATAAAGAGATAAAGTTTTGTGAGTTTCTGACGTTGTAGGGTGTAATCTCTGGATCTACTGAACCGACTTAGATGAAATTTGGTAAGAAGACCCTGGGAAGGACATAGTATACTTTTTATCCCGGAGATCATCCATTAAAGGAGTGAAATGGGATGTGGAAATGGGGATGAAAGTTTGTATTGGGAAGAAAGCTAGGGACGAACCCGAGCCAAGTGAGAGTGAGTCGCTAGTATATTATAAGACGGGAGAGGTTCCGCTGGGTTTTATGTGTTGTACTGGCTTTTTAGCCGGTGAGTCCCACATAACTATTAAATACTTGTAGGTAAGTATACAGGCGGTATGCATGCGTAAATACATTTCCCAATATTCCCATTCCCAAAAAATGGGTAAAATAATGTTAACACTTTTGATCATCATATAATATTTTGAGAAAAGATCCACGGATTTAAATCTAAATTTAATATCCTCATGAAACTAAGACATTAGTTCCAAAATAAAAACCGTGTTCCAGACATTCAAAAAAACATTTATTTTTATTTTTCCATTTTTAATGTAGACTTAGCAGCAAATTTGTACGAAGAAAGTATTGTAATAAAATATTCTCTTCAGCCATATTAGTTAGTTTAATGCCATTGTTTATATGAAGATTATAAACAAAAAAAATATTAGTAACACTAAAAATCAGGTTTCAAAATTCAATTCTAACCTATTGAACTTATCAAATCAAACAAAATAATCCTTACTAGTAGCCGTTGAAGTCTTCGACCATCCAGCTTTTGGCCTCATCATAAGATCAGCTCGATCTCACTCGGAAATATAAACACTTGCAAAGTTTCAAATCAACATGAGTCACATATGCATGTAATTTAAATAAAGGTGAATATTTTTTTTTAATAATCTTTATTGCTTTTGAATGAAGCCTATATCAATATTTTTTTAATGATATTTCTTTTTGATTAAAAAAATAATTATTAAAAAATGCAAATATAGGTGAGAAATTCAAAGTAGTTGAAACGCACGCCATTGGTCAGACCGAATATGACGTCAAAGTATTATCATATCAGAGCGATTAGCGATTTTATTACTACAAATTGAGTTGTATTTTATACTGTGACGTCACGCCAAGCGCGCGAAATGGCGGACGTTTAAAATATCCGTATCGGTAGGATATTAAAAAAAAATTGTACTAAATTTAGTTTTTTGGAGCTGAATATTATATTTAGAATTATATAATGATTTCAGGTAGTGTATAAAAAAAGTCACACATACTCCCTATTAGAAATAGGTAAAAAATATTAGTTAGATGTGTTACTTTACTTATTAAATAAGAAAGTATTATGTTACTTTACTTGTTACGTTATACTTTAAATTTCATGGTTTTTCCAGATTTTTTTCGAAAACTCTGCGTCAAAAAAATATTATGGGACCACGGGTGAACATACATAAAAAAGAACAAACAGACAAACATAGAACCTCCTCCTGTTTGAAAGTCGGTTGCAAAAATAGTTTATATTTTCAAGATTTGCGTACTCCGATTTATGTTTAGTCATATAGTTAGGGTCATATTTAGCCGTTGGCCGACTAAACAGAAATAACATCTGGCTTATACTGTAAAATTAATTATTTTATTGTCTAAATACACAGCAACGTATCACAAAAGTAAATAAATACTAACAAATCATAACTTAGTCCAGATCAATACATTATATACATATAAAATTAAGGATCAGGATCCTTAAGGATCGTTCTAAAAATATGATGTGAGTAAAAAATGAATATTTAAATAATAAGTATAATTATATTCGACGTCTATATCCTCCCGTCAAAACCATCCAAACATGTTTCATCCTAGAAGTTTTCATCTTAAGACGCTCCACCTTAGCATCTTGCTTAAAAAGCAACCATTCACTATGAGTACCAGCTGCCATCGGCCCCCAAGACGGTTTCTTGTGAACTGATTTTTTAATAATCTAAAAAATAAATTAAAAGTTTAATATTAGTCATGATGTAGTTATGATATAATTATTTTAATTATTTAAAGCGTCTACTTACATCACCACAATTGCCCACTGATCTATTCTTATATAGAGTTTTTATCCAAAAGATAGGAACGAATATTACTCCCGAGAGGAGCATTAAGTAACCAGCAACTGTAAAAATCAAATATTCCTTTTTAATTACTTCTTCTGTATTAAACAAAGAACAGCTCTACTAAAGACAGACTTACTGTAGACAAGATGGATTCATACGAGTAGGAACATGTAGAGTTTACCTACTACATATTATAAAACGTGACTACCATAATATGAAATACAATATTCATATAATATGAATAAATAATATAATTATGATCATTTATATAAATAATATAATGTGCATCGTGCATACAATTTTTATCAAATTAAAAATTCTTTTGTAGGTAGGTAAGTTTGAAAGTGCAAAAGTTGGTAATTTTCCGTTGCTGTTAGGAGCCCTATGACTAAGCTTAGGCTATCCAGCCTTACGTCATATTTTTATATGGCTATCTTTTAAATCGCATTAGATAAATAGTAAAATATCTATTTCCTAATCTGACTAGGTACTATATTATAATGCGACATGTTTGTGTGTATGTTTGTTACTTTTTTTTTTGTTGGTGATTTTGGAAGAAATTGAGCATTCATATAGAGTAAGATATAGAGTAACAGAATGTTTAGAAGCAAACTACTGGTTGACATCTACGGGCACACCAGAGCGAAGTAACAGTAACTCGCTAGAAAGTAAAAAATATTGACCAAGTAATAAAAAAGTAAAAGGTTTATGTTACTGTTCTGTCATAAACATGGCATCGCTCTAGAAGTATCAAGCTCTTTTCTATATGAAGTTCCAATATTTTGGCAAACATATAATATTCACATTATGTTATGGTACGAAGTTCATACTTCTGTGGCCTAGTTCGATCTTTTTTAATAATTTATTTTTTACTAGCGACTCAACCTCGCTTCGCTCGGGTTCGTCCCTAGGATACTAACCATTTTCACCCTTTTAAGGGATGATTTTCGGGATACAAACTAGCCTATGTCCTTCCCAGGGTCTCAAACTATCTTTTTACGAAATTTTATCTAAATCGGTGTAGTAGTTTCGGAGCCTATTCGATACAAACCAACAAAAAAATCAATTTTTCCTCTTTATAATATTAGAATAGATAGCTAATTTTTACTATTTGAGGTTTTTATTGGATTTGTCGTAGAGATGAATTCTGATATTTACTTAATAAAATTAAATAATTAATGAAATATTTCCATATTTTTCATAACTTGGAGTAAAAAACTAAAACGAAATCTTTATAATTTGTAGTAAAATGTATCTATCTATACGTACTGTAAGCTGCAGTTGGATATTCGTAATCAGCTCCAAATATTAAAGGTTCGGGTACTGCTAAAGCATAGATAAATACGACAATCATCAAAGCTGGTGTAATAATACCCCAACAGAAACGCCAATATACTGATGTTGTTCTACCTAACATAAATTCTAAGTCCAAGCATATATTTTCAACACCTGAAAGATAATAAAAGCAAAGGTTAAAATAGCACAACAATTAAATTTCAACATATAAATAATGGAGAATGTAAATTATACGAGTAGCATTCGAAAAGCGACGTAAACTTCATATAATTATAGTCTTAATATATATATATATATATATATATATATATATATATATATAATTTAGTGTATATATGGCTATCACCCCGATAATATAGTGTGTACCTATATGAGTGAGGTTGTATGTAATGATTATATGCCGAGCAAATATAGAGGTGAAGGCTATCGGTCTATATTCATATCCGACGTGAGATCTCTACACGTGTGGTCTGAACATGAAATCCAGTTAGGCCCGGAGCCAGGTCAGCGTAGAGGCAAGTGAGAGACGGACGTAGGCACACTTGCATACAATGCTCTCAAAGTTCCCAAAGGTCCTCTAAATAATCAGGTCCAAATGCTGGTAGTATACGAGCACGTCTAAGGCACTCTACAGTAGTAAATAGTAATACTAGAAATGAAGATAAATTTGTTGTACCTTATACTAGGCTGCAATAAATTAATCATTCTTTCAAGGGTCAATGTATACGCCTTTATAATAAGGTCCCAAGCAACATTAAACAAATGTCTTTACATAAGTTCAAAACCGTTATTACGCAAAAACTGTGTAATAAAGCATATTATTTTGTAAATGATCATATAAATGACAAGTCAGCCTGGGACTGAACCTATTCTAAGAACTGTGATGTATTTTCTATGCAAATATTGAAAAGATACGTTCGCCAAGGTTTCTTGCGCCGTTTCTTTCCCTTGGATCATCATCATGCGCCTCATTTCCGAAGCGGTGGTAAATTTGGAAATTGTTTAGAATAAAATTAACGAAGTCATGTATTTCTTACATTCAAAAAAATAAAATAACCTAATAAAATAAAAAATAAAATAAAATTACCGCTGTGAAAAGCGCAAGGCCATGCAGTTGTGTAATTAAGTTTATTAATATTAATGCTAAGTCGAAGCAATCGCTTGTCATTTGTTAACTATAACATTATTTTACGTTTTAATTTATGCATGTAAAAAAAAAAGAAAGAAAGAAGCCTGCGAAAAAATTTAAAATAAGTCTAATTACCATAAAGTCCAAATATGCCCACGATTTCAAAAATACCACAGAAGAGGATCAGGAACGTTCCACCAAAGTAATCTGTCAGTTCGAAAATATATTGTCCACTCTGTGTGCAATGAATATCATAAGTTATATTGATTAACATATCTTCATTTTTGATTTTTTTTTTATCTCCATTTAGTCATTTTTTAGATATTCTGCTGTATTACTGAATAGTTAAGAAAGTTATGAAATAATATTATATATTACATACTTAAAGACGGAAGTGATGCATTAAAAAACGTAGGTTTTTAGTAACTTAATAAGTTTGCTCGAAAAATGTTTTAAAGAAATAACAAAATCAATACGAATCATACTTACAGGTGTAACGTATATGAGACCAGCGCCAAAACCGAGAGTGCAAGTGATGACTGACATGTAGATAGTCTTAACATTTGGGAAGCTGTCGAGCAGGATCGTGTTGACCGCCGTGACGAGCGCGACGACCGTGCCGAGGCCCAGTACTACCATCATAAGGAAGAAGAGAACTGAAAACAACTGAAAACAAAATATTTATTATTTATCACTTTCGATGTATGTATTTCACTTTAACTTTAAACAAATCATCGGAATTCCGATAGTGATATAATTTCAACGAGTTGTGATGTAGGTACGTACGGTGTGTTGTATCGGTAATTTGAGATTTATTAGTACATATAAACACAATGTAAAGTTAACATTAATAATTATGTATGTACATTGATACATTATGTATAAAGACAGATATCGTTATATATATACATAGATTATTATAATATATAAGAATTAAGTTACCTGGGGTTGGAATGTCTTGGCAATAGCGTCAGGATACGAAACGAAAGCCAGTCCAGTGCCTCCCGTGCCGACGACCTCGCCTACTTCCTTGTCTAGTACATACGCCAGGTTGCCCAAGATGCCGAAAATTGTTATACCAGAGAGCAAACTTGTAAATGTATCCAGCGTGGTGACAATCATAGCATCTCTGAAAAAGATAAAGTATAAATGTATTGTATAGTAAATTTAACATTCAATTAAGATTTATCTTTTTTTATTTCCGGCATATATGTATGTAATATGTAAATGCTTTACGGTCTTTAAGGCCTTGTAAAGATATATGATAATGGAGTTTTTTATTTATATTTAACTGTCAAGTCTAGACTCGCCGAATCGTATGATACATCACTTATAAATTAAAGCTAAGATTTTGAGAACTAAGGTAAATAGGTATTAGATTGTTATATTCGTAGAAGCTACAAATTTTAAAATTCCTGCGTATATTGTGTTTGTTTAATCCTTTATATTAAATAATTAAAAAATTGTTCTATTAAATCGATCGAGTAGTTTCTAAGATATTGTAGCAAGTAGCTTCTACACACTCCAACATATAGTAGAAGCCTTATCAAGAGGTAAGAAAAGACCTTTATCTTTTAACAAAAAGAAAATAAAATGAAAGTTAAACTGTATTCAAACAATGAACCGCAAATGTCGATTGTTTGCATACAAGAGCCAGCTTCTTGTTATTTCAAAATCATATCTGTAAAATAATAAATAATCTATCTCACGGGAACCGTACATTTTTCTGGTATGAAAAGTAACCTATGTGTTACTCCACACTGTTACTATCCAGATCCGTTCAGCGGTTTTGGCGTGGAAGAAATATCCATCGATGCATCCATTCTCACAAACTTTCGCATTTATAATATTAGTAAGATTTATTTATTCAGCATTCGTATACTATGATATTTATTACAATTATAATTCGTTAGTGCAATGTGTCGTAGTAGTAGTATATGCAATTTTGAATTTTTTTTAGAATAATCTAACAATAAAAACGTGCCTTACCTGTAGACATTTTGCCTAAAGTTATTATAAGAGGAAAACATAATCAGCGGTCCACTACATACAGAAAGAGAGAAGAAGACTTGAGTAACAGCGTTGTACCACACCTGTAAATAGTTTTTCGTTATATCAACTATATATAAATATGGTGCTAGCATTGACATTCTGCTTTAGATGTTTGTATGTTTACATATGTATAATCAGTCCTTTTTAACGTCCCAGTACTGGGCAAGGGCCTCCCTTTAATACGAGGGGGATCAGGCCATAGTCCACCACGCTGGCCAAGTGCGGGTTGACGGACTACACATGTCTTTCGAAAACTTATAAATTCTCTCAAACATGCAGGTTTTCCTCACGATGTTTTTGTTTTTCTTGACCGTAAGACAAGTGCTAATCATGAAAATATGAGAAGTGCGAGACCCGGGATTTGAATCCGTTTCACTCGTTTTCCGAAGTAAAAGCGTTACCACTGGGCTACCACTGCCTCTATGTCTACGTATACCTGCTACGTAAATGATAGTATATGAAGCTGATGAAACCCTTAAATTAAAAGAAAATATTACACGATGCCCGACAATTTACCTTTATATTAGTGAAAGGGCTCGAGTTGTTATGTCATGCATTTTTTTGAACAGGGAATTAATTATGTGGGATGGAAACCTTTACAGTTTCTAAAAAATTTATCGATTTGTTTAATTGCAAGTATGACTGTCCGAATTTCAATGAGAAGTTTTTTTGCTGTACTGGTATATATTATATAATATGCAGTATACAATAGTCAACAGCTCAGCAGCACACTCCCATACAATACAAGAATCACGTTCAATGGTTTTGAGTTAAACAATAAATAGACTACACAAACTCTTATAATAAATAGTAACAAAGGCGTTCATTAAGTCCTTTTATTTTCAAGCGAGCTTAATAAATGTTTGAAATTATAAGGCCGTATTGCAATGATTTTTTTAACTACAATAGCCTTAATTTAAAACATTAGGCTAAGTTTTATATCGATCCGTTGAATATGCATAATATAAAACAAATATTTACCCTAAGATCGATTAATCTATCCCATTGGGGAGTTAAAAAGAACAGGATGCCGTTTCCAGACCCAGGAAGAAGGAGGGTACTGAAAATTGTAATAAAAACACATTATTATTTTCCTTTAACAACATAGAGCAATAGTAATCGGCAACATTAACTTTAATAAAATTGATGCATAACTAACAAGCCGGAGAGCTGACTCCGGTGTGTTTTTAAATATACTCAATTCAGAGAGTAATAATACTAAGTTTTAAATGTAGCTTAACTGATTGTTTGTATATACAACTTTTTATGGTTTAGGATCTTCTATTCTAAGATAGAATCCTAATTTAACAGGCTTACATGTTAAACTGATGACATACTATAGACTGATTGGTCGTGCGGAGTGTGCGAGGTGCGACATAGGTGAGGCGAGAGACTGTTCACCATGAAAATTGGTATTTTTGACAACACTTGACAGCATTTCCGTTAAAATCAATGGAGGATTGTCTATTGTATAAATATCTATACAATGGTAATACAGTGAGTCCGTATACGCTGAGTTCTTTATTTCCCCCTTAGAAATGTTAACGCTAGAATTTGTCTCTATTATTTGTCTACGGTCGTTAGCAGAAATAGTATACGTATAGTAAGCCTTTTAAGATTTAAATGTGCTTACTTAAGACAAAGAGATATAATAAAGAGAAGTTACTCATATTCAAATAGCATCTGCACGACTTGCTTTGCACACTAATAGCTTTTTTTGTAACTGCCTCATAAAGTTCAATAATGTTATTCGAAACAAATATCTTTTTAATTCTTAATATATAATATACCTGATGAGAAGAATGATCATAACAATGTAAGGGAACAGGGCCAAGAAATACGCTGCTTTGCCAGAACTTTGGATGCCCCTTGAAATAATAAGGAAAACCAAAAGCCATGCGCTCAATAAGCATAAAGCCAGATACCAAACGGGCATTCCTGTGAAGTAAAATATTATTATTTAAACATCTTTTCATACATAATAAACTTTGAAATCTGTAATTATTAAACATATTTATATTACTTATTCCCTTTGTTAATATTTTATGTATTTTTTATTTTTATTTCGAAAAACGTAACATGCTGTGACAGATATTATGTTATAATATAGATTTGTAAAATATTTAGATAGTTATTTAAATTTAAATTTTTCAAGTTCTAGTTGATAAATGATACCTATACTAAAAAGCACAATTGTATATAACTCACGAGTTTTCGTTTGTTATTAAAATGTGAAGTTAAATAAACTCTATCTAACTTACCAAGACCATCTTCGAGACCATGACTCAGCTGAAGAACAGATTTGCTGTAGATTAAAAATCTTATATAAGTATATGCCCAATATTAATAATAAACATTACCAAACAAGAAAATCAGAGGTCTTACGTGAAATATAGTTCGGCACTGCTAGTTGAGTTTTCTGTCAACACGATATTTTCCGTCTGACCAGAAGGCACACAGTCTCGCCATTCGGGATCACAAACAGCCCATGGCAATGTGGATTGGAAGCTCATTGCAAGGTAATAAATACACAGTGCAATAATAGATACGAAGTAAGATAATATATAACAATTTCCCACAATCTGTGCATAGCCCACACCTGAAATTTGAAAATGAAATTTTAAATTGATAATATTTATACATAAAATTATACTATGAATCATTTTCTTGCGAACAATTTTGTTTGCGTCTTACTTTAAGCTAATGTGACCAATTTAAAACACAAATAAAAATCACTATTTAAAATACTTTATGATTTCACAGACGCTATAAACAGTTTTGTAGCTGACAAAAAAGTTATAAGTACAATTTCTGAAACAATCTATCAAACAAACATAAGCATTAATCAACACCTATTAAGTTATTATAATTCGTTATCATTCGTTTCCAAAATTAGCTTTTGAAACTTGTTTAAAAAAATGAATTAAAATAGAGAAAAAAAATAAGAAAAAAGATGTTTTTCTGTATAATTTAATATACCTTTCATTGCTGGGGCTAAGGCCCACAGTGAAATAACATTTCTAGAACTAAATTGTCCAAGTGAACATTCAAGATAGTACATGGGCTTTCCGATAAATATAAGTACTATAATATATGGGATAAGGAAAGCCCCCCCTCCGTTTTTATAAGCGATAAAGGGAAATCGCCATACGTTGCCGAGTCCGACTGATAGAGCGATGCAAGACATAAGGAATTCCAGTTGGCTTCCCCATTGTACTCTTTCATTTCCTGTTTCCAAGTGTCCATTTTTCTGCAAATAAATAAAAAAACTGTTTGAAAAACACTCGACGAATTAAAAAAGAATCATCCATATTAATTTTAAATTAATTAATTTAATGTTCTCCTGGCCGACGATGAACTGTGCAGGAGACATTATAATATACAGTGCAGCACGAATGTTCGAAGATATATATTATGTACGTGCACTCTGTATTTCTTTCACTGCCAAAATCAAAGACTCAAAGACGTTAGCAAATAGCAATGTTACAAAAATTTTATCTCTCTCGTCTCTCCCTCGTCTAATAAAATATTGTAATTTAAAAATAAATACAATTATTTTTACCTGTTTCTCATTATTCGGTTCGATTTGTGATTTATGAGGTTTTTGTAAAGAAGGCTCTGAGCTCTCAAAGGCGAGGTTTACTTTACCTCCCTTATCTGCAGTATCATCCTTTAAACAAAGTAAATCCAAATGTACTATAATTTATAATAGACAATTATACAATATATTATATATTTAATTTGTTTGTTGTCACATATTATGTAGTTTAAAAAATATACTTTAAAGTTCATATTTTATATAAGAAGATCAAAATTTTCAGCAGCCCTTAACTTATCGATATCTAAGTTGAAAAACTTTTATTTAGCAAATAATCTTCTCCGTACTTAAAATTAAATTGATTTTTTGACTCTTTTTCTAAGATAACTTATTGGTAAATTGCTGGGGAAATAATTTTTGCACAAGTAACAAAAGTAATAAAGGATTTTTCGTCGTGATGTTAGAAATAGGTAAAATTTTGAAGCCACTATTTATGCTATCGATGGTAAATAAATAAATAAAGTAATTAATGTTTGACTACTAAAATACTCATATGTTAGTTACATGGCGTTCAGTTAGGTACAACAAAATTGATAGTAAAAACACCAATATGTGTAAAAATTTGAAAGCAATCGGTAAATACTCTTAGAGGTTTCTTTAAACGAAAATCCCCAGTTTTACCGATATAGATAGTATTCGCTGATATATTATACTTATGATAATTTAACACATAAGTATCTTCTTCCTACTCACTTTCTAAAAACTACCTGATTAGCCTTTAATTATTAACCTTTCCCCAATTAAAGTAATGAAATGTTGTTTTAAGCAAATAAATAACATTAAAAGATAACAAAAAAAAATGGTATTTCATAAATAGTAATCGAGATCACCATCGCTGATTCGTATCATATAACGGTAAACTTTAACTATTTATTTACATTTTGATTGACTTATTACTTCAATAATTAATAACCTATTTAAGTAGTTATTTATGATAAGATTTTAATTTTAATATTTTAAATAAAACATCGGTAAATAAGCACTTAACAAGGTTTAAATACACGTAGGTACTCTTCACTATCAATTTATAAAATCGGCTAATAGTGCGAGTCTTTACACACTGGGAGTGTGTGGTACCACCGTAAACCTATATATTTTATTTATTATTATTATTATATTAATATGTACCTAAAAAAAACCTCATATAAAAATAACTGAAATTTTTAGTGTGAGTCCGACTTATAGATCCTTTCAAGCAGCTTTTAGTATTTGCAATTTTGCTTATGAGTTTTTTTTTATGTATAACAGTTTTGAAGATAGAGAAAAAAAGAAAGAAAGAATGAAAGATTTTTTTATAGTGCAAAACTGTACGCGCAGACACAAGTGCACTCTTTATTCCTTTTACTCGCAAAGTCCGATGGGACGATACTTCAACACGACCGGTGAGAGTTAAGGCGCAGGAACGATGGTTTTGACAAGGCTGATGATTTGCTGATGATGCTTGGGATGGCAGGAAGGATGGAGAGGCACGCTGGTGCAACACCGTTAACTTCCTAACTCCGGGCTACTACTGAGAATATCTTAACGGAAAAACTGAGTAATTAAACTTAGCCCGACCCGGAACTCGAACCCACGACCCGGATCCGGATCTGCAGCTGCCACTAGCCACTAGACCACTGAGGCAGTTTAAGTTTACTTGTAATAAAACCATTTCATTTGTAGGTCAAAGCGCTTTATAAGCTCCGAAGGTAGGTGTCACCGTCCTCTAAAGCCGCCATTGCTCTAGATTAGAGAGGTGACCCTTTGATTAAAATTTATGTCACATCATCATAATTTCGTAATCTATATAGATATTAACATTTATATGATAAATTGTATTACTATATTACATTACATAAATATTAATTACATATTTTTAATTGATAAGAGAGATATTGTGTTGTTGATTTGAACAAGAAAATTTTCTAGCTATCAAGAACATAAAATTTTATGTTGTTCAGCTAAACTGTTGTTAAATATTGTCAAGAGTGTCGAAAATTGCTGATATTATTTTTATATTTTCGCATCACACACTTAACGTATTGAACAAAGAAACTATTTACTTCCTATCATTAATTTAGAATGACATTATTTAACAAGTGTATAAATTTTTTTTATCTCGATTCTCACAATCAGACTAAATGCAGAGCGATTTAGTAGAATTTATTTAATTCATAGTCATTTTTAATTTTAGGAAATTCCGAATTTGAATTGTATTTTTTAAAACTGTTCAAATAAGCTCCGTTATCTATAAATATAATAAAATTGTAACTAAGCCGAATCTGTACATTAAATATTTTTTGGAAAATCTTATTGAAATAAACATTATTATCGATACAGAGGCCGAATCTATAGTTTTTAGAATTTTTGTCTGTCTGTCTGTCTGTTACCGCATCACAGAAAAACCACTGGAGGATGTTAGATTGGAATTAGATAATTACTGTGCAGAAAAAGTAGTACCTATCTAATGTATTATTTCTTCTTTCCTTTTCCATTTCATTCTAGATAAACGTAAATCCTTACAGCCCAAACTGGAAGAAGAAACAAAATAAGGCAACAGAGGTGATAAACTAAGGTGACAACTTCTTCTGTAGAAAGATTTTTTGAACTAATATACTTGCTACAAAGTACAAATATATTCGGGCTGGCAGAAGTTAAGAGAATGGGTTTTAATATTGAGGAACGTGAGACATTAAGTACATAAATTTTGCTACAAGGGAGAAACGCCTGGCTTAAACAGTGTTTGTTTCCTAATTAATCCCTCCACGACCGCGGACACGCCGGCGTGTCAGTTAACAATAGGTTTCTTAGAAATTTAATTAGTTTCTTAGAAATTTACCTGGAGGTTTTAAGAAATAAAGCTATCATTAATTTCTCAGCTCTGTTTGAACGTGTGGCGCCAACTACAACTCTCTAATACAAATATACACATCTACTGAGAAAGCTACGGAAAAAGAAATGAATGTCTTCTACGAAACTCTACATACAATTACTTTACTAATAACAAATATATAAGCTAAGAATGGAAATAAATGAATGGATTTATTATTATTATTTTTTCTAATGTATTATTTAAATTCTCTTTTTATTGTTATAATCCCAAGGTAAAGGACATTTATACGATAATTGAAATTTTAAAATATATACATGACCTTAATTACACCGCCATCAACATCATAGTAAATTATAAAGAGATAAAGTTTGTAATTTTGTGTAAGAAGATAGTTTGAGACTCTGGGAAGAACATAGAATGGTTTTTATCCCGGAAATCTTCCTTAAAGAGGGTGAAAATGGGGGTGAAAATTTTTATGGGGAATCAACCCAGGGCCGAACCCGAGCGAAACGAGGGTGAGTCGCGACACGCGACCCGTCTAGTTTTTGACCGGGTCACTTAAATTATTTAACTCGTGTCTAGAGCCTCAAGAGCCTTTATTCAATACCAAAAAAGGCTATATAATATCGCTATCCCCATACAGTGGCAACTTTTTCTTTTCTAGGATCAGAAGTAACCTTTGTCACTTTATCGGTCCCAAATTCTATAAAGGTCAGTGATAGGATCGTAAAAATCGATCAGTCATTTCGGAGATTAGAGACAGACAGTGAAGATAAGATAAGAACAAAAAACACATGATTTACTGTACTATTAAAAATTAGCTTTCAAGTTTCAAAGTAATGACTTTGAAACTTGAAAGCTAATTTTTATATATTTCAATTTTCTTACTTTCAAAATGATAATCTACCATACAAATTTTCATCTTCTTTTCATTTTTTGTGAGGAAATTTTTAAAAATCATATTTAGAGAACTCTTATATTAAGCACGTTGCACACTATCGTCTGACTTCATGATCCTAGCTCTAGTACCTACTTTTTGAAAGTTCGTGATTTAAATTAGTTAGTGGTAATTTGCTTAATACATATTATATTTGAGTTTATATCGTAATTGCATATGCACCTCAAATTCATACACGATTTCTTAAATACATATTATGCTTGGATTTGTATTTATTTTTAATCCATTTATATCACCACAAAAATACTTAAAAAATATTTTTCAACCGACTCTTTAAAAAGGAGGAGGTTTTCAATTCGGCTGTTTGTTGTCAAAACTCCGTCATTTATTAACCGATTTAGACAATTTTGCTTTGTTTAAAAGTGTATTCTTCCAGATTGTTCCCAATTTAAATTTCAAATAAAATACCACCCCTGAGGGTGGAAAAATAGCTAATGATGAATTTAACCTACTTCTAATTGTCATATTGACTTGAAACTTTGCAAGTGTGTCTATTTCTGTCGATAGTGCAGTGGTTCGGTATCGTTGACCTAATCAATGACGGTAAGGCCAGAAGGTGGATAGGTGGAACTGTTCAACGGCTAATATTAGATAGATACTTTGAGTTTGGGCTTATTTTGATTTGACAAGCTCAATCAAGCGTTAGAATCGGATTTTAGAGTCAGAATTTTTAGTGTTACTAATAAAAGCGAATTTTAGTTTGTCAGTATTCATATAAAAATTGGCATTAAATTATCTAAACGGCTTAAGCGAATATTTTATTAAAATACTTTCTTCTTACTTTGCTACTACTATGTCTACTATAAAAAGGGAAAAATAATACTTTAAAAAACCTACCTTAAAGAAAACACTAAAATGTAAAAAATAATTGATTGGTAGTTTTCATTTACTATTGATACCTAATCAAATATTTTCGAAGTCGGTGCCAGCCGATACAAAGCAAAGCACACCGACTTCGAACATGTCTGATTAGGTATATATAGTAAATGAAAATTACCAAACAGTTATTTTTTACTTTTTAGTGTTTTTCTTGGAGTCGGTTTTGTTTAAGTTTTTTTTAAATATGTAAAATGACATGCGATGATCATGTTACAATGAAACAATTTACTTAAAATTTAAATTTTTTTATAAAGCACAACTAAATATAGAATTCTATAAACATGATAAAACCTCATGAAATACTAATATGTATAATAATATAATATATCTATACATATAATAAAATTGTAACTAAGCCCAATCTGTACATTAGATATTTTTTGGAAAATATTATTAAAATAAACCTTATTATCGATACAGAGGCCGAATCTATAGTTTTTAGATTTTATGTCTATCTGCCTGTGGTAACAGACAGACATCACAGAAAAACCACTGGAGGGATTTTGATGAAATTTGGTATGGTGATAGCTAATGATCTATATATATGATCTATATATATATATATATATATAATATATATATATATATATATATATATATATATATCTATTTTTAAAAACTATAAAAATAAAAAAAAAACATCCTACGTCTTACCATTTTGAGTAAGCTTCAGTAAAAAAACCAAACTTCACCAGGTGACATGCGGGATACTCACGACAACGCCAAGCTACGAGTATAATTAACATTGGAGTGAATCAGTGCAGCTCATTACATTATTTAAATATCATTATTCAAAAAATGATTAATTTAGTTGTTACATCTTCAGCGATATCTATGATAATTATATAAATAATGTGCTTTGATTTGTATCGGCTGGCATCGACTTCGAAAATATCTGATTAGGTATCTATTCTAAATGAAAACCCACGTTTAGTTATTTTTTACTTTTTAGTGCATGGAAGTCGGGTATTATTAATTATTTTTTAGTTTTTATTTTCCTATTTTTAGTGTAGGCGTAATAAGCAGGTAATTTGTAACTAGAAAGTTTTTTTAATAACATATTCGATCAAGCAATTTATTTATAAAATATATATTTATTGTTGATTTTTTTTAAAACCGGTCGACTGATTTCGATAAAATTTAAATGAGACCACCTGTAAAGTATACCCTTTGAAACAAAAAAAGGATTTTCCAAATCGGTTCAGGCATCTTCGGATAATCGATGAACATACACAAAAAAAATACATACAGACGAACATAGAACGTCCTCCTTTTTGGAAGTCGGTGAAAATAGATATGATATTGTAGGTTAATACGTACCTAAAATGTACACAAACAAAAGTAGTAGGTATTTAAATACATATTTTTGAGTTTAACTCTTATAAAAATAACTAGGTATAATATATATCATCTTATAAAAATAACTATGTATTTAAACTGCAAATAAATTATAGAATGAGCTTTTACCTGCGCTGGCGTGCAAGTGTGCTTATTTAAGTCTTCTCAAAAATACTGAAATATGATGAAGTTAGTATTCTTAATGCACTAAAATTTAATAAATTAATGTAAATTATATACTCTCTACTCCATACCCTTAAAAAGATAAATATTTTTTCGCAAATTTTATGTAAAAGAATAGATTTTTTTATAAAATTGATTGTTACTAGTGTTCGGCTAGTGGAAATAGTGTATGTGTAGTGGTACTAAAAAAACAAAAGTCGAGTGATAAACAGAGGAGAAAAAGGTACTGCATTGTCATATCTTTACCTATCTATATATAAAAAATAACTGTTACAAAACGTTTTTATTGATAGAAAAAATTAAAAGCTCAACAGTTAAATAAGCTATAAATAAAAAAAAAGAAAAAGAAAATCGGTTGACTGGTAAATTTTTTTATAGAAATGTATATACGTAGATATTTCAAGTACAGTGTGAAATGTGTCGCAGGCTCTTAAAAATGAAACCCATGTTTTTTGTAAACGAGTTAGAAATTCTCGCTGTAAGGTCATTGAGGAAATATAATCTAAAATATAATAACTTTGAAATATGTTCTAATTTAATACTCACATAAAAAAATATTTTATAGTGTTACTTATTTCATAATCTTATTTACGTTGAACATAACTACAATTTACACTATTTAACACAAATATACATTTCGGTTTCAACTTTGTATCGCTTGCTTGGTGGTTGTTCGCACAAAGTGAGGCTTGCTATTGACCAGTGGTCCAGTACTGCTATCTAGCAAGTCGTTTTGCAGTCAAGGAAATGTCGTAGTTAACAATTACTAAAACATTATTTATTAACTGAAACGTTCAATAATCTCGAAATTATTTTAGGTACTGTATCCACCTTTAGGGGAGGGGAAAATTAATGCATAGCATAAGTTATATGTATAGTAAATACATACAGCAATTCCGTCACTAAGCACTAATTTCACTTTATCTATGACTTCATTTCACTGTTCAGCTTTCACTTCTTCATATTTCTTCTCAATTCTGCACTTAACTTCAAACTATAATTACTCAATCCTCTGAAAATGTTCTAGTAACATCAATTTCTGTCTGGAAAGTGTATCCTACCAACCCACGGCAAATTATTGTTATATAAGACACAAGATAGTTGTATTATATAATTATTACTAGCATTGCCCGCGGCTCCGCCCGCGTTCAGATGACCAAAAACCTAATTCTTAGGTTTTACATATTAGTATATTCTTATAATGCAGTTTTTGTGTTTTTGTATTTTTTCTCAGAAATGAGATATTTTCCCGCGGTAAAAAGTAGCCTGTATGTTGACCCGGATAACCAACTATCACCATACCAAATTTCATCAAAATCTGTCCAGTGGTTTTCTCGTGATGCGGTAACAGACAGACAGACAGACAAAAATTCTAAAAACTATAGATTCGGACTCTGTATCGATAATACTTAATGTCTATTTCAATTAGATTTTCCAAAAAATATTTAATGTACAGATTCGACTTAGTTACAATTTTATTATATGTATAGATTATATAATACAACTATCTTGACAATTAAATTAAAGCATCCTTCAGGCGTTCTACACTCGCATACTGATGCTGTCAATCGAAAACGTCCATTGCTTTGATAGGACCCACGGTAGATAGCCAAATTTGTCTAAATCACAAATGTTGTTTGTAAGTGGATTTGTGCCTGTGTGTATACTTTGAAGAAACTACCTACTGTCAAACAGTCTAGACTCATCAATTGTTCTAGTTCCTTTACGGTGACGCTCGTCATCACACACAACGCAACAGAGTGTCAGTATGAACATAAAAGAAATTGCAACTGAAATTTTCAGTTGATATCTCTTCGTCACCCACCGTACTCGATAGACTTCGCTACATATGATTTCCACTTTTTCAGAATTTAAATTTTGTAAATGAGAAAAATCAGCAAACGTTAGACTGTCAAAATCGCACTATTTTATTCTTGTTCTAATAAGTAATAACACAGCATCCACTGCAACTTTACAATTTGTTTTCAGTAGAAAACGAGCGTGTAATGGTATATCATTACGATTTTAATGAAGGCACTCATTGGGAACGGACATGGTATTCATAAATACAGATTATCGACATAGCCATACAGCATCTCGCCCACCACTTGAATTGCTAGTTTAATATAGGTACTAAATTAAGAATTTGTTGATTTCTCTGCACTAGATACATGTTTGTAAAGATGAATAAAGTTTATTGTTATATCTGTACTAATATTATAAACAGGTAAAGTTTGTGAGTTTGTGAGGTTGTAGGGGGTAATCTCTGTATCTACTGAACCGCTGAGATGAAATATGGTAAGAAGATAGTTTGAGACCCTGGGAAGGACATAGGATACTTTGTATTCCAGAAATCATCTCTTAAGTGGGTGAAAATGAAATAAATGAATGAAAGTATGTATGATGAAGCCAGCTAGGGACGAACCTAAGCGAAGCGATGGTGAGTCGTTAGTTTTAAATAAAAAAAGGGCCCAGGACTATACAATTCACTCACTTCACAAAAATTTTAGTTGAATATTTGTTGTTTACTTTTCTAATCGTTTTTCCTTAGTAAAATTACTTATTTTTATGAATACCTACTTAACTATACTAATATTATAAAGAGGTAAAGTTTGTGAATTCCCCTTAAGGGGGTGAAAGTGGGGATGAAAGTTTATATGGAGAATCAAGCTATAGCTATAGTATGAAAATAAAAACAAAAAGTTCTTCAAAACGTTTAATAAATAAATCTCTACAATCTACAAAGTATACCGTAAATAAATCGTAATCCAAGGAATGGGTACAATCAAGTCTTATTAGAGATCCATTGAAAACGAAAACTACATTTTTGAATTCAATCAATTTCCATTAAGGATCTGCTATATTTTGTAATATTTCGTTATTACTGATATATATAAACAGGTTAGCAATTTTACATTTATATTATTTGATGAGACTCCTGCTCTCGTTAGTGTTACCTGTTGCTCGCGTTGTGGCTCTAAGCTTTGAAGGAGTAAAGTATCCACAGCCGCGTAAGCCTCGTGAACCACGCGCTGAAATTAAAAAGACAATTAAAAAGTACAAATCAATACACTTTTTAATATATACATACATATAATAAAATTCTGAGACAAATTTGTACATTAAATTTTTTTTTTTTTTGGAAATTTTATTGAAATATTTATTATTATCGATACAGAGGCCAAATCTATAGTTTTTACGATTTTTGTCTGTCTGTCTGGCCGAGGCCGCATCACGAGAAAACCACTGGTCAGATTTTGATGAAATTTGGTATAATAATAGCTGGTTATCCGTTTCAGCATATAGGATACTTTTTACTGCGGGAATATATCTGATCTCAGAGAAATCTATACTAAACTTTAAAACATAACCGAGCAGAGCGAGGGTGAGTCGCTAGTCAATAATATTTTTGGTGTTTACTTATTGATAAATACAAAGAAAATATCTCAATTTTACGCAGAAGCATTGTTTCTATTATAATTATATCATTTTTTTTGGAAACAGTAATATCATTTAGTGCTGCCATTATTCTATTTATGAACAAAGAAAATAAAATTTGAATTATTCAAAGCAACATGGTTGTGTAATTTAAAAAAATAAAATTAATTAAGAATAATAATTTTATTTTGTTTGCAAATAATTATTTAGAAATGAATTTTCTTAACAGTTATTCTGCTAATTGTGGTGAAGACAAATCCAACAAAACAAACATCATAAAAATCGGTCAAATAAGTGTTGTAACAAACCCGACTTTGTTTTATATACGAGTATATGTAGGTACAATAGATGTAAAATATTCGCGTAATGTAAATCTAAGAAAGTATTAAGTCGAAATTCTTACTTTCCGTGGGCGCAAGATTCTTAAAAAGGGATTCTTACAAAGTTTTCATTATACCTAAACATTAATAAAATTGTAATGATATAATAATATTTGAGTAACTATTTTAAATTCAAAAAGAATATCCATGACCCTGTGTGGTTTAATGTTTTAACGGACTTCTAGATAAGTACTTGTAACCTACTAGTAGGTATTTTTTAAATAATTTAATGTTTATGATAAATTTCACTCATATAATAAAATTTCATATATTGAATTATACCTCAGTGACTATTTTGGAATTCTGGACATCGGTCGGACGAAACATCATGATGGTATAGGTGTTTTCTATCCCTAAATGCCCAGCTACCCAATCTTCTATACCGCCTGCATAAAGTGCTGTAAAATATGATACAAATTATGTAATATTTATGACATGAGGAGTGTTTAACTGACAAAGTTTTTTTATTTTTCAAAATTTGACTACAGATATGTCTAGCGGGAGCTTTATGGAAAATATTAAAACTTACGCAGAAACTCCGACGTTTGCCCAGCAACATACGAGCGGCCGCTAATACTATACGCAGCAGAGGCAGCTCGCGATGCACGTTGCCTCTATAAATAAGTAGTTACATCAAAAAAAAAGGTTATAATATAATATATTAACATCCAGATAACATAAAACTATATCCCAAAATCTTTGGATCTAGTTCTGATTATTTTAAATAGTTATTTTTTATGTTATAAATATTATAATGATCTGAAGGTCTTGAGATGAACAACAGAACTCTAACAACAATGACAGTTTTTTTAAGTTTTTTTACGTTATTTAATTAATATATAAAATAACATTCTTAATGAGATGTCGACGTCCAATACCTCTGTCCGTCCCCGAAGGACGTCCGTCTTTATTTACTTTATTTAATTAATTTAAAAAATAGCACGAGTATTTTTTTTATTTTTCGTTATTATTTTTTATGAAAGGTATGCGGATATATTTGAACTTTGACGAGGGAGTAACCTACACGTATTTTAACATCTAAACGTATTTTAAAACACTCTTTGTAAAAACCAATATCGGTCTTTATTTCAAAATACATATGCCGAAAGCATGACCAAAATTGCGGAATATTAACAAAGCCAAAAGATTTTGTTTAATTTAATAATAATAATAATAATAATATTCTTTATTGTACACCAAAATAAATATAAAATAAAAAAAACAATACAAAGAAAAGATGCACAGCAGGCGGCCTTATCGCTGGAAGCGATCTCTTCCAGGCAACCTTGAGGTGGAGGAGTAAATGTTCATAAAAACGGTAGGCGGTGTACTTGCTTTAACACGTTTACTATATATAAATACTTATAGATAAATAGATACATACATACATACATACATACATACATACATACATACATACATACATACATACATACATACATATATACATACATACATTCATACATACTTATATGCGTTAAATTTACACACACACATAAAAAAGAAAAAATCAATCAAAAAAAATATATAGGATTAGATACTAGAACATAATAGAGGAAATAATAATAACGATGATATTAGGAGAAAGGACTAAGGGAAAGACTTAAAGAGACATATAATAATCTTTTAATAACTTTTTAAATTTATCTAAGCTTTTAGCAGATCTAATGCTTAAAGGAATAGAATTCCACAATCGAGCAGCTTTTACTGTAAAAGAATTTGTGAAGAAACAGGAAGAGTGAGTAGGAATTTTAAGAAGGAAATTTTGAGCAGAGCGAAGTGAACGAGCATGGGAATCATCCAGAAACTCAAAACGCTCTTTCAGATAAATAGGAGTTGAAGGGTTAAACAGCACGCAGTAGAGAAGATGAAGAATATGAGTATTCCTGCGGAATCGGATTGGGAGCCACTTGAGCTTTTTACGAAATTGAGAAACATGGTCATATTTTCTAAGGCCGAAAATAAACCGTATACAAAGATTTTGGAGTCGCTCAAGTTTATTCAAGTGCTCCTCTTTGATGTCGAGATAACAAATGTCAGCATAATCAAGAATCGGTAGTAGGAGTGAATTTGCTAGCGCAATTTTGGTAGGAATCGGAAGGAAATTTCGCAATCTGCGAAGAGAAGCAATCGCTCCAAACATCTTCCGGCTCAGTTCACTCACTTGCGGATCCCATGACAGGTGTTGATCAATAAGTAAACCCAGATTTTTAACTTTTTCCTGAAAAGGAATCTGAACACCATCTAGCAATATTTCTGGTATTTGTATAGTTTTAATTTTTGACAACATCCTTTGACTGCCAATAATAATTGCCTGCGATTTCGTTGCGTTTAAGTTAAGGCCGTACGATTTACCCCATGTAGCTATAGAGGAGAGGTCTTTGTTAATATTTTCTATTGTTTGTGGTAAATCAGCCACAGATGTCACGGCATAAATTTGCAAATCGTCTGCATATAGGTGGTAGTGAGAAGAAATTTGGAGACAAATAGTATTAATAAAAACTGAAAATAAGAGAGGAGACAACACGCCACCTTGTGGAACACCGGCAGTAACTTTGCACCAATCGGAGTAAGAATCTTCAATCCGAACTCGTTGCCGGCGATCGCACAAGTAAGAACGAAACCAGTCAACGACCTCAGGAGATATGTTTAGAGAAGATATAATGGCAAGCAAGATGTCAAAGTCCACCGTATTAAAAGCATTACTAAAATCTAGTAGAACCATCACAGTAAGTCTTTGATGGTCCATACCTTTCCTGATATCATCTGTTATTTTGACTAAAGCCGTAGTCGTACTATGATTAGGACGGAAACCAGATTGAAAGGAATTTAAAAGATTATGTTTGTAGAGGAAAGCACTCAATTGCTGGTGAACCAATCGTTCGAGTACTTTTGACAGAAAAGGAAGAATAGAAATAGGACGATAATCAGAAAAAGAAGATGGACTAGATATTTTAGGAAGAGGAAAGATTTGCCCATCTTTCCAGGAAGAAGGAAATTGATTGAAATTAATTGAAGAATTTAAAATGGTAGTAATAATAGGAACGATATAGTCAAGAACGGGAAGAATCATTTTACGGCTTATACAGTCTGCCCCAACCGCATTAGATTTTATTGCCATAATATTTCTCTTAACATCACTTTCGGAAAATTGACTAAAAGAAAAACGGGGAAAATCAGGAGTAGGTAAAGTTGAAAGATAGTTGAGTGTGTTTAATTTATTTGTACTATTAACAGTAGTAGAAGAAGAGAAATGCTGATTTATCAGATTTAAATTTATATTGTGCGGATTTATATTTTGCTTAGATTTACCTACTCCAAGGGATTTGAGAAACTTCCACATTTTATTTAGATCATCCTCTTCGATGATAGATTATATTTTATATGATGATAGATAGATATTTTGATTTAAAAAAAATGCCAATTCAATTTTTTGTAAAATATTGTAATTTTGATATTCGTACCGTAACAAGCAATAAATTTCTTTATTTTTTTTATTTACACACAAATTTAAAATATGTGACGACCTGTTTTCACATTCATTTGCATAGTAACATTTAGTTTTAACACCTCTTTCGTGATTTGATACAATATTGTGTAATAATTTAACATTTTTATGTTAATATAATAGTTATAACATGAAAATTCTAACCTATTAATTAGTTACCCGTTATTTTATGCAGGATGATAGTAAGAAGGAAACATGGCTATGTATTTCTATGGTAACTTTTATATAGTGAACTCGTGAAATATTTTTCAATTTTGGTTTATTGCAAAAAAATCATAGAGAGCAAAAAGTCGAGTTAATTAAAATGATAGTACTCACATAAACATGATCGAAAGCTCGTTTCTTCCTTGTGTGAGAGTATGGATACAAGATGCCCTGATACAGAATTATTTTGATTTAAAAAAAAATGCCAATTCAATTTTTTGTAAAATATTGTAATTTTGATATTCGTACCGTAACAAGCAATAAATTTCTTTATTTTTTTTATTTACACACAAATTTAAAATATGTGACGACCTGTTTTCACATTCATTTGCATAGTAACATTTAGTTTTAACACCTCTTTCGTGATTTGATACAATATTGTGTAGTGGTTCAAATGAGACGCCTACCTACATCTTTCCTTTCTAATTATAGTTATGTAGATGCAATAGTTTGGGAGTAAAATTGTTGTAACAAACGTACAAATGGACATGACGAAATTATAAGAGTTCTGTTTTGCAATTTGGTTGCTGAGCCTTAAAAAGTGCAAAACAAAAGAAAAATTATTCCAAATTTTAATTAAATATACTTTAATGTATTTATCTGAATTTCATTAGTTAATTAATTAAAATTGCTAAATTTTTAATTAAACAAATAGATATTTATCTATAACCTATTTTATATTTCATTTTACACAACAAACTTACGATGACATTAAAATTATTTTATTATTTAATACTACACGATTATATCAAAATCTTACAAGTATATCGCCTTCCTTGAAAGCTATAAAAGTGAAGAGTGGTGTACGTAATTCGTGAAGAAACCTCGTAAGCGTATGCGTCTCCGTCTCACTCAGCTGACGCAGGCCTGAGTAGAGCGCGCCGCAAGGGTGTTCCGCGCGTAACTCTTCGGCTACGTTCATCGGATATCATATAATATTCTATTTTATATCATATATCACATATGCTGTATAAGGTTGGAAGAGCAAGTAAGGCCGATTGCGCTAGCGTCAAGAAATAATTAAGATTATCTTTTTTAGACTACTTCTATATAACACTATAAAAATTTTGCCCAGACACAAATGAACTTTATTCATTAGTGTCTGGACACGAGACCTCAACAGAACCAGTGAGAGGTAAAGCTCAAAATCATGACTTAACATGCCATTGTATGCACAGAGAAGTACACACTACTGACTTGCCATAACTAGAACGCAGTAACTATATTAGCCCTACCCGGGAGTCGAACCCGAGACAACTACCTATTACCGAATATTTTATCCACTACACTAACAAAGCAAGAAACTCTCCTGTTCAGATGGTTCGTTAAAGTTCGATCCGGAGGACTTTTTATGTATATAATACTAGCGGCTCACCCTCGCTTCGCTCGTGTTCGGGTTGCTTCTCCATACAAATTTTTATCCCCATTTTTACCACCTTAAGGGACGATTTCCGGGATAAAACTATCCTATGTCCTTCCCAGACTCTCAAACTATCTTTTTACCTACATCACACAATTTCATCTACATCGGTTGAGTAGTTTCGGAGCCTATTTAGTACAAACAAACAAACAAATCTTTCCTCTTTATAATATTAGTAAAGATTATCCTAGTCTAATCAAAGTATTTTTACAAATTTTAATTTCCTAGCCGTATAACAATTATTAGTAAATCTTTTGCTTAATTAAAATCGACTTACGAGGTATCCACTGATATTCGAAATTGCGATCGAGATTTACTCCATAGCAAGGTTGGATAATGCATCGTATACCAAAGTGTTCGCAAGCTTGACAGGAATCGCGTCCTTTACAAGAATCCCATGACTGACGTAAATTCTTCGACCATTCACGACGCTTTTGAGAATTATATGAAAAAAGTAATCTTTTTATCGCCATTATTTCCAATCATCAATTTCAAATTAGATTTTACACCTATTTCAATTTTATTTCAGAATTATATACATAATTATTATTTTAAATGAGCAACTGTTGAGTTTCACGCCGGTTCTTCTAAGCAGAACTGCTCCGAGCCTGCTTCCGAGCCGGTGGTAGCTTCCTCAAGGACTGACTGCACTGACATTTAATTTAAATTTTAAATGTAAAAGTGACGATTCAAAAGTGCTTGTAAAAGTCTATTTGAATAAAGTATATTTTGATTTGATTTATAGAAGCAAGCAGCAATAGACTCTGAGTAAAATGGCAATTACATAATATGTTACACAAAGGTTCTGTTTTTGCCTTTTGGCTACATAACCCTAAAAATTAGTTATTTGAGCGTCGTTGCAGACGAGAATGAATTTTCCATTATAATAAATAGTTGACTCGGTCAGCGTTTAATAAAGAAAATTTATATTTGTTGTATACTTGTTTATGGTTTATTAAAATGTAGTGGCAACACTGTGTCAAATAGTATTAAGTTTGGGACGGATTAAAGACACGATATTTGGACGCTCGAGTTTATCATTTAAAAAACCTGGACCCAGTCGAAAATAATAAAAACCCATATAAAACCATATTGACAATCTTTAAATACTAAATTTTGATAACATTCAGATAACCGCTCATTATCGTGGGTAACGGGGTATTTTTAACCGACTTCCAGTAAAGGAGGAGGTTCTCAATTCAGTTGTATTTTTTATGTTTGTTACCTCAGAACTCCGTCATTTATTAAACGATTTGGAAAATTATTTTTTGTTTGACAGTGTATATTTCCAGTCTGGTCCATTTTTCAACCGACTTCTTCAAAAAGGAGAATCTCAATTCGGAATCTCTTATTTTATGTATGGTGTTCACCAATTACTCGAAGGTGCCTGGACCGATTTGGAAAATTCTTCTTTTGTTTCAAAGGGTATGCCTACTTCCCAGGTGGTCCCATTTAAATTTTATCGAAATCGGTTGAAGGGTTTTTAAAAAAACAACAATATATGATCTATTCATATAATAAAATTCTAATTGAGCCGAATCTGTACATGAAAATATTTTGGAAAGTATTATTGAAATGACATTATTATCGATACAGAGGCCGAATCTATAGTTTTTAGAATTTTTGTCTGTCTGTCTGTTACCGCATCACGGAAAACCACTGGAGGGATTTTGATGAAATTTGGTATGGTGATGGCTGGTTATCCGGGTCAACATATAGGATACTTTTTAACACGGAAAAATGTCTCATTTCTGAGAAAAATACAAAAACTACATTGTAAGAGTATACTAATATGCAAAACCTAAGAATTTGGTTTTTGGTCGTCTGAACGCGGGCGGAGCCGCGGGCAATGCTAGCTTTTAAATAAATGACTTAATCGAATATGTTGTTAAAACACTTTCTTCTTACAAATTACCACCTTATTACGTCTACATTAAAAATGGAGAAATAAAAACTTTAAAAAAATCGACTTCCAGACAATAAAAGAAAAAAATAACTAAACGGGGTTTTTCATTTAGAATAGATACCTAATTATATATTTTCGAAGTCGGTGCCAGCCGATACAAATTAAAGCAAACCGACTTATCTAATTAGGTATCTAGTCTAAATTAAAACCCCTGTTTAGTTATTTTTTACTTTTTAGTGCCTGGAAGCCGGTTTTTTTTAAGTTTTTTTTGGAAGAAAAAATACCACCCTAAGAAAAAATAGGTAATAAAAATTTAACCTTCTACTAATTGTCATATTGACTTGAAACTTCGCAAGTGTTTGTATTTCCGTTGATAGTGCATTGATTCGATATCGTCGAGCTGATCTGACGGTAAAGCCAGAAAGTGGATAGGTAGAACTCTTCAACGGCTAATAGTAGATAGATACTTTGAGTTTGGGCTTATTTTATTTAATTTGACAAGCCCGATACGTTAGAATTGATATTTTAGAGCCTGATTTTTAGTGTTACTAACACGGTTTAGTGGATATTTTATTAAAATATTTTCTTCTTAATTTGCTTATTGCTACTAATATTTTCTTCTCTCTGCCCGTTTCCCAAACTTGATGTCGGCGCAGTATCTTCATCTTCCTCTTCAGTTACTCGTCATCTCAACATTCACCTCTTTCTCTTTCATGTCCTGTCTCACACACTCTATCCATCTTTTCTTCGGTCTTCCTCTACCTCTCCATCCATCTAGATTCATTTCTATCACTCTTCTCGTCACATGTCCATACAAACTTAAAAGATTTCCTTTCAACTTCTCTATCACTGTTGCTACTTTTAAGCTTCCTCTTATGTACTCATTGCTTGTTTTATCTATTCTCGTCACTCCACACATCCATCTTAACATTCTCATCTCTGCAGCACGCAATCTTCTTACATTAGTCTGTATAATAAATAACAAGCATGTATTGCTACTACTACGTCTACACTAAATATGGAAAAAGAGACCGCCTTCGAAACCATAAAAAGTAAAAAATAACTGAATGGAAGTTTTCATTTATTATAGATGCCTAATCGGATATTTTCAAAATAGGTGCCAGCCAAATGCAATCAAAGCAAAGCTTACATCACAAATTGATGTATGTATAATATTTTAAACTATAATTAAAGTTCATACCTTGTCATATTTGCCTATTAGATAGTAGTCCGATTAAACTACCTACTACTGCAATAAAAATTTTAGAATATCGTGAATTAAAAAGATATTATTTTGATAAAATTTTATGCCAGCTTCACAATCACTGCCTAATCATTTTAATACGATAATTAATCTATATTTCGTAAATCATCCTTTTTGCGTCGTTTTACGTCAGTGCGCATGAGTTAGAATTTTCGAATTCTTTATTTATTTTATTATAATTATTTTAATATAAATACTATAAAACCTTGAACAGTTTTATCTATTTCACAAAAAAAAAACCAACCTTTTTTGTGCAAATAAAATAGAGACTGGAATCATAATATATCCTATACGTACCTATTATATATAAATCGCTCCTGAATGCTCTCATTTCGAATTACCTTTTAAAAATCACTTATTTTTAACGGCAAAAACATCTATCGATGCTTTGTTTTAAGATAATGATTTTTTAAATTTCCAACTTATTTAGTTTTTGACAAGGTCCCTTTTTATCCACTATTATATGTCACCAGTGGTGTTTTTCAAAATAACAGCTGTTTCAATTTCGGAACTAACAACCTCAAAATACATCCCGTTTTATTGGCATTCACATTCATACCGGAAGCTTAATTCGCATGATCACAACCGAACATTTTTCATGAATTTCCACTAGCAATGACAATATTATATTCTTCGTTAACTACAATTCTACAGGATGTATATAATCAGCTAGTGTTTGTGACTAACAACTAGCCGAATTTTGCAATTATCATCGATTTACAATTTCCTAAGCATACAATGCTTGTTATACGAAATAATTCCATGTGAAGCCGGATTCATTAAATAATCTTTTAAACTTATTTCACGGACAATTTATCATAGCTTAATTTTAACGTGTAGGTACTGACAAAGAAGATTGATTGACATAATTATTATCAGAATGAGTTCTGCGTTTCCTTTTTTACTATCCTCAGCATTCGATTGTTCCATCGGTGGTCAAGATCAATGCTACTCACTACTAGATTTTATAACTGCAAAAGCATCATAATTTTATCGTCCACTTGATTTTTTATAAATGATAATAATTTACTAGAATATCGGAGTTGGCCACAGCCCACAGGCCTCCATCCTCTATAACCTTAATAGTGAAACGAATCGTTATTCCCTCTAAATTCAAATTTTATTTCAGAAACGTGTATAGTACATATATAGTAATGCCTTATAATTATTATTTTGATAAACAATAATGTATCTAGCTAATAATCGCTACTTAATCACTTTAATTACATATACTCGAACGATAGTAGGTTTTATTATCCAAATCATTCTTATTACCTTAATCCCATTGTGGCATCACTAATAAAACTACGAGATACTCCTTGCATATATTCTTATATTTAGTACTTTTATAATCGTCAGTAGGTACGTTTGTCCGTGTAAAAGCTACCAACGGCTCGGAAAACATTTCAGCTGAGAAGAGCCGGCAAGAAACTAAATAGTTAATCTTTTAAAATACGAGTAATGAGTTACATAATTTATAACAATAATTTTCAGTATTAGAAACAATTCATGACTAGTCACTACAGGTGGTACCGAGTACCGACATCTCCGTGGAAAAGCGCGGGAAAACAAATGAATCTCCGCGTCCTTTTTATTTTTTTTAAATACATTCCTTTCGGCTAAGGTCACATATATAGCCTTATATATAAAACATTAGAAATTAATAAAATATATTATTTTCCATTAAAACGCTCAATATATAAAAATGCAACCTTACACGATATTAGAAGCTTGAAACATATTTAAATTATGTTATGCAAAAATTTAAAAAGTTGTCGACAGGCGCGAATATAGTGTCAAAGTTTGCATTTTGGACTTTGAATAGAGCCAAATCTTTAATGATTCTCCCTCTCCCCATATGTCAGCAAAAAAATTCGAGTAAAGCCGTATATTCTTTCATTAAAAAAATAATCTGCCTATATCATAATACATAATATAAAATTCTTACGTGTGTAAATGTCATAGAATAGTCATATCCATCAGGATTAAAAACGGGGATAATCCAGAATCGGTATTTTGTAAGCAAATCGGAATGAGCCTCACTTCGTTCTATTAGTTGATATAATAAGTACATCGCTGCTGTAACTGCATGGTGGTCACTCCCTTGGATTCCTAAGAAAGATAAGAAGTACTAAATTATAAAAAGCTTTCATTTTGACGATTAAGTTTCAGAGAAAATAAGTAGAAACAAACCATAGTAAAACGAATAAACATATAAATATAAAACTAATAGAAACATTAGAATAAGATCTTAATACCTGCAACGATCATCACTGTTTGCTTGGCTGAAAATATTTGACCTCTACTTGGATCATCTACCATCATCATATAAATTGGATTTTCCATAACTGTAAAATTTCCATTAGTAATATCCAATCTTTTTGCAATAGGACTATTTTCTGACCACTTTTTCAACTGAGTGTTTATCTGTTTAGTGAATGGAATCGGTATCAATAAAAAACTTTAAATAAATGAAAACTTAAATTCGTGTAGGTAATAATAAAGTAATATAAATATGTAAATTGTCTTAGACATGGATCGACTAATATGGCTGATAGCTGCTAGACTTTTACTTACGTACGTAAGCGTCTTCTTTCATATTTCTTCGTTACGAGATCGTGGGTTCTTGTCCCAAACGTATTTGAAATGATTATCAAGTTATTCAGTCAAAGGTCAGTTTTAGAAGCCCAGAGTTACTAAGGTATGGGTATGATTTATTATTACTTTACTCGGTCAACACGTAAATCTATCAGCGGTGTGTCCTGAATTTCAACACTAGGCTGATCTCAATAATATTGGCCACCGGTACCGATATTAAGTCAGGAGAATTTATTATTATAATTACATTTGTGTTTAAAATTCCCGTTTTCTATCCCGTATATTGCATGTGCAACCTAACAGAAGCTTAACCTTTCCTTATAACTAGTATTCAACCTATTGAAATGTTGTAATTTTCTCTAGGCAGATAATATGGCTTGTAAAATTAAAATAGTCCTATTAAACTAAGTTGTGTTTGGGGTTTTAACTTTGTGATCTAACAGACAAAAATTTTAGAAAATGATTGAGGTTTTTCTGTACAAGACCAACATATTCTAATACATAATTTTGTAAAAATGTACCTACTCTACGAAGTATGTATATATGTAGTACGAAGTAACCATTTTAATACATATACCTCATGTAGTGTTTGTGGCGAGCTAAATATTAAAGGTTTAACTTTGAGAATACTACAGAGTAGATTCTTTTTTATTCTAGTCATATTTTTGGAGGATTGTATTGAGGTTGTATAATCTAAGTCAAATTTTGTCGTACTGCTATCTGTTATATTTTCAACGTCATTATCATCGTCTTCATAATTTGAGTTCGACACATCTGTCTCGGTAACATTGTGAGAATCTTCCAAGTAATTAATGAACATAGAATCTTTTTGGTTGGAGTCTATATGACTTTCAGATGAGCTTCCCTCTTTTTTTGTACTACTTTCATCATTGTCATTTTCATTATAAAAAAAATCATTGTAAGATAAATCCGATTCCTTATCGATCTTTTTTATATCGGAATTGATATTTTTGGTATCACTTTTTCTTAATTCCTGAAATTCATGGAGTCTTTCGGATGAACTTTCTGTCAGATCCGGTTTTATTGTTGTCCGATGTAAGTTAACTGTCGATAATGAAGTTCTCTGAGATACGTCCAGATTATGTGGTACTATTAAATTATATTCGTATGGCAAAAAATCCATAGAAATCGATGTTCTTCTCGGAATTATCACATCGGGATAAGAGTGTGTTCGTGAAGGCCGCATAGTTGTTGTAGGAAATATCTATAATAATTTTAAAACAGATTATTAATAGCATACATTTTTTTTAAATAAATTCGTTACAAAACAGACTTGAACTTTCATGGGTACTGTACCATAACATAGAATTTTGAATATGAGCATAATATACCTACACGATTCGCTTTTTACGCAGTCGGGTTTTAAATAATTTTTATTATAATACAATCTTTTAATTACAGTATATTTTTGTCGTCACCTCTTAAAAACCTCAATTATGACGTCCAGTTCAATAGGTTTAGAAAAAGAAATTTAACATCGTGTTTCAAGACAAATTAGCGCCTGTAATTTGCCGTTTCGATTTTTAATAATTACTATATACCGGTAACATATTCAGTAATTACAAGGGAACATACCATTAGACATACATACACACAAGTCAAAACATAATCCCTATAATCCCTTGGGCTTCGCAACAATCAGGCAAAAAACTTGTCATCTCGTTGCTGCGTGAATTGTTAGATAAATAAACTTTAGTAAGTATAGGTATTATGTAAATACCTATATATATATATATATATATATATATATATATATATATATATATATATATATATATATAGGTATTTACATCTAAGGACTAGTGATCCATCATGGTTTAGGTCATGCCTATATTTTCTAACAAATCAAGTCTTTTTGGGCTTATACTTTTTAAATTGTTTTTCATCAGAATAATACTTACAAACTTATCCACAGCGCGTGGTGTTAGAGGTCCTAATGTATTACTACGTGTAAAAGAGACCGGTGCAATCGGGGCATACTGTCGGGCAATGAGAGATTGAGATCTAGGCAAGAATTGAGGTTTAGCTGGAGGGCTTTCGTCGCGCTGTGAATGTTGTTCGTCTTGTTTTATTTCAATGCCTTAAAAGTATTGAGTGAATAAAATATATATATATTGAAAATTGTAACTTTAAAAACAAATACAAATTAATATTATTTCATCTAACGGAAACATTAAAAAACGCATGCCATTTATTTACTTTTTATTCGTGACACATGAACTGTGCAATACAATTTAATTATGAAAAAACACATGTTATATTAAATTTTCCGCTACATTAGAAGCTACATGTAAAGGAAATTTTCTTTTAAAACACTCGCGATTGTTTTTGTGCTTTGTATTTAAACTTGTCTTTTATTAAACACATTTCATAGAACGGTGAAAGCTATAGAGATGAATCATAATTAAGAATTCGTACTAATACAAAATGTAGGTACGGAAAAATTTAATTCAAAACTTAACTAAACTTAACTAGTTCCTGCCCGCGACTCCTATTAAAGGTCTAACGTTAATGCCGTTATTGAGTGAAGAAGAAATAAACATACACTCATTATTTTTATTAGTATGATAAACACTAATTTTCAAAACTTAAAGTACGCATATTAACCTGTACTAGGTATACCTCTATATGATGTTCTCCTGACCGATTCCGGCCACGGCGGCCAATCTCATTGAGACTAGCCAACTGCGCAGGAGATATTATAGTGCTCAAGTGTACGCGCAAACACAAGTGCACTCTCTATTCCTGTCACTCTCATACTCCGGTGGGACGACTGCTCGACACGACCAGTGAGAGTTAAGGCGCAGGACCGACGGCTTTACGTGCTCTCCGAGGCACGGGGGTGAAACACCGCCAACTTCCCAACTCCGGGCTATTACTGAGGCTTACTATACAGCAAGACTCAGTAACTAAACTTGGCCCGACCCGGGACTCGAACCCAGGACCTCCGGGTGTGCAGCCGTACATGCTAGCCACTACACCACCGAGGCAGTTATAATAATATAGTTACTAAATATAGTTACCTCTATATACCCCCCCAACGTGCGTTCACCTTGTCGTGGTGGGGGGGCTCAGTAGTGCCCGGCAACCCAACCGGGCGTGAAGCCAAGAAACGCACAGGGAGGTGGCCCACTTCGGTGGGCGGTGGGAGGTGGCCCTCTTCGGAGGGCAGTGTACCATGCGGGTTGCTCCTGGTACTTCTCTGATAGCAGAGTGGACCTTGGAGCAACCCCATGGTTGTGGTGGTCTGCTTCGGCAGACCTGCCGTCGGGGCGTCGTAGTTGAATGCGTAAGCGATCCTGCGACGCCCCATTATGACGGGGGAAGGCTTTGTTGGGTTTTAGTGGGTAGTACTGGCTTTGCCGGTGAGTCCCACACCTCGTGCGTAAATGCATTTCCCAACGTTAAAAAAAAAAAAAAAAAAGGTATACCTCTATATTATCATGACGATAACAATATTAAATTTAAATTGCTACTTCATGAGAAAATATTTTATCAAATAAACACTTACCTTTAGGTCGTATTGGTGGTAGTGTTTGAACAATCGTCTTCACAGGGGCAAAGATTACATTCGCACTTACTTGTGCCAAAGAGACAGTTGTAGGCGGTACAAATCGTTGATAATTTTTATATGCATCAATATTAGTTTCTGTACTTGGAGTAGGAACGAAAACTCCAGTTATAATAATTTTATCTTGTGCCTTTGTATGTGGCCGGATATTGACAGCAACGACTGGATTTACTTTAGGTGTAGTCAAATCATCTTCTAACACTTTTACAATGAACTCTTGTGTACTTTCAGCGTTAGCTCTCCACCTTGTGTATTCTGTATATGCGCGTTTACGACGAAAATCTATTTAAGAAACATTAGAAATGTTAAATTTACGATTTCACTCGAATATGTACCTATGTATACAAAATCTTTAATGATTGTCTTACAGGACAGTGTACAAACGTGACAAGAGCCATCTTCTGTATTGTTACCAATTATGGTCTTTATAAAACCTAATATAATCAAAAATATACTAAAATTCATGATAAGTGAAGACATAAATCAATAATACTCTGACAGCACATATTGTTAAACTAACTTGTAAAAAGAAGAAATAGCATGGAGATCATTACAACAGCATTAATGGTATTCTTATGTCAAAATAATGATAATAAAAAAAAACGCAAGGTAATATTTAAAAATGTTATCACTACTATTTTTTATCGGTATAAATTTTTCACAATTTGCAATAAAATGAAAATAAGTGTACTTTGTCGTGACACTTTAAAAACGCCGTGTGTACTAATCCTATTTAGTTTAACAATCAAATTGTAAAATCAGTCAAATACTGTCTAAATCCATGTTTAATTTATTACTGTCATATTTATACATTATTTAGAGATTTAAAAAATGCTTTTACAGTTGAAAGTATATATAATTGGATTTATTTATTTTTTGGGCGCTTTATTCATGATTATATTTCCGCCACGAAATTATGAACAGTAGGACAAATTTAATATATCATATATTATGCACTTGTAATGCTTAATACTTATTAAATTTATATTGGTTCTATAGATCTGGAACTAAAATGAGGATGGTACGAAGTACAGGTGACGACGTTAAATATATGAATTACATTAACTATCAAAGCATGCTGAACGTTGTACAGCACCTGGCCCTCGAAGATCCTGATATGGTGCAAGTTGTATATCTAACCCCTCGTACTGCTGCAAACAAAACTATTATCGCTCTAGAACTACACAGCGATACATACAGCAAGAAACCTGGAATACTTGTAATTGGAAGTAAGTTTTAAAAAATATATAAGTACCAATTTTTAATTAGCAGTTATTTGCGGACATCGCAAGTTGTTTTTTATACAATTCTCTAATAAAATCCACCCATTACTTTTAGCAAATATTTTTTCCACATATCTAACTACACGCTTTTATACTAATAAATAATGTAAAACTTAATTTGCTTTATCTAGTTACGAGTACCTTTGATGTGGCTATGGAAGAGCGAGATTGCCTGTGACTGGTGTTTTTTACACTTAAAATGCGATTTCAACCTTGTTTGTAATTCTTTAACATTTTGTTAATGAATAAAAAAATTTTTTATCGAACTATAGACTGCATGTATACAGTAATAGTCATATGCATTTTTTTATAAAGCCCATTCAGTAACAGCATAACTGGTTAAACTAATGGGATTTATACTGTTGATTAACTGGTTGTGTAATGGCTAGCGTTGTACGGCTGCACATCCGGAGATCCAGGGTCGAGTACCGAGTCGGGTCCAGTTTAGTTATTGAGTCTTTCTATAAAGAAAGCCCGAGTAACAGCCCAAAACTAGGAAGTTGGTGGTATTTCACCTTCTTGCCTCGGAGAGCACGTAAAGGCATCGGTCGTCTATACATCATGTTGATATGATTATATGATGTCCTTATGTTGGTATATTAATATAGTTGAGTCACTTGAGAATATGTTACATTTAAAAAAAAAAGTATGACTAGCTGCTAAAGCTAAACAATAATAGTACGCTGACACGCAGGTATTTGATGAATGTTAAATATATTTACTTTAAAACCAATAAATGTATATTTTCAGCACTAAATGGAATGACGTGGGGTGGACCGAATGCTATTATCGAGTTAGCGGAAAAACTCCTTTACGACACAAACTATCAAACGCCATTTTTTAACGATTATGATTGGTAAATTGAAAGCAGTAACACTGATACATATCACACTGTAGATATATTTTATACTGAAGTTATATCTCATTGAGGAACATTGTATCTATGAAATAAATATAAGTATAGTTATAAATATTTTATAGGTATCTTATACCAATAGCCAATCCTGACGCGCTTGAATTTTCTACAAATCTTCGATATTATACTTCAATAGATCCTACAGAGTGGTCACGAAACCTTACTGCTAGAGGTCTCAAAACGAAACCTGCAGTATGGCATAAAAACACTGACAAGAAAGAGGGACAAGATTGTTTCGGAACGAACATCAATCGCAATTTCGCATACCACTGGCAAGGTATTTATATTTGTTTTAAAGCTAAATTAATTTAAAAAACCAGTAATGTAAATAAGTATAGGTATATATAATAATATATACCTATACTTATTTATCTTTTAATTTGATTATAATGTCAATGTGACCAAGGGGCATATTCTAATATCTAACTCTATTATATCGTCTACGATCAATATTGGATTCGGTGTCATCTAAATCTTCACTAACAAAATAATCGTAAGTGGATCGTGTCAGTACATTCAAACTCTTATTTAATAATACAACAATTATTATTTAAAAAAAATCTGTATGTGTGTATTAATTTGCTCGCGTTTCATGCAATAACTACTGAACACGGATTTTGATCAAATTTTGTACAAATACAAGTAGGTAATACGCATATCTAAGCAACATAAAGAATGCTTTTTAACTCGGAAAACAAAAAGTTTCCCGCGTATAGGCCCATGCATGGCATGGCTTTTAATGAACATTTAGTGTATTTTCAATCCCAGTTATTAAAAGAGTTACACAGTGATTAAATTCTGTTCTTATAATACCTACTAACTATATCGATAGAAAACGGTTAGCTAATAATAATTAAGTCGTGAAGTATATACTGAGTTTTTGTCCCAGAAACTAAAAATTATTGTGACCTTCTGAAATATTTGCGAAGTAAAGCATTAAGCGTGGATTTTAGTTTGACGTAACATTATTATTACTAGTGATGTGATGTGATGGGCATCCAGTAGTCGAAATTCGAAAATAAGTAAGGTCCAGTTTGTAACAAGATTTTAAAAAGCTCCCGTAAAGCAGCTTAGCGGATGGTACTTCGTATAAAAGTTGCATAACTAACGGATACTCGTATTAGCAACCCAGGGTGGTTTCGTCTAGCTATAAGCTGACACAGATAGATAATACATAAATATATATCGTCGCTGTAGAATAAAACCTCGTAACTATGTACCTACATATAAGAACAGAAAGCCTCTTATGTAATTTATCTGGCATAACCCAGATAAGTAATGGATTGGTTAATAACATAAATAAATCCTTTATATCATTCAAAACGTGAGACAAAAGGACATAACAATATTTTAAACATTGACGAAATGAACCATTTTTTTCGTTTCCTGTAAAATTTGGATCTCTGGACATACGAGGCTATCTTTCTACAGCGACGATATTATATTATGTTACGACTTACGCAACATTTATTGTACGTTAACGGTACTATAGTAGAAACCTTCGCGTGCTTGCATTAAATAATTTAAAGGTTGGCCGAAAGTATTCATTTTAATTTCGTTTAACCTTTTCATATTAATATAACACGTTAGTTGCAAACCTATTTTGATAGCGTTTGCCCTTATTCTTTTATAGCTTTACTAAAAAGTTATAAAATCAAAAAAGCACCTATCTACTGGAGAAAGGTGACTGGATCATTAGTAGTTTATATAGCAATAAAAGTCTATATACATACATACTTAAAGCATAAATATGAACAATAATTTTATTACAGACGATGTGCGTAAGACTCCAGATGAATGCTCGCAGTATTATCCTGGATTGAAACCGTTTTCTACGGCAGAAGCGCAAGCGATACGAGCTTACATCCATAAGCTCGCCGATGTTGCACATTTAGCAGTACATCTTCATTCAAGTTTTGTTCCGAAAAAAGTAACTAATATGTGCTAGAAATAGGGAATATTTTAAATAAAAGATTTCCACTCGTCATCTCATCTTTGACCCATTTCTCTTTCATGTCCTGTCTCACACAATCTATCCATCTGCTTCCTTATCAGTATAAGAATTATTTTCTCCTTACATATTAATTTTGGACAGCAAAATGTTCACCCGTAAATTATAATAGATTACCTAAATATTAATAACGAAATGTGTATTATATTTTTCCAGGAATTTATATTATTCCCATGGCGATATACATCACATCAACCAAGCAACTACAGGACCCTTCAAGAAATTGGAGAATATGCTGCGCGAAAAGCCCGACTTCCTGACGGTAGACTTTATGAGGTAAGTATTTTAACAATTAAAATATTTAAAATAAGAAATATTTTATATTTCTCATTAATCTGTAGGACACGGACCGTACAACACTATTATATAAGCGAAAGTCCTGTTTGTGAATGCGTGTATATGTTTGTTACACATTCACGCTGGATGGATTTGCATGAAATTTTACACGAGTAGATTATGATTGGAGTAGCACAAACTCCTCTGTCAGGACATTTAGTTACACAAATAGGTAGGCGAATAATTAATATCTACATATAATAAATTCGTCTCCTCCAAGTGAGAGGAGGAGGCCTATACCCGAAAGGGGCCATGACTTCTCAAAATTAATGTCAAAAATAATAATACTATCCGTTAGAATCTAATAATTAGAATCGCCAATCATAATGTTATATAATGTAATTTAAATATATTCTTGGTCATGGAATCAGAGGTTTATAAATGCGAGTGTCTGTTAGATTACTTATTGGATAAATATATAGAGATAGGATCACCATTAACCAAGGCTATTATTGACAACATTATTAGTTTAATACTAGTCTCTCCCATGACTAATATTACTGTAAAGCATTTGAAACGTATGGAACCAAAAACCAAAGTACCTACATCAGCGAAAAAATCCGAAAAGTTTTATTTAAAAAGTTCAATACTGTTTTAAGGTGCACCAAGGAAGCAGCGATGAGCGTGTGGCGGGAACTCTGAGTGACTACCTTTCGGGCGTGGTTGGGACAGAACTTGTTTTCCTAGTAAAGCCGTACCATGCAATATTTCCCAATTATACGGATTCTCATTTATTGGGTAAAATCATCGGTTTCTGCTTTTATACTTAAAAGTATTTTTATATATATAAGAGTATGTTATTTAACTATTATAAGAAAGTATTTTCAGAATTAAAAATCAGTAAGTAAAATATTAGTAATTTGATAAAATTAGAATCATATGGTTGTAAATTGTATTTGTAAAGCAAAAGTAGAAGTACAAACAAACATGTGTGAATTCGCAGGAAAAGCGTATTTAATTATGTCTATTAATGAGATTAAATTATATTAATTATATCGATTGTTTTAGAAACCTACGTTCGCAAATCAATATCAGTGATTCTGAGCTTGGTTAGAGGCTGGAGAAGCAATACCAAGCAGAACACTCTTTCATTCTTTGGCAAAGATGTTGAATTTTGATAACTCTTACTAAACTCTACAACACCAATAAACCTCTAGGAATACATAGCGCATGCCTGCATTTACTATATAGAGTGTTTGAAATACCAAAAATAAGTTATATGTATATCTATGCTTAATACTATTAAACTATATAAGATTGATTTTTCTTTTCTTATATCAGAAATTCCATTTATTATAATCATAATAGGGCGACAAATACAGAGATTAAAACACGTTTTTATAATTTTCAGCAACGTTTTTATAACACTTCTTGGGTTCTAAAAATAAACAACGTATTTAGATACATATAAAATGAGCTATATAATAAATAAGTAACGTACAAAATATAACTAATATCATCTCATAGTTTCTGGCGGAATGGTACTTTTTCTTAAAAACGACACGTCGATATCCCAATGTTTGGACATATTTTCCAGGGATTGTAGTAAAAGCTTCTGTTTGCAGCTGGTTTCTCTGAGATCAGTTATATGAATGAGATGGAGATGCAGGGACACTTGGTGTAAATGTTGCAATCTTTTGTACAGTAAATCTCTGAGCATCTCATTACTGGACTCACGCCAGTATTTCAAATTTCTGCCAATAATAGACACTAAGTGTTCTTTCACATCCTTCAAACAAGCCTTCTTCTCAGATAGAGCCTGCAAATAATACGAACGTAGCGTGATTTTTTTTTTAATAATAGATGCATTTTCTTATAATTGAATTATCTAAAATAGATATAATATATTATATATTCAACTCTTATAGAAACAGTAACAGTGGATTTTTAATTAAACAAAAACAATACGTCATGTGAAAAAAAAACTACTTTTTCACGTTATACACGAAAGATAATTCAAACTTAACAGGGAGTTGAAGAAATCCTTTAAATGACTAACTCAAGATATATATTTTATACGTTCATATAATCGAAACTTATTAAAAATTCTATAAATAGATAATATGAGATTTTTGCCGTGTAAGTATTATAATTTTGCTCGCATGCTAAAATATGTTCACCATCGACCATCGTCGTGTCTTTTCTCTCTCTCTCTCTCTTTTATTTTTCTTTAATCATCGGATACATAGATTGTTTTTTATATATAATATTAAATAGATTAGAATATTAGTAAAAAAAGTATAACAAATTAGTTGGACTCGTATCTTCGTCGACGATTGTGTGGCATGTTTTTTACCTTCCCTTTGATAAGACTCACATTTATACTATAATTTTAGCACCTCGAACTTCAGTTGAATTAAATTCAGCTTATCAAAATTTTGTATCACTATATAAATATTTATTACTGAGGAATTTATCGATTTAGATTTATCGCATTAATTGATTAATTTGCATTATATAGTTAATTTGAGAAAAAAAAAGTTTGTTTTGCAGCCATTGCCAAGCAAAAATTATATTAGCACGGACGGGATACAGGCACAAATGACAAAATTATGAAGGTTCCGTTTTTGCCTTTAAGTTACGGAACTTTAAAAAACAACTAATTTTTATTCAACAAACCAATGTCATCATATAGGTACACTTCTATATATTAGAAAAATGTAATCGCTGATCATTAATATTGATAATATTAATTTTGTAAATTATTAGGCGTATTCAATCCCTATCTAATCGTACCCTTTCGACTTCTTTACCTTGACGTCGTAAAAAGATATTGCGTTACGTGCATTCATTTATCTAATACTAGCGGCTCACCCTTTCTTCGCTCGGGTTCGTTTCTAGGAAAACAAAGACAAACCAACTTCGGGAACCGTACATTTTTCCGGGATAAAAAGTAGCCGATGTGTTATTCCAGGCTATAATCTATCTCTGTGCCAAATTTCATCCAGATCAGTTCAGCCGTTCTGGCATGAAAGAGTAACAAACATCCATACATACTCACAAACTTTCACATTTATAATATTTATATTGATTTTCGTAACAAAGTATGTTTTATTGCGTTATTACGCTGTTTTTAATTCCTTATAAACTTGACACATATCGATTTTTATCGATAATGAGTACACAGTTGATCGATTCGTATACTGTACCGAAGGTCGTACACACGTCATGTGAATGTAGCAAGCATTTTCAAGTACCTATTATACCAATTTTTTTTTTGATACGGTACCAACTTTTGTAAACATTTCTAATTAGAAAAATTATGATTCGCCAGATAATGTCACACTTAGTTCCATGCAATTTATTTATTAAATTAAAAAAACAGGATTATTGTTTTTTACATGATAGTAGTATGTCGGTAGTAACCAATGTGTAAGTCATTAGAAAAGTCATAGGGTGCACTTGGGATATTCTGTTACTTGTTAGATTTTGAATGTCTATTTGTAATGTTAAAATAACAGACTATATTTTATTAATTAAATGCATATATGTATATATGAAATTGTTTAAAATCTTTGTCCGTCCGTCCGTCTATCTGTCCGTTTATTCCGGCTCATCTCCGAAACGGCTGGACCGATTTTGACGGGACTTTCACTGGCAGATATTTTTAAAAATATTATGAAATAAAAATTCTTTAGAGATAGGCGTTGATTATGTTGAAAATAAAACAATTATAAGACTTCGTTTTGGCTCGTTAGTATACAAATGTAGCTGTATAAGTACATATTCGCGCGGACAGAATTTAGCTTTGATTTCGTATGTGACACGTTATCTAGTAGTATCGTTGATCAAAGACTGTTAGTACTAAAGTCTGGACAATCACCTATTCAATACTATCTAAAATTTTCGTGAACGAATAAATTGGGGCGTCTCATCAAAACGAAGCTACAAGTACGAAAATCCATCCGATAGGAATCATTTTTAAAAGTGGAATTAGGGATCTTTCTCTGTGTGTTGCCAATACACGTGTTAAAAAAAAAATATAGGTATGAGTATATAAGAGCGCGTCACCCGCGGCAGCCGGCAGAGCGCGAGGCGCGCGCGCAGGCGGCGGGGCGCGCGCAGCGAGCGCAGCGCCAGCGCCGCCACGCCGCTCGCCGACACGCGCTCGCCGCTCGGGAACGCGCGGCTGTCCCCGCCCGCACTGCCATGCCAAGACACATACATTATTATCATCGATTGCTCATTTACTTTAATAATATAATTAATTATTATGTAACTTTTTTAATATGGAGGTGAAAACTTTGTTTAATAGACACGAGTGAAGTCACTTGTGTCTAGGTGCTTACAAAAGTTCTCAGAATTGACGATTATTTCACAGATATCACCATACCGGTAACTTACTTTCACAAAACGTTTATAAATTGTAGCCTATAAACCGTCCTAAATACTCCCTCTTTCTATTGGTAAAAATTAAAAATTACATAAAAATCCTTACTGTAGTTTCTGAGATTAGCCTGAATAAACACAGACTCAGCATAGTGGAGGACATTCATTTATTATTGTAAGTAGTGATTTAAAAAATGTATTTCATTTCGAAAAAAAACAGGCTGAAAAGCTACGTATATAGATTATAAGAGGCCATACTGACCATAAATAGAATAACGATATTTTTGCCTGTCGTGAACCCATTATAATGATTATATTTAGATGAACTATAGTACATAAAGGTGGGTTCAAAGTGTATTTCGAAAAAGCCTCTCGGACTGGAATAATTACATTTAAATTGTTACATTTCGATTTCAGCACGAGTTTTTAGTCAGAAGTAGATAATATTCGTACGACCTGTCGCCGTGGAAGACGAGCAGCGCGGGGTAGGCGGGCGCGGTGTAGTGCCAGGGCAGGTCGTGCGCGCGCGCGTCGAGGCGGGCGGCGCGCGCGCGCAGGCCCGCCGCGCGCAGCGCCCGCGCCGCGCCCGCCGCCGCGCGCGCCGGCACCGCGCCGCACGCGCCGCCGCACACCGCCACTATCGTTAGCTGCGATAAATTATTGACAACGGTAACACATCTATACACATAAAATTAAAGTGTCCGTTTGTAATGTTAAAATAACAGAGTTTTACCAAAAACGTTTCACTTTTTACTAAATGCGTATGAAATTATATTATTATGATACTTATAAAACATATTTTTTTTAATTTTTGTCCGTCTGTCTGTTTGTTCCAGATAATCTCTGAAACGGCTGGACCGATTTTGACGGGACTTTCACTGGAAAATAGCTGATGTTATAGGGAGTAACGTAGCCTACTTTTACTTTAGGAAAAGAATTAGGGTCCCGCTAAAAAAAATAAAAACGTACCTAGCGACGAACCCGAGCGAAGCGAGGGTGAGTCGCTAGCTGATGTATAAAAACACTAGTAACGATATAATTTCTCAAAGATGAGATATTTTCCCGCGATAAAAAATATCTTATAATTCGATCCGGATACCCATTATCATACCAAATTTCATCGAAATCTGTCCAGTAGCTTCCTCGTGATGCGTTCCCAGACTGACATACAGTCAAAAACTCTAAAAAGTATAGATTTGGTCTCTGTATCGATAATAATGACAAATGAATAATTATTTCAATAACATTTTCAATCAATTTTGGCACATCGCCCACCGAAGTAGGCCACCTTCCAGTGCGTTTCTTGGCTTCGCGCCCGGCTGAACTGCCGGACGCTAATGAAATAACACTTTCTTAGACTTACGCGAATATTTAAAATTTCAAATGAAACTATCCTTTCGGATTTCATAAACGTCGGGAACAAAAATACAAAATATATAACCGCGACAACATCCGAAAAGATAGTGTTATTCAGAAAACCTTTGCTTGTGCAACGATTTTAAACTTACCATTCCAGGAGTCCTGACGATTTTGTTAAACGTATGTGTGGTAAGTTCTAGGATCTCTACTCTCTCGGTCGCGTCACGCCTGTCACAGTCGCGCTTGTCACATTCACGCTTGTCGCAGTCGCAGCCGCACCTGTCGCAGTCGCGCGGCGGTGGCGGCGTGAAGTGGTGCGTGTGCGTGGCGCGCACGCGCGACCGCAGCGTGCGCTTCAACGCCTTGCGCGTGAAGTTATGTATGAAGTCTCTCACCGACTTAGCGCTGTACTCCTCCGACATTACGTATTGAGTTTCGTGCTGGAAATTACGTCAATGATTCTCAAAACTATTCATAGTCTACCGATTTAGGCGTGTAAGATGGATAAAATTTAATTTGAAAAGTAATAGCATGAATATGGAAATTAAAAAAAAATATTAATCAGTTCTATAAATAATAGATAATCAGACAATGACCGGCAATTTTAGAGAAATTGAGAAAGGCACAAGGCCATAGTAACTTAATTTCGATCGAAGTGTGTACAGTTGACACAAACCTTTATTCCGTGTACGAATCAAATCCGCGACTTTCATATACTTACAGTACCAGTTGAGTACACACCTCTTTGAGGAGCTACGAGGTTTTCTAATTTGACATACCGTGGCCTTAATGCTTATTCAAACGACCAATACTTGTTGCGCTTAGAGTAGATAGTGTTTCCTCTACTTTAAAACAAAGCTCTATTATATTATATCATTAGAATTGCCATTAAAAGTCAATAATTCTGTACTAACAGTTCTAAATTGATCGTTTGGGCAAATAAGTACTGAGCCGACGATATAATCTAATTACATATAAATTTAATTTTATTTCACTCACTATAAAGTCAATCAATATCAAGTAAACTAACCTTACTATCCAAAATAACAAGGGCTGTCTTATCTTTCTTATGTTTGATATCTACACCGAGAGCTTCAGCAAAATGGTAATTCCGAATGCTATCGACAGCCAGAATATGCAAAGAATAATTCGTAGTACAAGAGAGGCCGTGGATGTGAGTTATGTTCCCGATTGTCACCCTAGAGGGCGACACTGGTGGGTTTATCTTATTCGCAAACTGCATTAATCTACAGAAATGCTTTACATTCTCTTGTACAAGATTCTCGGCGGACAGAGGATCATCTTCATATGGTAGCATAGTCGTTTCTATTCTGAAAAAAAATTAATTTATTATTTAAAAATATTATTAATAATGATTCTCAATTTATGTACATACAAACATTTTTAATTGTAGATTGAAATAATAAAATAATATAAACTTTACGGATACTACACTTAAAAATTAATTTAAAAATTAATAAGACCCCCAACATGTAATTCGCCATTTTGTGGTGGCGGCCATCTTGGATTTGAAATTTATCATAGTGTATAGTATTTTACCAGTCAAGCCAATTCATTTGATAACCATATTAGGAGTTGTGAAAATATATGTCATCCGCCATTTTATGGCGCCGGCCAACTTGGGCAGATTTTGATCAAACATAGCTAAGAACACTCCCGACTAATTTACCTTTCAAACAAAAAAAAAAACAAAATCATTTCGGGAGCTACGATGCCACACACAGACACACACATAGACACGTTAAACTTATAACACCACGTCGTTTTTGCGTCGGGAGTTTAAAAATATACAAACAGCCTGATGGATGAAAAGACTATCTTGGTTAAGAAATAGGGTCCTAATCCATCTTTGGGGCATAGAACACTTAAAGATATAGTAAGAAATAACAACTGACAAAAATATTACTTACTCCCCACTTTCCATTTCTAAATCACTGTTCATTTGGTCTTCAAATGACTGACACTTCTCATAGTTTTCATAAAAACTTTTTTCGGCTGGTAAAGATTTTGAAGCGCTGCTACTACATTGTTGCAAATAACCTAACGTAGACCATACTGCTGAATTATCACTGGAACTTTCTATCAATTTTGATATGGCCAATCCTTGCTTGAGAAGAAAATTGAACACGCTACTTTTTTGGGACTTCTGCGTGACATTATTCCATGGATACTTATTGTTGTGCGACACAACTTCCCTTTTATAGTGCGTACTCACTTTCTTTATAGGCTTTTTAAATTTGTACTCTTGGCAAAATTTTAGAAAGTTTTTTTGTTGGTATAGCAACCTTTGTACTTGCTGTAGTTTTATTAGTTCAGACGTCCATTGACTACTTTCGTTATTTTTACAATTATAATACTCCATCGCAACTTCCCGCAACTACAACAATATAATTTCACAAACTTAAAATATTTGTGGATATTTTGCTCTGTCAACGTTTATTACATGGTCTAAGAAATAAGATAAGTTAACTTTATTTTAAAATTTAAATTCTATAAAATACTTTAGAAATAAAGATACTTTTCAAATTTCATATGAAAAATTATGAATCATAAACCATCTTTCTTATAGTAAATACTTACTAAAGCATATGATGGCAACTGCTCATAGAGTGGATTGAGTGGTGTAAAAAGTATAAGTATTGGGTTGCCATCTGCGTATCTTTCAAAATTGAAGGACTTCTGCCACATGGGAATAATTCTGGCGACAGGTTGAGCAAAATTTTGAAGCACCCAATGCATTAAAAATGTTTCATTCCATGAATTATTGTTTTCATTTGGAAAATATTCCTGAAATAACATAAATAGCTAATAAAACTCTCTTGATATGATATGACATGAGTTATAATAGAAAAACCAAATTAGCATTTATTAGACAACAGAAAAATACTGTTATAAAAAAACTATTCACCTTCACACTGCATTTTAGTGAATTAATTTTTACTTTTATTATATAAACAACTAATAATACGTGTGATTTTAAATAAAGGTGAAATATTTTTTTTATAATCTTTATTGCTTTTCAATTAAGCCAATGTCAATATTTTTTAACGTTATTCCTTTTTGATTAAGAGGATATTTATTAAAAAGTACAAATATAGGTGGGAAATTCAAAGTAATTTAAACGCACACCATTGGTCAGACCGAATATTAACAGCGATTAGCGATTTGGTTCGCTACAAATTAAGTCATCATACTGTTACGTCACGCCAAGCGCGCGAAATGGCGGGTGCTTAAAGTATCTATATCAGTATGATATTTTTATACTAAAAATTAGTTTTTTGCAGCTAAATATTTTTTTACAATTATATAACGAATTATATAACGATTATTGTATAAAAAAAATCACGCAAATTCCCTATTGAGTCACTAATCACTATTGATAAATAAAATGTTATGAAGCATTCATTTACAACTAAAGCTTAGACTGCTAAATTATGTTTTAAAATTAATGTTTTTTCTATATATGAAATCGAAACTTTTATAACTTAAATTGATATTTTAATTGTTGATTAATTCTTCTATTAATTATTATTAAAATAAATCTTTACATTTTAGAGGGGGAAAATATCCATTAAATACCTTAGTGTCATTCCACAACATGAGCCGTGCGTTTGGAATAGTCTCGACTCCTAAATCCATTGCAAAGTCTGTAGAAGTAACTGTAGCAAAGCATATTTCACCAACAGTGTCAAACTCTTTAGACTTGAGAGCTACATTGTACCACACATTATAATACCGTGATGTTTCAGTCAAAGGTGTAAATCCTACTGCCACAGCCTGTATAAATGATACTTCAATGAGTTCTTTTTAAAATAATTAAGTTAGAAGAAATAACTATTCTAACAAAATCAATTAGATGCTAATTTTGTCTTACTTACATCACAAACAGATAATAAATTAACTAGGTCTTCTGTATTAGAAATTTTTTCTAGAGGTCTCATCAACATTTCTAAGAAATTAATCATACTTTCAGCATTTCTTGGTCCTGTTAAAATAAATATTAGGAAAAATTAATTCAGACATTATATACTAATAAAAGGAATAATGTGTTATAATTTTTTTTTACCTTTATATAGTACACCTCTTGAGGTAACAGTGTATACCATTAAAATTGGCCATGAAGGTATTTTATTATGTTGCAATCTACATTCACTTCCAGGATTCCAGCAATTTATAGCAGAAAAATGTACCTTAAACATTACACTAACTTAAATCATTTTTCATAAATATTTATGATGCTAATAAATATAATGTTTTTTACATCCAACAAAAACAATAAACCAAATTTATTTACTCTGGTATTTTAATAATATTTAACATAATAAAGTCTAATAAAATAAGTCAAAATTAATTACTCCCCAGAAAATGACACTTGTAAATATATTAATAAAAAATTATTGCACATTACTATTTGATCATTTAGTAGAGCTCTGATAAATCAAAATCACAAAAAGCTCTTTATCCTTTTCTTCAAACCTCAAAACCTACAGGCTACATTGCTTGAAATATGATCTCTCAATAAGTCAAAATATTCTGTATTCCATATATGGGATATCAAAAATACCTCTTTAATACATAAAAAAATTAAACCTCTGTATGTTGAATATGATTATTATAAATATTATATTAAATAAAACAGTGTAATTAATCTTACTCTATCTTGTAGAATGTTGGCAGCTTTTTCAAATTCACCTCTTACATATTGGGACTCTGCATCCCAAGGTGCATAGTACATAACAAATGATATATCTTCAGTATTAATTGCAGCTAGGGCACTACTTAACTGGCCTCTATACCAATCTGTTACAACAGAATCTGAATAAAAGAATCTCATAGCTTGAGGAACTTTTGATACTTTATTTGGCCTGCAATATAAAAAGAATGAATAATATAACATGAAGTTTTATGATAATATTTTCATTTGTATGAAACATTAAATACAAATATGAAATAATAAAAAAAACTCACCCGTTGTGTAAAGCTCCGTATGTAGTCAGAGCTAAAGCAATGCAAAACACTAGTTCTTTGATTAGCATATTGAGGGTTAACTCTCTGTTATTGTTTTGTTTCGCCACTTCAGAACTTTTGATGGGGTCTCGCTCATTGCTAGAAAGACTTGATTTACTTTGTAATGACGTGACTTTTGAAATATCTTCAGAGTCCGCCGTTGGAAACATTACACGTCATTCATAAACAATAAAATCTACTAAAATTCGTTTACGTGTTATTTTACATGACTCCAAAACACTTAACTTATGTCCACCTAAAACATAACTGAAACTCAACTTCATAATAATAAGATTCTAAAACATTATAAGTTTATTATTTTCATGGCTTTTTTAGTTTAAACTTTAAAGATAAACTCATCAAATCAACATGAAAAATGACAATGACAATGTCATTGTAATCATATGACTTTGACATATTTTCGAAATAAATGAATGGATGTGGTATAATTTTATTCGTCATCCATGGATTAATGAAGAGTAGCGACGTTGACCGTTATACAGTGAACACACGGAACAAAAGTAAAAAAAAAATTGAATAATCAGTTTCTGTAAAATGGTATCCACATAGCCTTAAACATGAAAATTGTGATTACGCCAATTTTTGACGTCTTTAGCCCTCAATTTCTTCATTTTTTGTCGTTTGGGGACAAATGATATCCATTTTCTTTGCATTCTGGCACTGCACAATTTGCACAAATTTTAAATAAAAAAAAATTACGCTTTACAATCTTACTGAGGGCTATAGTGATTGCGACATCTGGTGCAAAAAAGACTTCTTCCTCATTAAAGAATACTTAAACTGTGTTCCCTTTCTGATTTGACAAAGTTATATTTTATCTGTATTATTTGCCTATTGTATTTGCCTTGTTTTGAAGGACTGTTCTTAGGAAGTTGTGTCATAATTTGCGTTTCAATATAATGGCTGATTTGTAAAAATATAACAAAAGAAACTAATTATTATTAAATCCAAATTCGGTTATCGAATACCACATGTCCAAAATTAAACGTAATACGTTAACCCATAAAAAAGTGTGACAGATAAATCCTCAAGATAAAGCTACAAAATATGGATTCTTCAAAACAGTTAGAAACGGACTCTTTGGAGTATTGGAAAGATCAAGCAAAACACTACGAGCAGAAGTATAATAAATAGATACAACGACATTAAATTATTTATTAAAAATACTTCTACCATTTAATTCTACTTATCGATTTTGTGTTTATAGGGCAAGAGATATACAACAAGAATTAGACGAATACACGGAAAATTCAGCTCAACTAGAAAAGGAATTAGAAGCATCTTTAGAGCAAGTTGAAAAACAAAATAGAGATCTAGAACATCAAAATCAACGTCTGAAGAACGACATTGACACGCTCAAGGTATTACTCGATTTTATATGTCACAGAATCGTTAATGATGTCATTTGATTTATATAGTTATAAGTTTCAGTTTTTTTAAAAATACTTGTTTCACACGTTAGAGAACAAATAAATAGTATTAAAAAAAAATTGCAGACGAAACTCGATAGAAGTCAACATGAAACAAATGCCCTAGAAAATGAGTTACAGGCACTCAAAATAGAAAAAGAAAAACAGGCAGTATATGTTAGAGAATTAGAGCAAAAAAATGATGATTTAGAAAGAGGACAAAGGTACTGTTTTTACTTTTTTTTATATATAATATAATAAAAGTATCGTATTAAGATAATTTGTTTTTTAGAATCATATCAGAGTCAGTATCATGCATAGAGACCTTATTAAATCAAGCATATGAACGCAATGCAGTCTTAGAAAGTGAGGTGGATGAAATGGAAAATTTAAGGATAAAGTTACAAAGAGCAACTGATGAAGCTAGAGGTATGTTTATTGAAATGATTAAAATTAAAATATGTCCCAAAAATAGGAAACACTAAAAACTAACGCTACCAAAATAGATTTTACTATAATTTTAGGAGTTTCTTAATTAAGGCATGCTTGTTATAGATCTGAAACAAGAATTAAAGGTGGTAGAAAAGATTCCTATTTTGAAAAAGGAAGACGGCAGTACAAACGAAAGTTTATGTAATGGTCATTCAACACGAACACAAGTAGAAATAGAAACACAAACCTCTTTATCATCCCCCGCAAGACGTAAGTACAGTATAATATTATAATAAATTAACAATAAAAAGCTATGCAAGAGAACAATAATTCATGTTTCAACTGCATATAAATTTCTGTATGAATAATTTTTTTTTCTCTAGGAGAAATTAATGGCAATGCAATGACTCCTTCTTCTCGGGTGACTGCCATAAATATAGTTGGTGATCTCCTTCGGAGAGTAGGGGTAAGTTGTATTAATATGATATTTAAAATTATGTTTGTTGGTGTATTTGTTATAGGTGTAGTTACCATAGGAACAACATGTACACAGCCTTTGCACTTTATCTAAGATTAAAAAGATATATTATTTATAGTTGTATTGTTGTCATAAATAGTGTACATATTTTATAGTAATTATAATGTTGCTGTTATTAAATATATTTAAATTTATTATCAAAGAGTATCTTATATGTTAATGAACTTTATTATGTTTATTTTTTATTTTGACTTGTCATTTATAAAATGAAAATTTATATTTATTTTGGGAATATATAAATATATGGGCTCAATTAATTTTATTATTATCTATTGCATTTAGTCTGTACCAATGAAATTTAAAGTTAATGTAATAAATTATTTAAAATTTCGTTTTTGTTAATTGTAAAGTATTTTATTTTTGAATAATACATTGAGTAATTAGCTTATTAGGCAAAACCAAAGGTGAGTCAATAACTTTATTTTGATATAAATTATTGTTTGTGTATTGTATATATGTATTTTAAATAAATAAATTTTAGTAGTATCCTTTAATTCTTAAAACATTATTAAATGAAATATTTTAATATATTAAACATATAATATGTATTATGCTATTTATTTATTTTTAGTTATCATAGAACACCACTAATAACCATAGAATAGTATGTTGATATTCTTATTTATTTTACTAAAATATCAGCTATATATTTCCAAACATGTTTGTAAGTAGTTTCTTAATAATTATGTGCTACTGAGTATCTATACTCGAGGTATCTATACCCTTAGTAGTAGCAGTTATTACTTAAATTATATAGAAATCCATTGGTGATTAGCAACTTTTAGTATTTTTTATGTAAAAGTAGTTCAAAATTATAATATGTTATGTAAAATCTTACTTACTGTAGAAAAAGAATATATTATGCAAATGCTACTTTCACAGATTCAATTTTATTTTCTCTGTAAAAAGTTTAGTAGGTTGTTTGCCAAGTAATGCTAGTGTTGTAAGTGCATGAATATTTTGTTTTGCATGTTTTGCGTATATTTAGTAGTTTGCACGTTGTTTATTGCTTACAGCTTGAAAGATTTCTTTGCCGTGAATGTGGTAAGGTCAAATGTTCGTGTGGCCAAAACAACGACGACCAGCAAGATCTCAGCCACCCAACTTTGGATGTAAATAGCCAAAGGAACGATAAGGATAGCAAAGATAACGATATCAGCGACTCCGTAGAGTATCGCAAACCGACAGAGTTTAGCCGTCAATGTTCAAGATCTGAACAATCCAATAGTTATACCCCAAAGCCCTTGTCCCGTCCCGTTCAAACGTCTGACCAACCCTTTCAAAGGTCTGTCCCAAATGAAAACGGCAAACTGAGACGGTCATTTATAGTGAGATCGAGGGAGGGACTAGAAAACTTCCTTAACTTCACTTCCACTAGGAAAGGACAGGAACAAGGCAAAGGGAAAGAAATGTTACGACAGCAATTTTAAATTCTTTGAATTTTGTTGTCAAATTATTCTTTTTGTACGACTTGCTTAATTTTTATTAGGGATTGCTCCACAATTTTTGTGCATTATTAGATTTATATAGAGTTGTGACTTGATACTACATTATTGGTAATATATTCATTTTTGTTTTTGCTATGGATACAGACGTCTTTGGCGTCACCAGTAAGTATTTTTTTACTTTAATGGTGTAGATTTTTTTTCAAAATATTAGCATGCATTTAAATTATAGCCGGGTGGTTGTTTGTGAACATGCACTGAGCATGCACTTAATATACAAAAAAATGTTTGTTTATTTATTTTATTTTTCACATATTGTCAATTTCAATAATAAAATACTGATTGATTTAAGAATTATAATATTTTATATAGCTAAATTCTAGAAATTTTCATATCCAGAATGTTATGTGAAGCAATCCCTATAAAAATTATTATTTTTAAATGTAGTATCATTCGTTGTTACACTGTTATGTAATGTACCTTTAAGTTTAGTAGTATTTTCTAGAATGTTTGTATTCAATGATGAAGTTTAGTACAAATTAGTAAATATATAAGCTATGTAAATATTAATCTAGACTAGAATTCATATACATTTAATATAGCATTATACTATATCATTTATTATGTAGCTATTGAGCGTGGCCGTTTTCGTACGGTTTGTCTGGTGGAGGTTATTTCACGCACATATATGTATATATTTATCACCTACTAATATTAACATCATTCATGTTCAATTTTCTTCATTGTAGGCTTTGGAATCAAAGTTAGCGTGTCGCGGTACAGTTAGACCTAAAGAGCATTCGCCGAACCCAAGCGCAGATGTGAATAAGGACTACAGGTGTGTACTAAAGAACTAAGGCCCGCAACGTCTTAGCACTGGCTCGTAGTTGTGTTACTACGTTATATACGATATTACAACATCGCTTCACGTTCATGTACTCCCACTTGTTTATTGTTATTCCATCTATGTACTGTGATCGATATCACACTTTCCTAATATTACTAATATCTGTGATGATAACAAAATAGTTAAGAAATTTATGTAATGGTGAATTATTTGGCCTACCCACCGGTGACGAGACGATAGCGACACGGCGCGTATCATGCCTTGCATCTTGCACTGCATCTCTTATAGATTACTTCTCGAATTAAGATAATATTCGTGTGTTAAATCGACGTTATTTAATTATATACTCCGGTTATAAAAGAAAATTTGCATATAGATTTATTCAAAAATGTAAAGATGTTATAAAACTATTCAATTTTAATAAATTAAAAAATAAAAAGTTCTCTCTCTAAAGACAATATGAATTACAAATTATGAAACATAGTATGGTTTTCTTTAAATAACCGGAATAATAAATAGTATTTTTCTCATTTGTGACGTCACTTTATGCCTCTTGATACTATGACACTACACCTGAGAATAGCAAAATGCTAATATCAAAAACAGTCTGAACGGACAAACAATTTTCGATGTAGGTGAGTTGTATAGAATGTTTAAGTCTATTATCATAATAATAATTTAATTAATACAATAAATATATATATTTTTGAATGATATTATTTTTGTAAATATTATAGTGTTACTGGAATCGTTAATATTACAAAATTTTATGAACTTTTTTAACATTTGTAGCACTTTATAAAGCATTTGCTCCTATTTATATATATTGCTAACAACATTTATATTAATGTATTGTCTTGTATCGTTCTTTTTTTTTTCTATAATACTCAACAGATGTCAGTGTCTCGGCAGTTCGAGACAACGTAAATAAGTATTAAAATTCTAAAGTACTGTACATGTGCAACTCTGTGTGACTAACATTATTAGCAAATATCTTTATCAGTAGATTAGAATGCAATGGAATGTTTTTTGCAAGAATATCTTTTGAGTTTTTTGTATTGTTCTAAACAGAATTGGCCTTATATTTTAATGTAAGATGAGTTTCATATCTACATTCCTGATATATTCATATTTCATCAAAGTAATTTAAAATCGAACGTTTACATTTGAAAACTTTTTTCTTGTCTCTAGCAACTTTTATTGAAACTAAAAGATCGAAAGGAACACGAAATGGTGGAACAAATGTAAATAAAAATACCGATTCTTGCCTAAAATATCTTTATCGATATCTTGGATATTGTACAAATCGTCTGTAGTAATATTTTTGTACTTTTCGATGTTCGTAAATTGTGTAATATGCCTCTTAAAACTAGATTCATAGCAACTTTAAAATTCTTCTAACTAGAATTGTGTATTTGTGTGTAAAAATATAATTTTTCTATCGGAAAATGTCGATATGTTTGAAGTAGACATGAGGCATAAAATATTATAGACTCAGAATAGTAACTAGATCTGTATGCTGTTAGATATAATCTACATTAATATCTAATATATACCTATGTATAATAATATGGATTTGCGATACAATAATCGGTTAGTGCAGATGTCTGTTGTCGTAGCAATGGTGACGTACATGAGCGGTGTCCATGCAAAGCCGTATATGTCGAAAATTGTTTGAGTGGGTTGACTCGGCCATCATACAATTACTGTACATTATTAGTAAGTAAATTCTAATTAAATCGCCCAGTCTGCTGCAAATAGTGTAATTAACTAAGCATTTATATGTTCACATGTGTGGTGACCAGACAATTTTTATTTTTGTGCGCAATTAATAAATAAGTCGAGGCAAATTTGTGTGATTTTTTTTTATTTTATTTTTAATTTTTATATTATTTGATTCCCTGTTATAACATTTGACACAACTTCACTCCATTTCACAAGTTTGGGCACTTTGACTGGCGGCTTATGGCTCTTCATGAGATCGTGAAAGGATTTATTGAATAACTTCATTTCGAGAATGAGTGTTGATGCATTGCTGTCTACTTCTTCTATTAAGATGTTTCCTAAAACAATGATTTATTATTAATATCAATTTTGCTGTACGTTTATAATACACAGAACATTTTATTCCCTAATGATATACATATATCTAGAATTGAAATCTCCATATTTAGATGGTGTTCGAGTTGAGATAAGTGAGTTCACTATATCGTGTCAGTCCTTCATAGACAGAAATGTATGATACACGCTAGTGATTTGATTTAACAAATTCAATACTAACAGGCGTTAAAATCTGCTTCTGTGCCTCTAGTAGTTCTTTTTAATAATTTATAAATTACCAGCGAACTGAAAGGTTTTTTTTAATAACATGTTCTTATAATTAATTGCAAATTATACAATAAATACACATTTTTATGACAAATGAAAATAGCACAACAGACCAAATACAAACTAAATATGAGTACATAACATTGTAATGTATTATACTATTATAAGACAAATAAAGGAATCGCCTTTAGATTTAAATCATTGAATTCCATTCCATATAAAGAAACAGGGCCATAATCCCGACTACTCTGTGTCAAGGACATCATATTTTGCCTGAGTAAGAGCTAAATGCCCATTGGACCAAATGGACTTGAATATCTCGTTATTTTTAAATTTGTAAAAGTTATTTACAACCATAAAAATTAAAAACAACAAATCTAAAAATTACAAATAGCGCCATCTATGGGTAGACAGTACAAAGTAGAGCTAATTTATTCAGTCATCCTATGTAAAATTATAAAGTATTGCAACTTTTATTTAAGAACCTTTTTTTCTTTATTCGTGTTTAAGGTTTTCTTATTATTAAGATATATAAATCTTTTTTCTATTATTTTTCGTTGCAAATTTTTCACAAACCTTAAAAGAGGTAAATTTTTGAAGATTTATTTTAAATATTATTTTTCTTTCTTGCCATAATTCATACTTTCAGTAACTGCAATTGTACTTTTAAGTAAAAAGCCTTAAATGCCATGTAATCTAAATTGATTAAGATAAAATAATTTCCAAATTTTTATCAACAAACCCAACATATTTTAAAATATGTAATAGATAGACTACAATGAATATTCAAATCAGTATAATATTTTGACTAATTCAGTTCAATTTTCTTGTTAATGACTTCAAAGTTTGCTACTTGAGCACAGATTACTTCACGAATGTCACATAGAATGGAGAACGCAAAAGAGATTGGCAGTAAAATAAATATTTTTGACAACAAAATTGACAATTTTATTTTGTAAAAAAATAATATTACCTGCTATTTTGGGAGATTGTGACAACCACAGCACAGCTACATAGAGTGGAAGGGTTTGTATAACATATATTACTTTAGTTAAGATGTACTGCACCAGCAGAGATAACACTCTGAACTGAAAATAACAAAAAAGGTATGCCCACTTCAAACTTATGTTCAATAAAATTATTTTTCTTAAAAGTATTTAGTATATGTATTTAATTTTTTTGTTTTATACAAAATATTTTTTGGAATCAACTTAAACTTTTTTATTGTTAACTGTACAAAAATTGATGGCAAATCTTTAAGGAACAGAAATTTATTCTTTTTATTAATTAAATAGTCGATCACTTACCATAGTGAATACAATATAATACATAACAGTTGTTGGTAATAGTAAAAGCAATATTGTGAATGCTACTGTTCCTACAAATAATTCTTGATTTGTATATTCACAGGAATCTATGCCACCTCTAAGTGGATTATATTTTCTTCCTACAAATAGTCTGAACAACGCCTTCAGTCCTGATATTTGTATATTAAATAATCTAAAACAATGACAAAATTTCATTAAAATACATGACCTGATTGTTGATGCTTGATGATCATATTTAACATTTAGAAATATTCTTACCGTGCTGCGTACACATATATGCAGTAAGAATGAAATGTAGCAATACAAATCAAATCAGATATAATAGCAGCTTGAAAAGTTAACCCTAAATAGCCCAAGTATTGATAAAACTTCAAAATTATGTCCAACTTTTCCCCTGTTATGTCTGTAATTTTTTTATATGATAATCAATTTACAAACATTATGTAGTATACAAAAGTAATGCCTTTTAATTCAAACTTCAGACTAACCAAGAAAGAGCCACCACAATTCGACATGATATAAAAAATATTTTCCTAACATATTATTAAAAGCGTTATTTAATTTAAGCCCAGCTGGTGCACCCATAAGCCATTTGAGTAATGAGTACATCAAGTTAACTAGTTTCTGAAAACAAAATATATTAATAATATATTTCTTATATATAATTAAACATTTGAATTATAATTATTGTAAGTTAAACTTATACCTCTAATATACTCATCAATACTACACCAACATCATTTTTGCCCAATAAAAACAGTTGCAAAAATATATATCCAAGTATTACATCTACAAAAATAGCCAAAACTAAATTCCCTTGCTTTATTGATACCTGAAATAGCCAAATTTATTTTAGAAATTATGAGATGTTTTTTTTATGTAATATGAAGTATAGCATATTTTGCAGAGAAGTAATCTCTTTTGAAGTGAAAACTTTTATAGGCAGGTATTATCAGTATTATCATCGACATGGTCACATGATGTGTTAAAGTAATTTTGTTTTCTTAACATAATTCATAAAAAATGATTTTCTTTCATCATTATATTAATAATGTACACATTGGGCTAAAAAATAGGTGCTATGTTTATTAATATTTTAAATTACAAACATGAATTGTTTGAATTTATAAAAACCTCGAACTCACCTGTTCCTTATTTTTTATTGTATATAAAAGCCATTTTAATAATTGAACATAATTATAAATATGTTGGCCAAACATAGTAGATGCCAGCAAACTAGGACTTTGTAATACTGGGTCATGCTTGTTTATATCACAAGTACCTTTATTACCTTTATGGATTAAATCTTGCAATATAGAAAAACATCCATTATTTGCATTAATAGTCACAGAATTCTGTACTTTTTTAAAATCATATAGAATTATAATGCTGTTAACAGTTTGTATTCTCTCTAAACCATTAATTATTATACTATATGGATAACCATTTTGATCAATAATAATGCTACTGAAATTGTCAAATTTTCTTTTAGATGAAATACTGCCATAATATCCATGAATAATATCATCATTTAAGTCTTTTATTTTTAAAATGTCTTTATCCTCCGAGAAAGTCGTAATAAATATTGTTAAACAGTTCTCCTCTAATGAACGTATATATCCTTTAATAAAAGCTTTCTTCATATTCACCGGTAAAATCGGCAGCAATATTTTAATAAGGGGGACACTCATTTTGCTTACATATATAATTTCGCATTTCCAAAAGAATTTTTCATATATTAGTAGAATATAAAAAACTTTTCAAGTAATATATATTATACTAGTTTATAGCTAGAAATCATTGAACCATAAAATATTATATTTTTGTCGGTGAGGGTTTAAAAAATCATTGCTTATTTTCCATTAAAAAATAAATAAATAATATTTTGTTTTTCAAAATATATCTACGGACTGAGTCACTTCAGTCCATGGTCACTTCAGACTTGTCACTTGACACTTGACATATCATAGTCTACAGAATATAAAATTATAATTCAGAATATAAAACTCACCCAGTTTTCCAATTAGAGCACTAAAGTGTATAGCGGCATAACGCTAACTTCGAATGTTTCAACTTCAACAACGCTCCACTCAATCGAACATTTTGAAAAGTACTGTTTTGGCGTGGTGCGCGCAAGGATACCAACTCAAAGAATGAGCTGTATTTGAAAATTGAAAGAAATTTCTATTAAAATGTAAACGTCCACTTGAAGTTGAGGATGATTTTCAGCCTCTCGAGACCATAAAACATACTTTTCTCGTAAATGGCTAAACATTTCAATTTAATTTTTTTAAATTTATTATAGGTATTTCAAAGACCTTAAGAATTCCCTTAATTTCATGAAAATCAAAAGATTATTCTAGAAATTAAAAATAAAAAACCAAGATAAAGTTAAAAACCGAGTTTTCTGCAAATATCTCGAAAACTTTGAGGTTATTGTAAAAAGTGTTATTTATACAAGTTGTAGATTTTTACTAGACCTACAACTTTTGTAGAAGATATTTTTCGATAAAACGTCACAGTAAGCCGGAAATTGAAAAAAAACTATTTTTCAACGTTTTGCGTCCCCCTATTTCTCAGGGGCATTTTACGAATTTCTATTATTTATATACTTGCAAGCATTTTAAAATCATAAAACTTTAGGTTTTCAATATTTCATTCCCAAACCGGATTCCGATTGGAATTAATAGCCATAAAAATATAAAGATTGTAATTTAATCCATTTTGGTCATTGGTGGTTTTTGATTGATATTTCACTCTTTAAATTTTGTTATCTGTATTCCATTTCCTATTTTTCTGTTAGCCAATCGCATGTCGCCATTTTCTAAGCCATAAATTTAGCCTAAGTTAATCGCCTAGGCATTGCAGCTTAATTTAATTTGTCGACGTTGTAAATTTTACACTTGGCAGTCCGCATAAAGTTAAATACAGCAGATCCTCTTAAATTATGTTTTAAATTTACAAAATACTTTTTGGGAGTGTTATAAACAAGTGAATACACTATGTCTGCTCACGAGCAAATGAGGGCAATGTTAGATCAATTAATGGGAACGGCTCGTAATGGTATGTATTTATTATTTCACTTTATTAATTTAGTTATTTTAAAGAAAATCTAATAGCTTTTTTATTTCACAGGTGAATCTGATAGACATGGAGTTAAATTTTACGATGACACTGTATGCAAATCGTTTTTACTGCAGTGCTGTCCACATGAAATTTTATCATCGACTGTAAGTAATATAACGTTTTAATTATATGTTGGGTTATGGGTGTTCTGAATATCTGAGATTATATATGGAAATTTTGTTAAATTTGAATATATTTAGATTACAGAATTATAAATATCAAAATAATTGATTAAATAATATTTAAAACTATCTCAGAGATTCTTTTGGGGTCTGTTCTCTTTCCAAAGTCATATATGTTGGGATATTGTATTCAAACTCTTCGTTGTTGCTGACATGCATTATGGAAATAATTTTTTATCCTAATATATGTGATATATTCTCATTCTGTCATACCTATCTAGCTTTTTATTATATAGTCCTAGGACGACATTACATCAGAGTGGCATTAACTGTGGTGAAATATGCTTTTCAGAAAATGCCCAACACTAGTCTTTATTGCTCATCACAATACTTAACAGATGAGGGATAGATTGTATGAGTTAGGCTGTTCTGTAAGTACCAAGATGTACGTATAAAACATTTCTAGTTAGCTGACTGTATTCTTACTGCTATGCAGGAATTAATTTAATCAAACTCTCTTAAGGCTTTAAAAAAATTAATTGTTCTTCGGTTTCTATTGCTGCTGTGGTGAGTACATGTAAAAATTATTCAAAAAATTTGAGCTGGGGAGATCAATTTGCTGATTGATTGTTACTTCATTGGGTACGTACTATGCTGTTTACGTGGCTAGATTATGAAGGTCAAATAGAAGTGATGCATGTGTAAGAAATAATTCTGAAATGTATTCCAAATTGACATAAAGGGATGTATATTTGAGGGTCAACAAACAAGATACTGCCCATTTTTTTATGATATTGAATGATATTATTAGCACAAGTAATCATTTGTCGTTATTATTATTTACAATTATCATTAAAAAGCTTTATGTTTGTATGATAGGTTGATTTGCACTAATTATAGATTAAAAAATATATATTTCATTCACATAGTGATAAATATGTATATAATTTTTTTTTCTTTTAAATTTATTTGGAATTATACCTTAATTAACATATAGAAGATAGAAAGAACTAGAACTAGAAAAATAAAAAAGAACTAATTATCAGAATTAATATCAAAACAACAATATGTTTAAAATTTAGTGTATTTAACATTACAAGATGATGTATGAATAAGGTCTTACTCTTTATAAAATAATACTTGTTTGAAAATATAAAAATTATTTCTTCTATTTCCCCACAAAATTGGTGTTAAGAGTATGTTTAAACTTTTTAGTTTTATGTCAATAAACTTTTGTTTTTTGAGCTGGTTAGGGTTATGGAGAGGGTGTTGCCACTGATTTGTAAGTACATATCTAAGTATGGTAAAAATATAGGTTGGTGATTCAGGATGAGCTGTGTTGGTGACATTGTATGTATTTCCTTGAAACAATTTAATTAAATTATTTTGGGGTTTATTGTAAATGTCTATTTATTTGTTCAACTGATCACATTATAATAGAAGCAATTTATGATGACTCGACTGCTTAATGCAGCTCACATAATATATTTATTCACTTAAAGTGTCAGGATATTTTAAATAGCATCTATTATAATGCATATTAACATGTATTGGCATATTTTGTTTTAAATGAAACAGTTGGTGTTTAAGTGTAAAAGATTTATTTTATGTATTCTATGTTTGATATGAATTCTTTTGTAAAAGTTAAATGTAAGGACATATAATATTGATAGAATAATAATAATTTGTAAGAAATTAATCAGATTACTTTATATTAACAATGGTTAAAAGTCAATTATTCAATTAAATTACTTATCATCTAAATTTTCATAAAAAAAAGACTTCTTTATGTCTTATTTAGTGTCATTTTTCACAGATTTTTCTTAAGTCTTTTATGACTAATTTTCTAAATTTTGTCAAGCTTACATCTGTACATTTAAAAATAAAATATATTTTTGCCCTCTTCTTCTTATTCTGGAGATGTAAGTAATTGCTTTTCATGTTATATGGTTTTGATTGCAGCGAATGGACTTAGGTGAGTGTCCTAAAATACATGATCTGGCTCTCCGTGCGGACTATGAATTAGCATCAAAAACCAAAGATTATTTCTACGATATAGATGTAAGTATTTTCTCTATGTATATTTATTGAAATTATAATTTACATTTTTTTTGTTAAAATATTGTAAGTTTTTCAAGTCTTCCTTTTCATAGTTAATATGTGTAAGATTCTTGTTATATTTTTAGTTAACTTGATTTGATTGACATATATGTTTAATTCAGGCCACAGAACACTTGGAGGCTTTCATAGCTGACTGCGACCGTCGCACAGCAGCGGCTAAGCAGCGTCTGGCAGAAACACAAGAAGAGCTATCAGCTGAAGTGACAGAAAAGGCTAATGCAGTACATGAATGGGCAGAACAGATTGGTCAGAAATTGGCCCGAGCCGAGGCTCTCGGGGAAGAGGGTATGGTTGAAGAGAGTGTTAAGCTTATGGGAGAGGTATGAGATTTCTGTATTTATTTTATTTATATACTAGCAGAATCCGCGGCTTCGCTTGCGCTAAAACTACAAAAAAAACTAAAAAGTGGGTTTCATAAAAACTTTTATCCCCAATTTTACCCTCTTACGGGTTGAATTTTAGAAAACGCTGAAATACGTAATTCATTATCTTTGCCGTACTCGATTCATACGAAATTTCATGCAAATATGTCCAAGGAATAAAAAGTTTTATACAAACTTCTATCCCCTATTTCACAACCCTTGGGGGTTGAATTTAGAAAAATCCTTCCTGCTGTTTCCTGGATGCCTTCGCTGCGATGCGGAATACGTTTGCGAAGTTTCAATGTTCTAGCCTTAAGGGTTTGGTCTGTGCGTTGATACATCAGTCAATCACTTTGGCCTTTTATATACATATAGGGATATTACTAATATATTTTATGTAAATGTTTTTAGTACATAAAGATTTCTTATTTTTTTAAATATTAGGTATTCTCAATGTTTAAATTAAAGAGTTGCACAATGGTGAGTTATATAAAGTACATTTTTATATTGAATATTGACATTAGTGAGATAGTATTAGTATTACATTTATATTATTTATATTATTATTTGTAACCTTATTTATTTATTTATATACATTTTTTCAAAATAATATGAACTATTTTTGAAAATTTTCCTCTTTTATAATGCTGTATCTCTATTAAGATATGTCTGCAATTACAACTCGCGAAATGAAATATTTTTATGAAATTAAACACTACCCTTTTTTTAAATATCAGTAAAAACAACCCTATAAATCTGGGTAAATTGCTAGTTTATACATGTTAATAATAAAAGTATAATATATGGATCATAATATATAAAAAACAATTACAGATAGACGAGCTACGCAAGAAAAAAGCAGTAGCAGAACAAGACTACCGCAACTCGATGCCGGCGTCGTCCTACCAGCAGCAGAAGCTGCGCGTGTGCGAGGTGTGCTCCGCCTACCTCGGCATACACGACAACGACAGACGTCTCGCGGACCACTTCGGTGGGAAACTGCATCTGGGTTTTATAACTATACGAGAGAAGCTGGCCGAGTTGAAAGTGAGTGGGAATGTTTTATGTAATTTTTGTAAAATTTATTTCGTGTATCATTTAGGTTTTGCTTTTCAAGTTTTTCAATGTATATTAGGTGTGCTTTCTGAAAAAAAAAACATTTTTTATATATTTTCCGATAAACTCCGAGCGAAGTGTGATCGCCCAGGTACTGTAATCTGAATACATCATACATAAATTATGTATTCAGGCTACTATGTGATTTGTATTTTTGCTTGTTACTCCTTGTAACAGTTGGATGGATATGGATGAAATTTAGTACACAGCCCTGTGAATGTATGCATCTAAGAATGTAAGTCTTTTGTAATCTATATTTCTTAAGTAGGTAATACTTGAAAAGTACTGTTCACAATGAAAATTCAAGCAATCAAACGTTTCCAAGCCTCACCATAAGAAATTGTCGATTGCTTTCTAACTAGGCGATTATGCTATTTTATTTGACAAAGTTCCAGCAATAATCATACAATTAGATTCACAGGGTACATAGTACACCATAATCTTAAAGATATTATAGCAAATAAAATTTACATAATATGAAATATGTCACGTATTTCATTTTTATTAACCGTAAAGTATTTGTGTATTTATTTTTAATAAATATAATTTTATGAAATTCAACAGAAAACTGTAGAGAAGCGTCGCGAGGAGCGCGGTGCGAGTGAGCGCGAGCGCAGCGGCGGGCGGCGCCAGTACGTGGGCGGGCGCGAGCTGGACCGCCGCGCGCGCCGCCACCGCGAGACCGCGCGCGACCGCCCCGAGCGCGCCGAGCGCCCCGAGCGCCCCGAACGCGCCGAGCGCCCCGAGCGCGCCGAGCGCCCTGAACGCGCCGAGCGCCCCGACCACCGCGACCGGGGCAAGGAGCGCGAGCGCGACCGCGACAGGAGGTATATATTGTCGCCGGAATTTTGTATCATTCCAGGCATAGTAGTCGCAACTGTTCTATCAATCTGTCTGTACATCTAGTCCATTTGCAGTATAATATTCTTATTGCTTGTTGTTTTGTTATCTTTAAACATAATCATTAACAATATCATTATACTTGATCACACACATTATAAGTAAGAAAGTTTTGTGTGTGGTGTGTTGTTGTATTGCTCCTTCATGCTGAAACAGTTTGGATTTCAGATTCGGATTACCTATATATGACCTGTGTACTATGTACCATATATTATATGCTACTCTTGGTAATTAAAAATGTCGATACACAGACACGAAGGTAGAGAGAGAGGGACCAGGGTTACCATTAATAAATATGATAAAAAAGCAGTCATGAGGACTGCTGACTTAATTGATAACTTATAACTATAAACAAACAGTTGTTATTTTCGGATATTCAAATTGCGTGATCTTAAATTAAAATTTGTGTATTAAAATTGTTTACATTTATCTGGTTTGGACATCTATCGGCACTCTGAGTGTTAGAGGTTACACGTCACATGACCATGTCGATGACGAACTCCCCATCCAAACCTGCTTATAGAAGTTTTTACTTCAATACGATGAGTCTTAATAGTGTAAATTTTTATATCTATACAGATAAATAAAAGTGTCTGTTTGTAATGTCAAAATAACAGCGTTTTACTAAATGCATACGAAACTGTTTACAATACTTATAAGAAAAACACATTTCTTTAAATTTTTGTCTGTCTGTCTGTTTGTTTCGGATAATCTCTGAAACGGCTAGACTGATTTTGACTGGACTTTCACTGGAAGATAGCTGATGTTATAGGGAGTAACACAATCTTCTTTTATTTTAGAAAAAGAATTAGGGTTCTGCTCAAAAAAAATAAAACGTACCTATACAATAAAATATCTATTGATGCGTTACAGACGGAGTCGGTCCCGTAGCAGAAGCAAGCGCGACACGTCGCGGGAGAAGTCGCGCGGTCGCGAGCGCGACGCGCGTCGTAGTCGCTCCTACCGCTCGTCCTCGCGCGAGCGCCGGCGCGACTAGCCAGTAGCCACACTACAATACACCAAGAACTACGAGCCAGGGAATATCCCACACTAGACCTGTAACATCATAAGTTAATATAATTAGTACAATAAAACCTCGGACCTGGCCACTGTTAAATTCTAAATTACTTGTAACTTGACATTTTACACATCAAACTGTTTGAACTTTAGTAATTTGGCAATACATATAGTTTTGTATAATGTAGCAACATTGATTATAATAAGACGATAATTATATATATTGAGATGGAAAGTAAAGGTCTTGTCGGTCAAACAAGTTTGTTCCTATATTATATATCCAATCAAAATAAATATAAAACTTGATAGATATAAATATACGAAACTTGATAAATGCTTTTTCATGTTATAATCTCGAGGCTGACGATAGTTCTCATTATATTAATTATTAGGAATTCTTACTAATAGTTTTACTATTCACATGGAAGTTGATAAAAAAATATTGTATGACATAGGATGATTGTGATTATAAGTTCACTAGCTTTAAGAAAACTGCATAGGCATTTTTTTAGAAAGCAATATAGAAAAATTCATGCGTGGCGTATAGAGATATCATAGTATCCACATTATTTCATAAAAAGTGATATAAAAGTAATAGTTTGTTGTAATTTGACTTACACTCGGCATTTGTGCGCATATATGGACTATGACGTACATTTGATATCGCATTACGCACAAATATAGACGAAAAGCAAGCGTAGTACCGTATTGATGAATCGAAAACATGACAGATAATAAAATTATTATAATGAAAAACAAGTTGGGGGCTGATTTATTGAAGTGTAATGATTTATGAATTTCATTGTTTACAGTTAAACTATCAATATGATGTAATCGCTGATTCATTAAAGAAAAAGGTAATAGACTGTGACGTTTGTGTGATTTTTTAAAATTTTCTTGTTTTACATTAATGTTTACATTCACATTATGCAGTGAACCCTGCCTTTTTTTTCACGGACTTTATCACATTCAATTAAATTTTATGTTTTTTTTCTTTAATATTTCTTGTCTAATTATCTCTTCTGGACATTATAAGTTATATTATTCTTCTGTCATATTTAATCTATAATAATGGTTCCATTTATAATGAGATACCTTTAAGAAATATAGTAGGCATATGTTAGCTATGCCGCTCTGGAATTGAGTTAAAAACATCACTAACCGAGTGATTTTCAAACAGCTTTAGTAGTAATTTTTAACCCCTGACGCAAAAAGAGGGGTGTTATAAGTTTGTCGTCGATGTCTGTCTGTCTGTGTGTGTCTTTTCGAAAATGATGTAAGGCATTTTGGCGTATGATTACTCGATAAGTGGTGCCAGTGTAATAGTAAATGACAATTAAATTGCGTAAGGGGTTTTTTAAATTTGTATTTTGTATCTTATTACAGAGCGACATAGATATATTCGCATACTATATAGTATGTTTTAACATAACAGCGTTTTATAATAAGGAATGCAGTTGTAACATTGAACTTTTATCTAATTTATAGATAGTCATTTTATTTTTCTTTTGTTATCCACTGCAATGAAATGTAATTATAATTATTTATGTTGTGTTGAATGTATTAAGGTAGTATCCCATATTCTTTTTAATATGTGTGTAAAGACATGTATTAAACGAGACTACTTTAATATATAGATTGTCAAAATTAGACATTTTTTTGGACAATTAACTGTCATTAATTTAATATGCCAGTGTTTCTTTGAATCTAAAAGTTTTACAGGAATTTCGTTTAGGCTATTCTTTTGTTACAAATAAAAAGTAATATAAGAAAAATGTGTTTTTATTTTGTACAACCATTGAAAAAATAAATTTTAATTTTATGTACATAATAATGGTATTTTATACATAAGTTGGTGCCTTGGTATCAAGCTATTTTATCAAAATACAATGTGTATAAGGAACTGAGGTCAGGTTATTAATTAAAATAAACTTTTAAAATTCTAAAAATTCTTTATTTAAAGTCACATTACATGCTGCTGCTACGCAAAATTGTAAAACAATCTACTGAAGTCGTAGATTTTATAGTTTGAAAATAAAATAAGCACCAGTACAGTTTGTGGTCTAGTGATTAGGAATCAAATAAAAATTTTATTACTTTTATTATTTATGGTAGGTTGGTTAAATGATTCATTTCTATATATTTTATTCTAAATTGACGTAAATTTTTTGAAACCCCTTTGTCATATGTGTAATAAAAGGTAAAAAAAGTAAAAAAAAAAATAATTATTGAAAAATTACTATGTCATAATATTTTATTTAGCTAAAAGTATTAAAATCTTTACTTGGTCGATAAGTAAAATAATAGATATTATAGTACATAATAGAATCTTAATTGAATGGATATAATTATATATAAATTTAATATTACATTACATAATATAACTTAACACATGGGAATAGATAAAATTTTGTTTTAGGAACATTTTTATTTTTCTAAAATTTATTAAAAGTGGTTTTATTGAATTTATAGTAAATAATACCACTTATAACTAGTTTATAGCGTCTCATTTTTAAAAGTTAACAATATTATTTAGATGGTATCTTTACACATAATATCTAAATTAAAAATCTTGTTATCAGAATATTTAACTATTTATTACATTAGTTGAGATCAAAATAAGTGTTAATAAAATTAGTACTGACCAAAAATACAAAGTGATTCTAGTAGTTGATATGACTCGATGCATGTTCATACGTTAAGTATAGTTTTAGAGGAATTTCTTTTTGACCGATTTCAAATAGGAGGAGGTACGCACAATTCGAATGTATAATTTTTGAAGTTATACTGCTTTTGGCACGTTTGGAAAAAAATATGAGAGTAAATTTTTTACGATACGCGAGTTAAAAGCGATATGATGAAGTTAGCTGCATTCCTTTTATAAACTGAGAGTTGTGACATACGGGATGAAACGTGATTCACCGTTCGGTCGCTGATCGCCTGGCCGGGCCTCCCTGAATAGGGTCTCACCCGGCCGGGCGATCGCCCGGGCGACTACCATTATGAAGCCTTAAGAGTCCCAGAAGGGCCCTCCCAGCGACGCGCCCATAGTTGTGGGCGGCGGAAGAACCCACGGTCAGGGGGCTATGCCCCGATACCGTTTCCCCACTCCCCTTACGGGGAATGTGAGATGACCACGGAAAAAAAATACGGGATGAAATCTTTAGCTATTCCTTATTTATGTTCTGTTACGCCAAAGTATAACTTCTTACGTGCATAAGTACCTACCTACCTACCTACCTACACACACGTTTTTTTATGAATGTTACGCCACATCTTCACATATTGTAAATCGAAACATTTAGAAAACTAAGAAAATGTTAAAAAGGTTTCGAAGTACGGTCACGGTCATAGTAGGTATTGAAGGTTTGACAAAAAAGTGTGTAGTGAGAAAATTTATTTTAAGTAAATATCGGCTATATCACACTCAAGATTATTTAAGATATTTGTGTTTTTGATATTATTTTACCCATTATTATATAAGGATAATTTCGTCAGAAAGTATCGTATATATGAAAATAATTACGCAATGAAAAATTATATTTAAATTAGTTATCAATGGCAAGGAACTACATTTTTTTCGTAAATTAAGGATTAAATAACTACCATTACGTATAAATACAGTTTAAGGAAGTTTTTTAATAAACTAATATTGATACAATAAGTAGGTTTTACTTCTTTCGGACTGAACTAATAGTATAAAATTATTTGTATTTAGATTCGAACGCGCGGTATTTTAAACCTTATTTAACCGTATAAGTAGTGTAAGCGAAAAATTCGAAATTATTATAATTTATGTTTAATGACCATAAGTGTCTCTGGACACTTTGTTAAAAAACCAGAAGTAAAAAAAAAGCAGTCACGAGGACTGCCGACAGAAACTATAAACAAACAGTTGTTATTTTTGTATATTCAAATTAATTGTTTGATATTAAATTAAAATTTGTAAATTAAAACTGTTTACATTTATCTGGTTTTGACATCTATCGGCACTCAGAGTGTTAGCGTTAACACCCCTATTTAAAAACTCCCAATAGGATCGCATCAAAAGCAACAAAAGCCACATAGAAACCAATAAATATTTATTGGTCCCTATGTGGCTTTTGTCGGTTTTGGTGGGATTCTATTGGAGTTTTTCACCAGGGACGTCACGTCACGTGACCATGTCGATGACGACACATGCATTTTAAACCTGTCTATAGAAGTTTATACTTCAAACATTTTTTCATTTGATTACAAACGTCAAGAATAAAGAAGTCAAGTGTATCTACATAGAAAACAATCAATTACTGGCCACAAAGAAGTATACATAACACAATATAATAGGTACCAATAAAGTAATATAGATAATATACGAGAACCTTGTTTTATCTACGATCAATAAAATATAAAAGGCTAGAAACATAAAAAAATATTGCCATATGTAATGAAAGTATAAAACAATCGTTCAAAAATCCATATATAAATATAGACGCAGATCCTGAGAGCATTTGTATAATGGAACTTAATAGATCAATCGGAATCTGTTTATTTTTATGAGAATTTATTTTATTGAAAACCTGAAGTTTTATGAATTTAAAATGTTAGCAGGTATATGTGGTGTGCTTTGCTTTGTATCGGCTGGCACCGACTTTAAAAATATATGATTAGGTTTGTATAGTAAATGAAAACTACCAATATGTAATTTTTTATTTTTGTGCTTTTTTTGAAGTCGGTTTTAATTTTTTTGTTAAAAAGTTTTAATTTTTCCCTTTTTAGTGTAGACAGTAGTAGCAAAGTAAGAAGAAAGTATTTTAATAAAATATTTGATGTCAATTTTTGTACGAAGACTTATAAATTAAAATTCGCTTTTATTAGTAACACTAAACACTCTGGCTCTAAAATCCGATTCTAACTTGTTAGGCTTGTCAAATCAAACAAAATAAGCCCAAACTCAAAGTGTCTATCTACTATTAGCCGTTGAAGAGTTCACCTATCCACCTTCTGGCCTTACCTTCTGGTCAGATCAGGTCAACGATACCTAAACACCGCACTATCAACGGAAATAGACACACTTGCAAAGTTTCAAGTTAATATGACAATTAGAATTAGGTTAAATTCATCATTAGCTTTTTTTCCACCCTTAGGGGTGGTATTTTTTTTTGAACTCTAAATGGGCCCAATTTGGAAGAATACACTTTCAAACAAAACAAAAATTGTCCAAATCGGTTTATAAATGACGGAGATCTAAGGTAACAATAAAAAAAAACATACCGCCGAATTGAGAACTTCCTCCTTTTTGAGGAAGTCGGTTGAAAACTCAAAATACAGTTTAGCTCTCACAATCCGCGTCTATGACTATAGTACATAAATAATATTATTATACCTATGCCTTAAAAATATCGAATATTTTACAATAATTAACTAGATATTGAGATCTTATATAAAAAATTGTCTATGCCTACATTATCTAATGAAGCGAGTCATCAACGCGGTTACAACTTACACTGTTAAGGCACTCCCCATTCATAAGTCTCTCATTTCTTTACTAAAACCCATTGAATATTTAATATAATTTAAATTTGTAAAACTTCATTCATAAAATTTGAATTCAGGTCACCCTTTATCTATGTGGAATTATTAGCCGCTTTAACATATTTTATAGAGAATTATTACTTAGTCTACAGTCTATTGTCTTTTCTGACACTTACACACTACGGGGGATTCCCAGGGAATTCTTAGGGACGTATCGGTAGATGGACTTAGATAATGGCAATTTTCTAATAAAATTTTGATAAATACACTATTCTGACAACATATAAACATTAATATTTCGTATTATCTAATACAAAATGATATTTAATATACTAATTTGAATACTTTTAATCAAGAATTTGTCTTGATTTGTAAGTTATTTAATTTTAATTTTATGTAGTTTCAGTTTGAACCCTAACATTTCCGACAGCACACCGGAGAGCGCTGAGAGGATCACTACTTTAGTAATCGTGTAGAGATAATGGTTGGCACATATGCCGGATATTTTAAATGGCGAATCCAGCTCCTGAAAGAGAATAAAATTAATTATTTGCCAATCAGACTTATTCTTCCCATCTTAGATTTCTTTAGACTGTGGATAATATATCTATACTCTATAGTCAATATAAAAATAATCGATTCATTTAGCGGTCAAATCCGCCAACTATTGTAACGCAATTATATCATGTCTTATAATTTATAATTTTAGTTTTTAAAAAAAGGGCAAAAATGTAGGCTAAAAAATAAAATAAAAATGTTGTCGGCTAAAAACTTAATCACCCTTATCTCACCTTTGGGGGGTAGATTTTATTAAAAATTAAATAAATATGAATACTTTTTTCTGACGTACGACAGATAAAATAAGCACCCGTTTTTAATGTACGTAGTATATTAGTGTGTAAATTAAATATCAAAGTCAAAAATATTAGCGTCATTTGCTGTTTATGTTACTATTCGTTTTGTTTTTTACCGTCGTTGTAGACCGTTTACTTTTTTTAAATAATAAATAAAATTTTAATGTATGTGTTAGTTAAATTAATATACAATTTTTGGGAGTAATACTATATTCTGTTGAATTGTTTTAAGAACTTCTTTGGAAGAGAAATTTCATAAAATTAGCTTATTTTTTGTTCTTCATAATAAAATTCGTTAGCTATTTCTATTTATTACATTTATTTACTTATTACTCATTATACAAATGTCAATTTGTATACTATTTTAAAACAGTGAGGCAGTGGTGGCCTAGTGGTAACGCGCTCGCTTGGGAAAATGAGTGACGTGGGTTCAAATCCCGGGTCTCGCACCTCTGATATTTTTGCGAATCATTACCAACACCACCACTACCACTTGTCTTACGGTGAAGGAAAACATCGTGAGGAAACCCGCTCTTGGCCAGCGTGGCGGGCCATAGCCTGATCCCCCTCGTATTGAAGGAAGACCCGAGTCCAGCAGTAGGACGTAAAAAAAGGCTTGAATACATACTGTCTATACTCTATATTATTGCTTAGTCTGAGATACAATCTTTATACTATACCTTTAGCAAATCAGCAGCAAGTTTGAGCACATTATTAGCCACAGTGAGCTGTTCCTTTCTCTCGGGCCGCTGTTCTATCGCCAGGTGCAAGTTTATCTGCTCAGTGATGATGGCGGAGAGACACCCGCGGTACTTCCTGTTGACGTTGCTGCCCAGCGTGAGCAGCCGCAGCAGGTATATGCCCAGGCAACAACTCCACACCATCGCTTCCAGCAACCATCCCCTTTCTAGTGTTACTGAATCCTGAAATATTCACGATCGTAATGTATCATCCATACTAATATTATAAATGTGAAAGTGTGTTTGTTTTTCTTTCACGTCGAAACGGCTTGGTTGATTGGATTTTTTTCTGTGGAGATAATTGGAGGGCTGGAGAGTGACATAGGGTACTTTTTACCGCGGGAGATCATCTCATTTCCACGGAAAAACACGTTTTGATATAATCCAAAAAAATATTTATGATCAGAATTACTTGAAACTTGGTATTAATGCTCTTCCATACAATTAAATACGTGTATACGTGTTTTACCATTTTTCGGAATACATCCCATAAGGGGGTAAAATAGCGGATGAAAGTTTGTATGAAACCTATCATTTTAGAGAATTTATTTTGTAGTTTTAGCGCGAGCGAAGCCGCAGATTCTGCTAATATACATAAAATTTAAAAATGAATACGTCACCTATTCGTAAGAATAAAAATGGATCAATAATTTATAGCGCAGAAAGACCAGTAATTTGCAAGTTTTTAGTAGTTTTTAAGTACTTTAAAGTCATTATCATCATATATTTGAATATAATTAAATATATTTGAATTAAATTTTTATTTCTGTTTATATACACCTTTACTTGCCGTTGCTAGATGATACACTATTTTCAACAACCTACCCGCAACAGCTGCGCGCTGACGCACGCCAGCAGCGTGAGGGTGAGCATGAACGCCGCCGACACGATCACGTCCACGGACCGCTGGGGACCTCTCCTCTGTAATATTATTAATGAATGAATGTTTGAAACAACTAATATATCAACTTCTGTAATACTTTCTTAGATTTACGCGAATATTTGACATTTAAAAAAAAAACAAAAAACCTTTTGTTTCTTTCAATAAAAGCTGAAATATCTCGAGTATTAAAGATTATTTCTTATCATATCTTTATATATATAATTCTTCTGTGAGTGTTAGTTATATTATACCGTTCACCATCCCTCCCAACGTGCGTTCACCTTGTCGTGGTGGGGGGGCTCAGTAGTGCCCGGAAATACAGCCGGGCGCGAAGCCAAGAAACGCACAGGGAGGTGGCCCACTTCGGTGGGCGGTGGGAGGTGGCCCTCTTCGGGGGGCGGTGTACCATGCGGGTTGCTCCTGGTACTTCTCTGATAGCAGAGTGGACTGTGGAGCAACCCCATGGTTGTGGTGGTCTGCTTCGGCAGACCTGCCGTCGGGGCGTCGTAGTTGAATGCGCAAGCGATCCTGCGACGCCCCATTAAGACAGGGGAAGGTTTTGTTGGGTTTTAGTGGGTAGTACTGGCTGTATTATGCCGGTGAGTCCCACAACTCGTGCGTAAATGCATTTCCCAACGTTAAAAAAAATAACGTTCACCATGGAAGCGAAGCGGCAAGCGATAATGAATTAGTAATTGTATAAATGTACCTAACGTAAATTGTACGTGAAGTTCCAGGAAATGGATAGGTAGGCAACTAATCCGTGATTGTTATTGATTCAAATGCAAACAAATATGGTACAATGTGGTTTTCGTTTAAGTAAATGCTAATTAATAAACAACATATCACCTTATTGTCCGAAACCGACTATTCGTTCTATAAATTTTACTACACATTGAATTCAAGAACAAAATATACGTGTTATTTGTTACCTTATATTATTTAATATTCAATTATACAACTTATTAAAATTAAAATTAACAAATATCATAAGGTACTTCGACGCCATTTGTCTATTTCTTCTTTTTTTATAGTATTCAGTGACAACCGGGCAGACAACCCACCTGATGGAAAGCGGTACCTGTCGCTCATAACACCTACGGTTCATGCACTTAGGTTTTATGTTACAAAAATACAGAAGCGCAGGTGCGTTGCCATTGTGAGGACTAAGATGATATGCCTCTTGCCTGTAATTGCACTGGCTACCATATCCTTCAAACCGGAACACAACAATGTAATCATTGTTGCTTGGCGGAGAAATAGATAAGGGGGTGGTACCCATCCAGTCGGACTCCTCACGCTTGACAGAGTCCTACCATCGGTAAGCGATCTCCTGTGACTATATTAGTTGTTAAATATTTGAAAAGGCGAAAACTAAAATATAAAATAAAACCGCTATAAAATGCGTAAAGATAGTTTTCATTTAATTTGCTTAGCCTCTCTTCCTTCCTTTCTGGTTCAGATGATTTCAGTGAATTTGTAAGACTTAGATTATATCTATACGAACAAATACATTTAAAAAAAATCTACAACTTACCCGTAAATACGACCTAGTAGATAACCAAGTCTTGATATTTCTGACTGTGTTCAGTCTAAAGTGTGGCAATTCAGATTTCCTGGCGCGTCTAGCCGAGGTTAGATGTGAGAATAGTTTGGCGTAAAGGAACCTCTGCTTGTAGGCGCGCTCCGCCACCGCCAGCAGGAAGAACACCAGGCCGCTGAGAGCGAACCGGAGAATGCTCGAGAGGATACTCGATGTCACTTCCCTGGCGGTTTAATAAACACATTACATGGCATATCTATACATATAATAAAACTGTAGATGATAGGGGAGCCCAAGAGGGGATTTTTGTAGTTACTCAGGTCGAATGTCTGTACATACAAAAAAAATACTAAAAACCGAGTCAGGAGGATGTAAGAAGAGAAATAGAATAAATACAGTTTTTTTATTCAATTTTTTTGATTCTCTGTCTGTTTGTACAGGCTAATCTCTGAAACTATTGGACCGATTTAAATGAAATTTTGCATGATGTTACCCTATATCTCCGGTCAATATTTTAGATACTTTTCATCCCGGAAATTAAAGAATTCCCGTGGCATATTTGAAAAACTATAGTAACTTATACAGCTTAGTACACAAAAAACATTGATTGGATTTTAATGAAACTTTACAATAATATAGTTCATACATCAGAATAACAAATAAGCTACTTTTTATCCCGGAAAAATATACGGCTCCCGTGGGATAGATGCGGCGATAGATGATACGTGGGATGTGGGCGCGCTCGCTCGCATAAGCATGTACCCTCATTCTTTGTGTATTGGTGAAAAATAAAATAGATAAATTTGGTTCTAAATCCTTTTTCAATGTTCAATAATTACCCAAAAAATTATTCAAAAGCTTTATACGTGAATGGATTACTTACGAAAACTAAGTTTGTTTACTAAAGTTTATGAAATTACCATATATTGTCTCCAAGCGCGCCATTGAACACGCAGTATACTGAGCCCTGCGTGTAGTTCACCACTAGCGACGGGATGTAGCTGATCAGTGACACCGTCTGCAACTCCTCTTCACTGCGAGTGTCCTGCTCAATAGCTACCTATAAAAATGTATTTGTTAAAAACAGGTCTTGGAAAGTCGTTCAATTTTTAAACCCCAAACCAAAAGGCTTTTCGGTTTTCGGGCCTTCACACTTCGATCCTTCGTTCGGTTTCGGTTACGTTCTTTAACCGGTTAAATCCGGGGGAACGGTTTTTGTGTATTGAAGTGTGCTTATGAAGGGATTAACTGGTTTATTTCAGTATCAAAATCAAAACCCAACCTTTCTCTAATAATAACCGTTAACCATGATTATTTCGGTTTACTAAACAGTTCGTTTTCATTAATCGGTTAAAGAACGAGCGATGATTGACGACATTACCGAAATAAAACATTTTTTTAAACCGGTCGGAGCCTTGATTAAGAATAAATAACATTTTTTTCAACATTCTTCTACGAAAATTGTTTTTTAGAATTTAGTGAAATACTTTAAATGAAGTAGTTCAAAATTTTTGCCTAAATCACAAGTCAAGCAATTAAATCGTTAGTTTCCTTATTTATTAAAAAAAAAACATTATTACACTTTATTTTTATCAGTTTTTTCAACGCCTCAACACAATCAAGTCAAACCTCTTGTGCGTGCGTGTTGTATTACACATGCATTTGCAGTTATGTGTGGGTATGTATATTTGTGTGTGTATACCTGAACGAGCCTAGAGAAAGGCGCGACGACGGCGACGAGCGCGGCCATGACGAGGCCGGCCCAGGCGGCGCCGTGCGCGGCCATGGCGCGCTCCGCCCGCGCCACCACGTACCAGCTGATGTCCACCGCCGACAGCTCCGCGCGCAGCGTCGACCCGCGCTCCCACATCGTGCACTTCACTGTGCAGGCAAACAAACAAACACCAACTATTGTATACCACCGACTTGTGCGTCTCTAGGCAAAACAATAGCCTATGAGTTGCTCCGAGTTATAGTCTATCTGTGTACAAAAATTTCATCCAAATCAGTCGAGCCATTTCAGCATGAAGGAGTAACAAAGAAACACATATATACAAGCTTCCGCATATATAATCGTAGTCCGATGTCCAAGGTGTAGTAATCTATATATTCATCTAATGAAGGCGTCTAGACAGCTCCAGGACAGAGGGTCCAAAGGGTCTTGCGTCCCGTTTTATACCTACCAGTCGAAAAACAGCTTTTTTATCAGGATTAGCGGACACTTCGAACCGTTCAATATGACAATTAATATTGAACTAGGGTCTCACGATTGCTTCGCTCGGGTTTGTCCCTAGGTACGTTTTAACGTATATATAATATTACTGCCCTGCTCCGTTGGGATGCATGATAGCATGATGATATATAGCCTATAGCCTTCCTCAATAGACGGGCTACCTAATGCAAAAAGATTTTTTCAAATCGGATTAGTATTTAGTTCCTAAGATTAGCGCGTTCAAACAAACACTGCCTCTTTTTAATATTAGTATAGATTAGTATGTGCATTCTTGCATTTAGCAGGATTTCCGAAAAATAATATTACTCTATTATTGTATAATGTGATACCTATCTTATGTGATTATCAATTCAATTTGCTCAAGCCATATACAATACAAAGAGAACTTGTTATGTATTTTAATACTCGTCAAAGTACGTAACTACGTCCAACTGAAAATGTTCCGAGTATATTTACATAACCGTTAAGTGCACTACCGATGAGAAATCTTAAATGTCAATCGTTGTATTAAAATATAATTTTATCAATATTTATATATTCATTACTTTATGTACATGCCAATAAGATTATCTTAAATATATAATAACTCATAGACTTACAAAACGGCCATCTAATTAAATTGAAGATTTAAAAATATTTATTTGTAAAAGTTTATTTGAATAAAGTTTATTCTGATATAATGGTCGCCTGTTTTCGTTTACATAACGCAAAATGTTGATAATTAGATATCTCCAGCCCAATCCCTGAAACGTTTCTAAGTACGCTAGAAAGTTAAATAGAACAAAAATAAAATATATACATATATGTACAACAAAATAAGATATACCTACAGATACACATTAAAACATTTACTACGTCATTTTAAATATATGCATTTATGGGCAAATACCTGTATCACTCGAAGGGTCTAGTATAGCAAAAGGATCCCAAGAACTGTCCGCAGTGTAATGAAAGCCCACGTCAGAGTGCCCAGCCTCGGATTGCGATCCATAGCTACTTTCCTCGCCTAATTGAAAAAAATTATAATATAAAATACGGTTATAAGATAATATATTCAATGTTTAACAAGAACATGGACAAGGCATCTTACTGTTAGTGATTTGCCCAACCCAGTCTGACATGGTATGGTGCGATGGCAATGCGATGGAAGGCGCGGAGGCTGAACATTCCCCATCAGATGACGAAGTCTGGTAATTGTCTAATTTCTGAACAAATCATTGCAAATTAATAATGAACGATGACGTAAAACCCACACACAAACGAAGATGAGATGTTTTAGTAAAAAAAGCTACAAATTATCTTTCCCAACCAATGCACACCTCACACTGTTGCGAAGTGGTGTATTTAAATGATTTTTAACATTTAGCACAGATTATGTACGTTAAAATATGGTTATAAAAAACCTTTTTCATCATAATCTTTACTCAGACATTCATAAAAAACAAAGTTTTAAATAATGATTTTACGCTTCTACAAATGTTAATAATACTTTAAATCTATTTCTTTAAACAACAGATGGGTTTGCATTATTAAAATATTTCGATGCAAATCTTAATTATGAAAGGAATCTCACGAAAAACACGCAACATGCAGTCAGAATTGGACCATTAGCTACCTGTTTTATCGTGTTGTAAGGATCTTGCATTTACCTAGTGTTGAAATAGTATGTTAAATATTGTATCAAAAAGGATGTTTTGGCAAATAAATACGACACATAATTTCATTTGTATATATTTATATATGACAAACTAATATTACCTTCGGCTTTCCTTTGATGGTAAAATCATCATCGCTGGTTTCTTGATGAACGGTCTCTTTAGCCCACGATTTTCTAAACCTAACTCCAGGTCTTTTCAAAACATTAGGGTTCGTTGTAGCGCTGTCAGAATCAGGATCTATTGATTTGTCTTCATCGTCCTTACTATCCTTAGTAGTTGAACTAATTCCCTCGAATTGAACATTTCTTTCATATTCTTTTTCAACGGGCTGCTTCGAAGTGGTTTGTATTTCTTCTGTATCTTTATCTTTTACTACATCTTTATTCTTATTTGCCGGTTCTTTATTACGATTTTCACCATCACTACCATTTGAGATGTAACCGTTAAGGCTTTCAAAACCGTCGTCCCCATCCGCGAACAGCGGTCTATTCAAATTTTGGCGTACATTGAATATTTCTAGATATTTTTTGGTTAAAATATTAGGTTTATAGCGAAATGTGGTTCGCGGCGTCGAATCTTCTGGAGGTGGAGTAAAAGTCACTATAGGCGCTGTGTCATCAGGTTTTTTCCAAGACATATAGTCTTCGTCATCTGAATCCTTCACTTTGGCTTTTAACAGAGACTTATCTTTAATTTGAGGTTCATCTTGTGGTCCTGTATCTTTTACAGGTTCTTTTTTGCGTTTTCTGAAAAATTATATAAATTTGCCAGTATATTTATTCATTGATGTTTATAAGATATACTCATCATATTTAGTCTGTGGGTAATTTTTAATTTAATTCAATATTTTACTATGGCTACACAAGATACTGTTTATAAAAACTTAGATCAAATTATCCACAGATGACAAAATAACTAGTACCCATTAATGTAAGTTCCGAAAACTGCCATGGTCTTCATAAATAAAAACGCAGTAACTATCTGTAAATTCAAAATAAGTGTTCTATGTTGAGCTCATATGGTTATTAGAACAATATTGAAGCCTAAAGAGCAATTTTTCTTGTCTATCTGTTTGTCCGGGCGATGTAAGCAGAACTTCACTGGCCGGTAGTCGGTAGTGACATAGACTATTTTATCTTTTGCCGTATTTTTCCATTCGATAGTTGACACTATTCCTCACCTCGTTTTAAATCGTCGAAAAACAAATAAAAAAAATATTGGTGCGTGTAACCTTTATGTGCGGTTGAAGTAAAACTTTTTTTTTGGCAAATATCGCAATTAAATTAAAACAAATCAATAATTAAATAAGGCATATTACAATCATATATTTATAGAATATCATATACGGAAAGAATATGATATATTTGTCAGACAATAAAAACGGTTACCATGGCAACATGGCAATATATTCTATCTCATTCTCTCGCCGGTTTAATCCTATATATTTATTTGTTTGTCTCTTTTTAGTGTCGCATTCTCGTATCATCCCAAAAGGAACTAACTTTTTAGTAGAACCCTCGAATCAAATTCAAATTGTCGGCGTTCCGAACGGACGAAAGGGTGCCAAATTTACGAAGCTTAGTCTTATATTTTACTAGCAGAACCCGCAGCTTCGCTCGCGCTAAAACTTATCCCCTATTATACGCTCTTATAGGAAGAATTTCGAAAAATGCTATATAACGTATTTGTTTAATTGTATTGCAGAACATTAATGCAAGTTTCAAGTAATTCTGATCATAAATAATTTTTTGGATTGTATTATAACGTAATTCCTGTGGGAATGAGATGATCTCCTGCGGTACTTTTAACAGCCGTTTGCCTATGTCACTCTCCAACCCTCCAACTATATCCACACAAAAATCACGCCAATCCGTTATCCGTTTCGACGTGAAAGAAGGACAAACAAACAAGCACACTTTCACATTAATAATATTAGTATGGATATGGATATCAAAAATATAATAATTGTAACTACGGCAGCTGTAAGTCTCGAATCTTAAAATTATTTCGCTAGTAGAAAACAATTTTAATTTATACTGAAAATAGGCTACTTTTAACACGATGTAGCACGATGTTTGTATGGAACATTAGGATAAATTCCCCCGAAAGTCACACGCAATATAGTTTATGTAGACCATAATATGTATTTTTTAAAATATTGGCATTTCCTGAAATATTATAATCTAGCTAGTCCTACGATATGGCATCGGTTAACATTATTTACGGCAGCAATATAATATGTGCGCGCAAAACAGTATCGGCGAATAAAATACAATAAAATAACTGTAAACGCTAATATCAACTGAGATTATATTTATTGCTAAAAATAGCAGATAAGAAATAGCTGTCGTTACAAATTAGGTATAGTTTATTTTACTAATTCACATTTAGACTGTTTTTTTTATTATTATTTAGTGTTATTATTGTATTTTATATAACATGAAAATCAAAGGGAAAATCCAATGAGTAAAATTTGAAAACGGACAAGTGTGACTGTATGTTAGTTGTTTTATATATTGTTACGTTTTTGTTTTATTTATTTTTTGTATATTGTTACCACTGTATAGGTTTTTGATTACATAATCAACAACAATTTATAAACTAGGTACATTAAAATATTTCATATTGATAGTTTTACTAATTAGTATACAAAATTATTAACAATTAACTTATTACTTTTTGGCTCATGACGACTGTCGACGCACACACACGCAAAATATGCGCATAGTCGTCGAGTTGCGGAAAATAGCTCGAGCATACCATACCATACTATACTGTCGACGCATATTGGTTAGCTAGTTCCTAGGTTCAATTTCCGGATCAGTTAAAATGGTTATTGGATATTTCTGTAAAAAAAAATCTCAGTACCAGCTCGAATTTGGAAGTTTGGCGATGATGTACTTTTGTGCCTTTGAAAGCATGTAAACAAGTCTGACTATCGTAGACAAACACGTGTCACACCATAATCAACGAATACGTTTACTACATACGTTTAAGTTTACATACAATTAAACGTCATATTTTAGTTAAGTTTTGCCAATAAAATAACTTTATTTTAAGTAAGCACAAGTCTGACTAACATTTGGCTAGTTTTTATAAATTGTTGTTTAAATAGTTAAAATTAGGACAGACGGACAAACAGATACGAAAAGCTTAGTATTATCGTGTCTCACTTTACTTTAGATAAAGATTTTTAAAATTAATTAATATTTTAACTTATAGCTTAATTAATTACCTAAGTCCCGCATCAGTGGAATCAGAACGTGAGAGTCGCCGTCTAAATTTAGAAGGTTTTGTCAATGGCGTTTTACTTTGACTAGATGTGGCGCCACTTTCAGCTGAACCTCCCCCGCTGCCCCCCTCACAGTCAGACCGCCCTTTTCTGTAATAAATAATGAAATATATATATATATAAACAACACTTCCCCTGTCCCCATTAAAATAAACACACATACACACACATAAATAAGTAAAAAATTTATAACTGTGGCAGATACTTGTATGGTCAGTGGATACAAACTCTTAATAATTTGTTCTAAACTCCAATTATATCGAAATCCGGTTCTTTCTTGTATTTGATTGCTATATACTTGTAGTAAAATGTTATATATAAAAATATTACAAAAACAATGGAAAAAATTATATTAATATATTTTATATATTATAATAGTATAAATACCTAAAATAACGAGGTAACTTCCGTCGGTATGTGGACCTAGGGCGGACTCTGCCAAGCTCCATTTCAGTGGTGCTGACTATTTGTGAGTGCACTACACTCAGTACAAGCATTAGTCCAAGCGGCACAATCCAACAGTTTGCCTAAAACCATTAAACTACATATTTATTTAATTTAAAAAAACTTATAGGTAATATATTGATATTTATGGATAATAATTATTATAACAAATAAGTTATTGAAGCTAATAATCTGATTTTCTTAATTTATCTGGCTCGAAGGACCATGAAATTAAGATATTTTTAATGAAAAGTATTTTAAAATTTTATGCCAAAGAGACTTACGTCGATCTCAATAGATGTAGGAGCGATAAAATTAATGGAAATATTAATGACTTGTAAGATCCACAAAGCAAGAAGGAAATTTGCACAAGTTGCTGATGTTTGTTGAGCCCACCACTGGTATAGCGCTGGTAGAAAAACTAGACGTACTAGGGCATACCAAACCACGCGACGCATTCCAAGCGTGGGTTTTGCTTTGGGGAATGATGATCCTAAACAAAACATTTATTTTAATATTAATCTTGATAAATTATATAATAAATTGCTAAATGAAACTATCTTTTTGGATTATTTTGCAGATTTATTTAGATGTTTGGTTCCCAACATTTCGAATGATTTGCAGCAATCATGGTCACTCGAAACATCGGGAACCAAAAATCATAATAAATCAGAGAAATAATCCAAAAATATAGTTTTGATTAAAATGTCAAATATTCACATAAATCTAAGAAACTATTAGTAAATTGCTCTTAATATGTTATGTTATCCATTAATTACATTCTTACTTTTAAATCAAAATATTAAAACTATTTTTTTATTATGACATGATGACTTATTGTCTGACATGACTATGTTTTATTAGGATATAGAAGTAAGCAATCTTTTTTACTATGTCCACATATAATATACTCCATATATAATATGTCCATATATAATACTTTAAAGTATGTATAAAATAGATTTCTTACCTCTGACTAAATCAACATCTATTAGATATGATCTGGGATGTGAGGAAAAATCAACAATTCGACGACGATAAGTGCCTCGCATAAGTAACTGTTCAACCATAGTTTCCCATTCTTCTTTATCATAAGAGCTTATTTTCTTTTGATACCTTTAGGTAATAATTATTTCATTAAGAGTTGGTATATGTCATAACTCTGTTTATGAGAGTATAGAAAAAAGACAAATTAAATATACTATAATTTATTAACCTAAACAAATTTGTTGGGATATGGTGGATATAGTAATATCTAGTTTCATAAAAATAAAACATTTCAATACATAGTGAAATAAACATGTTTGATGCAAAGAAAGTATTTAAAATAATATGTAAATAATTTACTATGCAAAATGTACACTATAATTGTTTAGTTAAGTAATTACATATTATTATTACAAAATAAATAGTGAAACTTTACCTCAATGTATGATTTAATTTAGTAGTTAAACTAGACTTACCAGGCAGCTAGATGCTTCATCTTGAAACCAAATAAAAATATATTTTTGATTAAAATTTTATTCTGTTAAAAGATTCAGTCTGAAATAAAAAATGTTTAGTTTTAAAAATATTTAAACGAAGTATTTAGTAATGATAACTATATCTCATTAATGAACAAAGCTATTTTGTTATATAAATTGTCAACTATTGTTTGTGTTGTTGAAAGCTGAGATAATAGAAACTATTGTACAGAACAAAATATTAGCCACTAAAATAAAAAGAATGATTGAATGTTTTATCACTTGATGTTTTGTATTTTTGATATAAGTGCGGCTATGAATAGCTGCGCTACTTACTACTTTAAATATTATTTACCGTTCAAACTCGGCTAAATTTCATTTTTTTTCTACAGAAAATTTCATATTGCCCTAGTAAAACACTAGCCGTTCACTTTGTGGTTTTATATTTTGAAATATTTTTTTTTTCACGATTATAATTACAAAGATATTTACTGTAAAAATACACAATCCCCTTTCAAAATTTGACAAAGACTGATTTAAAAATGTCATTTATCACATATTTGACATTCAGATTTGACATCTACAGATTATAAAAAAGTAGACATTTTTTTTGTCTATGAACTATATTTTGCCAATCTACTTTATTAAACACTAGTATTGTCCGCGGCTCCGCTCGCGTTCAGATAACCAAAAACCAAATTCTTAGGTTTTACATATTAGTATACTCTTACAATGCAGTTTTTGTATTTTTTCTCAGAAATGAGATATTTTCCCGAGGTAAAAAGCAGCTCATCACAATACAAAATTTCATCAAAATCGCTCCAGTGGTTTTTCTGTGATGCGGTAATAGAGACAGGCACACAAAAATTATAAAAACTATAGATTCGGCCTCTGTATCGATAATAATGTTTATTTCAATAAGATTTTCCAAAAAATATTTGTTGTACAGATTCGATTTAGTTAGAATTTTATTATATGTATAGATTTCTTTTATGCCTGGTTTTTTGCTTCTATCGTGTTCGCATCTAACCTGTGCAATGTATTGTACCTGGAAGTTAGACCAACTGAAGGAAAGAGATGCATCCTGCGGTGGTCCTGATTGACTGATAGACCAACACACAGCCTAAATCGCTGGTTGTGGAAACGTGAAATTTGGAGGACGTATTCCTTATATGATGTAGACATTCAATAGGAAAGGATTTTTCTAAATTCTCATCCTTTAAGTGGCTAAAATAGGGGATTACAGATTGTATGAAACTTTGTCATTCTTAATGTGAAATACACATAAAGTGATGATTAGCCTTAGGATAAAAAATAAGAAATATATTTATTTGATTTTCTTTGAAACTCATCTCTTAAAGGGGTAAAAGGGGGTAATAATGTTTATATGGCAAAGAATTATTTATGATCAGAATTACTTGAAACTTGGTATTAATGCTCTTCAATACAAATAAATAAATATATGTTTTAGTTTTTTTTGAAATTCAAACTCATAAGGGGGTAAAACGGGGGGTGAAAGTTTGTATGAAACTCTGTAATTAACATGTAAAAAAGTTCAAAAAATTAAAAAAAATATACACCTGTAGACGATTTAAGAGATTTAAAATCACTTTCTACAAAATGATGTCAACATAGACTTAATATAAAGATTGTGATTTCGCCAATTTTGGTTGTTTATTGATTTAGCCCACAATTTCTTCAGTTTTTGTCTTTTGGAAATAAATGATATCCTTTTTTTTGCATACGGGCACTGCAAAATTAGTCATTTTAATCAAATTTTAATAAAATGAACAAAATTCCATTCACCCTTTAAAGCTTTACATAAACTGAGGCCTATAGTAATCGCGGCATCTGGCGGGGGAAAATGGCAAAATTCTTTCCCCATTAAGGGCCCTAACGCCCTATTACAGGGCTCATTCATGGTATGCGTGTTATTTCACGATTCAAATTCAATTTGTCAAAATATCCGATATTGATTTTCATATTTGTTTCGTGGTTCAGAGTTTAGTCTTTATCCTTGGGTGAACTACCAAACACGATGGATGTGAATACTTTAATGTTGTGTTGGTATTATCGTCGATATAAAAAGAGAATAAAAAAAGAATACACTGGGTGCATCCAATTTTAAGGCAAAGACAATGTTTTGGAGCTTTTCATACTTTAAGACCAGGCAGTGAAAAAAATTCCACGCTAGTTCCGCCCATGCGGCTCACTGTAACTACTAGCAAATAAGGTTGAATATCGAATATCCGATCAACCTTATTCTTGCACAGAAAATTCCAAAACCTAATTTAATTTATTATGAGAATAATAATTGGCCAAGGTAAATTTTGTTTGAACGGCGGATAATAAGCTATACTTTTCTGTGAGTATTTATTTTGCATATGTAAGTTCTAGAGGTAGTTTTGAAGAAAAATTCAAAAATCTCTAAAAATGGTAAATTTTTTGAAAAATGAAACTATGGAGGAAATATAATTCAATTGCGTTTCTGTCTTATTAACGGATAGAAAAAGATTTGAAAAATTATATATATAAGTTATCGCATGGATTTAATATCTGGCTTACTTAGAATACCTCGGCAAATCAGCGTTAAATTTGCGCAGCCCCGTCGTAATGAGCGCGATTTCGCGATTCGTGTTTTTTGACGAACGTGATTTTTTAAAGACGATTTACGTGATTTAAGACGTTTCCGCATTTTTCATGATTCGTGATGCGTGTGAACCAAGCGCGGATCCAGGGGGGGGGTCATGGGGGTCCGGACCGAAAAAACGGCGCGGATATTCATATTTCATTTGTTTTCCCGCGCTTTTGCACAGAGATGTCGGTAGTCACGGTACCACCAATCACCATGTGGCACTGACTAGTCACGAATTGTTTGTAATACTGAAAATTATGATTACAAATTATGTAACTCGCTGACGATTATAAAAGTACTGAATATAAGAATATAAGCAAGGAATATCTCGAAGTTTTATTAGGGACCCTACAGTATATACTGATAATTATGGTAAGGTTAGTAAAAAAATATTATGTTTTATTATAATAACATAAATAATGTTAAACGTAATTATTTGAATTAAAACATGCAGTTTGGTTTTATTGCGTGGGCGAAGTGATACAAAAATATTTAAAAAACATATCCTTTTTTATTAACAAATATGATACTTTACAAACGTGTCAACATTAAAAATATTTATTGCATATTCTACGTAAGTCTAATTCGTTGTAGTTACGAAGGTAATTCTTTTCGAGTTTGTTTAGGTAAGAATATAATACAACAATTTAATAACTAATTATATTTTAAATTATAATATGTAGGTACATGTTAATATCAAATATATATAATATGTAGGTACATGTTAATATAAAAATATACTTTTTGAAAAATTTTGATGCAGACAGTAGGTATTACAAACATAATTTAGAATTTTACATTTATATCTATTGTAGGTTTAATTTAATTTTTCAATTGTATTAAATAAGTAAGTATGTTGCATTTTATGAAATGGATTTAACAAAAACTAACTTAAAAGATAAAAAAATTTGTAACTATTTAAAAAAGCGAAATAAGTAAGAGATTTCGGAACAGACTAGACTCATTTTTTATTTCTATTTACTTTGGTTGTGCATTAATTTAATATTAATTTATTTCCATATTATCGCTCTGATAACTTAAAAATTGCTTTTTTGTACAAGTAACTATATATTTTAAAATAACAAATTTTAGTTATAGTTGTACTATTTAATTTACATGATTTTTAAGCAAACAAAAATTACGAAAGCACCGTTATATCATTCAACGAAGTTATTCCGTATTGCTTGCGTATAAATTATATAAGGGCAAGTACTGTCTTTAGGATCTGAAAGTGCTGGCATGGTGACTTTTTATTGGAATGATACCTATGACGGTATTAAAATAATTGAATTACTCTGAATAAAAGTAGTTAGATATAGCATATTTTACAAAACGTTAAATAGAGCTATTTTATGTTATTTGTACTTGTCAGATTTGTATATGGCTTGCATTTTGTTATTTATAATTCGGTTGTAAGTTCATCTTGAGGCCGCCTTGTCATTTCGAAAAGCTCATCCTCCAGCCATACACTTTCACGCCTGACTATGGGTCGGCGTTCCCATGGGTCTGATAGGGTAATGGTTTCATTTTCTATTTGGGAATAGCTCGGTGGTCTACCAGTTTCACTCCATTCGCACTGGTTTTCTAAATCCTTGTCTAATATGTGACTTTGATATGTGGTAGAGTAAGACGGTGGTTTGAACGTGGTGAATGATTGCTGCGTTGTTTCGGAATCAGATCCCTGACTCGGTGGGGATGGCAGGAAGTTCACCAACTGCCCTTGATGTTGCTCTACATTTATGCGACTGTATCTTTTCAATATTCTGTAAATAAAAAGTCTTAAGTTTGTATATTGTTCCTACTTGAAATACTTAAATCTAGAATTTCTAACGTTAAATAACCCTAATGACAATTAGACTGTAGCATGCAATGCTTTATCAAATAAACGAAACATATTTTCATATTTTAAAAGTTCTTACTCGCCTAATACAATCGTAGTGTGAGTTTATAAATCCAATTTAGACAGATTCTATTTTTGAGAATATTAATTATGAATTTTTGCATATAAATTGAGTATATTTTTGAAAAAAATCTATCAATATAATGAATTAAATACCTTTCTGCCCAACTCGCAAGCCTCGGCCACTCATCTGGCACTACCGGTACTTGCTGTTTGTTCAATAGAATAAGCAGCTTTGCCAGGTCACTTAACACGCAACTGCATAATACATTAAAATATTTAATATAATAAACATTTTAGCATCATATTAAAATTTTAAAATTGAGGTTAATTGCTGCATGTAAGCCCCCAATTTTTAGGCAACGTTCGTATGAAAGCAAACTCATTACCGTAAAACCTACATTAAGTGTAGGAATTACATAAGGTAAAATAATTTAAAATATCTCTGCACTTGGTCTACATTGGAATGACATGAAAGATTTTGTTGAAAATAAATATTAAGGGCGCAAAAATTATTTCATTTTTCTTGAAAATTTAGATATATCATTATATATTTTTTTTTGATAAGTATATATTAATTTAGATTGTTCCATTGTTTAGTTAGTTGATTATATTTAAAGTAATAATTACTAGGGCCCACTTTATAGTTTACAATACGTTAATAATATCATTTATTTAGTAAGAATAACTAAATACCTGTAAGCCATAGCAGCGTCGTTATTACCAAGCTGATAGAGTTCTCGTACTTGATGCCTCGTATGGTTTAATATTGCCAGTAGAGTGTATGCATGGGGCTGAAGTCAAACAAAAGAATTTTAAAATGTATTACACTTAATTGATAACTAACACTTAAGTAATGAAAATTAATTTTAACTTTGGTTCGTATTCTGTAGAACAGTTTTTAGTAATAGCTTTTAAGCTAAAAATTAGTTAGGATAAAACATTTTATATATATAGAGTAGAATAACTTGTTTTGTTGTGATGATGATGATGTTCTCCTAGCCGATTCCGGCCACGGCGGCCAATCTCATTGAGACTAGCCAACTGGCAAGAGATACTATAGTGCTCAAGTGTACGCGCAGACACAAGTGCACTCTATATTCCTATCACTCTCATATTCCGGTGGGACGATTGTTCGACACGACCGGTGAGAGTTAAGGCGCAGGACCGACGGCTTTACGTGCTCTCCGAGGCACGGGGGTGAAACACCGCCAACTTTCCAACTCCGGGCTGTTACTGAGACTTACTATACAGAAAGACTCAATAACTAAACTTGGCCCGATCCGGGACTCGAACCCAGGACCTCCGAGTCTGCAGCCGTACATGCTAGCCACTACACCACCGAGGCAGTTAAAAAGAGAAAAAGTTTTGTTGTAATTAGTATATTATCATAGAGAAAGTTATAGGGAACTGAAACGGTTGTAGGAATTAATCGAGCATGTGAATTAATAGTAATCAAACGGTAAATCATAGCGATTGAAATTGATATATGCTCGTTTAATATTTGCGTATGGAATTTGAGTCCCTTGTTTTGAAAGCGTTTTCAGAGAAGTTGAAATTTACAGATACACTAAAATAAAATGATTACATTGGTTAATTACATATTTTCAGAGAAACTTTGAATGGACAATTTGTATTTCTATTACAGAATTATTTTAATTTTTTTTTTATTTTCGTTCGTTCATTTTTTATTTATTATACTTATTTATTATTACATAAGTATCAGGATCAAATCGTGAATGAATCATGAGATTGATAGTCATTGAACTGAGTTCTCGTTTCATCAAATATAACGTGATAGCAATCACTTTGGATACATTAATTAAGATATGTGCGACTGAGCATCTATGTGATTTGCAAACACGACTGGTTCAAACGACAGTGAGAGTGGTGTGAGGTAAGATCTCCTTTTATAACTTTCGAAAGAGAAACAGGGTATCATATCACAATCGTTCCTCGTGAATATAAGCATGTTGTTTTCACGCTACGTTAGGGCCCGTTCACGCTTCACCGAGGCGGCACGGCTATGGCAGAGTTACGCTTAGAACGTAAGTTAATTACGTGAAAAATAGAATGTAGGTCAATTTTGAATTTTATATTAACTATTTTAATATTCTTTAAGGTGTATAGTTTTAGGTCATCTTAATCAGGCTTGTACTCGTAAGTTTGTGGATACTATTTGCATATATAATAGTCAAGTAATAAATTTTTAGGCAGCTGTCGTTTTACTGGGTCTGTACTTTCGACTCAAAAACTGAAGTGTCCGTTTGTAATGTCAAAATAACAGTATTTATAAATAAAATACATTTTTTTAAAATTTGTCTCTCTGTCTGTTTGTTCCATTGTGTAATTTCCGAAACGGCTGAACTGTTTTGATGGGACTTTCACTGGCAGATAGCTGTTGTTAGAACGAATAACTTTACATTTATTTTAGAAAAAGAATTAGGGTTGCGCTCAAAAAATCAAGACGTTCCTAAGGACGCACCCGAGCAAAGCGAGGGTATGTCGCTAGGTTATTATAATCTATTTTTGTCAGTATTTTTATTTACTTACTCTTAAACAATCAAGTTGTTTATGAAACTCGCGGAGTTGGGCATCGTCATCCTGGTGTGGTTGAGGCACAGGTTGTGATTGCGCCCGCGCACCACTGCGGCATCGCGCGTACGCGGCGATAGCAGCCACTAAGGCAATACAAATTACAGCTCCGCAGGCACCGCCTACCAATACCTAAGAAAGAAAGATAAGATTATGATTGCAATACAAACTATTTATGATGCCGTATGCTATTTATTACTAGATGTTTGTGATTATTTGGTTTGATTTTGTGTTTATGTAATGGCTTAAACTACGTAGAGGTGTAGGGAAGTGAATTCAAAATAATATTTAAATTTTGTACAAATTGATACTTTTTAATCTATCTATTTCATGTAAGAATAGGTACCTAAATAGTACTCATAGGCTCATTACGCATCCGTGATACTTTCATTGACAGTTGATATAATAGTCATAATATTTGAAAGCTGGAATATTTGATTGCTATTGCTGTTTCGTCTATAAAGACGACAGATTTCCGCTTTTAAATCAAAGACCTACTATAATTATCATCGGCTTTGTTGTTACGAAAGAAAAATCGTGCGAAAATGTATGATGTATTGTTTCAGAAGAAACTCATTGATACATAGGTGATTCTAATAATATACCTATTGTCCTACTAAGTTTTTTATTATACTTATAACTAGTAACATACCCTGGCTTCGTTCGGGTGCGTCTCTTGGTACGTCTTAATTTTTTGAACGGAACCCTAATTCTCTATATAAAATAAGAGTAGCCTAAATTACTCCTTATAACATCAGCTATCTGCCAGTGAAAGTTTCGTCAAAATCAGTGAAGCCGTTTCGGAGATAAGCCAAAACATACAGACAGACAAAAAGTTTTAAAATTGTGTTTCTCTTATAAGTATCGTATATATTATTTCATATGCATTTAGTAAAAAACTGTTATTTTGACATTACAAACAGACAATTTAGTTGTATTTATCTGTACAGATGAATAATTTGAAGCAGTTTTGTAACAATTCCATATCGATATTTAAAAACCATTTTATGTTATTAATTATTGTTGTTTCGTAATAACACCTCGATATCTATCCAAATGTTAAAACTTGTTCTCTGCGTATCATTTTGTAAGCATATTTAAAGTAATCTAATATCTGATTATGTAAACGTGAGTAAGTTAAGAGGGATTTTCATTACGATTTCTTCACTCACTAGATTCATTGAATATTGCTTCATTTGTGGCGCATCAGAGCAAGGCTTCCAAATGTTTACGTGACTTTTGTTTGCACATCAAACTTGTGACCTATTTTTGGGCTCATCTGTTTTATATGTAGTTTTTATTCTCTAGCGGCATCTGCATTTCAAATTATCTCATACGATGTATACGCTTGTGAATTGAATGAACTACTTGTAGTGATGTTATAATTCTACCTTTCTACGAAATAACTAAGGTCGGCCATGATTTTTGTCTTAAATACATATATTATACTTACTCGTCTATACTGATATTATAAAGAGATTGAGTTTGTTTATTTGAACTCGCTAATCTCAAGAACTACTAAGCCGATTTGAAAAAAACTTTTTGCATTAAATGGCCCGTTTATTGAGCAAGGCTATATATAGGCTATATATCATATAATATATGTATAGTCTGTCTATTCTATACTAACCTTTAAAATTAAATTTAAAATTTAAAAATTAAAATGTTTCTTAGTGGGATTCCGAGTGAAGCGAACCCAAGAGTCTCTACTCGATAGTAATTTTGTAATTCTACTTTTCTACGCACGGGAAACTCATAGGTACATGGTTTTTGTTGCGCTGTTAGTGTTTAGATTAGTGTTGTAAAATATATAGTAAATAATTTAAATAAAATACGAAATTACTAGAGTCGGATATCAGTTTTTTTGTCTTAAATATATTATTTTATTTCATATATAACAATATTTAAAGGTCTCATTTCTAGATTTTTTATGTTAGCTGTATTTAATTACAAAAAAGAGATAAAGCATTACAAGTCTATAAATTAAAAAAAAAATAGCGAGTAACTGACTTCGTTATAAGTGTGGACGGGGTAGCACACGCGGCCCATGAGGTGGTCATCGTGCGCCCAGGCCTCGCGGGTGCCGGCGGGGCAGTCGTGCGCGCAGGAGCCCCCCGGCCAGACGAGCAGGCGAGCGCACTTGACACACCCGTCGGCGGCGCATCGCACGCACTCTGCACCGCATCCTGAGGATTCAAGTACCTTAATGAGCTTGGTTTTCATGAAATGACTATATAAAGTACTCGCGTGCTTTGTATACCAGTCTACAGCAGACTCAAATATAATTATGAAATGTTTTCAAGGATCGTGTCTGTATGAAATAAATATTTTATGATTTGTGACCATACGCACGTAGTACGTACATAATTTTCATATAAGGCACGAGGTATATTGAAATTAGTATCACAATCACATATTAGTTATCAGTTAATTATTATTAATTACATTCATTACTTGTGTTGGTGTACTCTACATCGGAGAGTAGGACATATAATTATGATGTTGGAAGTAATTTGTAGTACCTAACTAAAATTGTCATTGTGCAACTAATGTTCAATTTCAACACTTTCTAAAGGGAAAGCGGGCGCAATATGCGATTAGTGTGCCGTTCTATTAACGGGACTGACCGATCGAACAGTCAGCCACTGTATTTTATTCACATTACGCTATGGATCATTGTGTCAATGTTTGAACTCGCTCCCATTGAATTGTTCGGTGGAAATGCCTTTTTTAAAACGTATTCACATATTGAAGTTTATTGACATTTAGTTATCGACTAAAACGAGTACGCAATAAAAGTTGCTCGTTTTCTATTTCGTAACCGTCATTAATAATAATATGAAAAGGTGATGTTTGTAATAACGTATGATAAACAATTGTTCATTAAATAATAATAAATATGTTGGGACATTAACAAACAACACCATCTCGTTCCATGGTAAGCTACGAGGCTGGTGTTATTGATTCTAGATAGTTGATACACTACATATATATAACTTTAAATACATACATATTATAAATATAAACACCGATGACTGGAGTACAAACATTCGTGCTCATCACACAAATGAATGCCCCCAGCGGGATTCGAACCCGCAACCGCTGGCACAGCAAGTAGGGTTACTACACACTGAGCCAAACGTGTCGTCAACATTACAAACGTTGATCGTCGATTGTTCATTGAACATTACAAATATTTAAATTACAAACAATTACGTAAAATGTAAGTTTAAATGAATATGTTTAGGTGTAATCAGACCGAAGTTTCAAGGATTTTTATGTCTATTTTAATGAGACTAATATCCAGACCGAGACGAAATTTTATCCTCTGTCGAGTATTAGGCAGGCACCTACTTACGGCATGAAAAATTTTTACATACAAGTTTCATTTTAACTTGTGGACTACATATTTCACCAGGTTATTAGTATAATAGATAATATGAAACGTTTAAAACGAAACTAGCAACAAAAGTATATGTAAAGTTTGTCTTGAGTGGTGCAAGTAAGCGTTGGAGAATAAACACTGTAATTGTTAAATTTTCAATTGGTAATTTATTCCACATCTGTTTGCAATGGCGCCTAAAATATTGAAGCAAAAGGGGTTAGAATTTGATTTTATTGTGTTAATGGATCATATTATTTCAAATTATCCATGATATGTATGATATAATAGGGTGGTATCATTAAAGAAATGGAATATTATTGGTTTAACACAACTTTGCTAAGTTTATTCAAACATTTTCGATATAATACCTAAATCCACGCAGTAAATTTCTGCATACTATCATAAGTTCTATATTACTCTCCTAACCAACAGATATATTATATTTTATTATAATAAGCATTATAAATATAATACGAGCAGATAGTAACAAAAATTCATATTGTACGAGTTTTTATAGATTTTTAACCAAGGAAAGGAAAGCGGGGAGACATTTTTAGGCCAACTTGAGAACTACTAGTTTAAGTCGATGATTTGTGATGGCGTAATATTTTCCAAATCGGGCCGGCCCTTTCTCATCAAGATTTACAGTTTTAAATTAGCTATGCTTTATTACTTCAAATTAACTCTAATAGCTTGTCTTGTCGCTAGTGCCATCTGTTTAAAGTAGGTTTAGCTATTTTGAAGGTTTTAACTTTTAACAAATAAGCCGCCAGTATGACTTGACGATTTTTTTATAGCTTTTTAATTTAACACAGTGCAGTTATTTTGATATCGCAGATGGCTCAATTTAATTCATAGAGAAACCGTATTTAGTAGGTATAGATAAAATAAAATATATGCGTAGAGAGCGGATAAAGCGCAAAAGGATAATGAGTAGCTATTTAAATCATATGTAAAACTCTGTAAAAGGAAAAACTTTTTACTGAATTTGTATGAAATTTAAGTAGTTATATGATTTTAAATAGCCCCTTGTTCACTATAATGGGGGTTTTAATAGACTATTATGTTTTGCAAACTAATGAAATAATTAGATAAATGTACGTATATTATGTAGACTTGTAGCTTTGCGAGGGACGTTTTCCAATTTTGATATTTTGAATCATTTTTTTTTAAACATATTAAACACAATATAGTATATTTTCGTTATCTATGCCGTTAGTGTTTGGAGTATACTGGCTCTAGGTACTGTACAGAAGCTATCTGGACGAAAAGTTGAATAATCTATACACTTCAGATTGTAGGACTCACTCACGTGTATCGTTGATGGCAGGCGGCGCGTCGGCCGGGCGGAGTTGCGCGCGCGCGACCGTCACGAACAGGACCAGCGCCACCAACACCTGGTTCATCGCATTGCGCGACTCATTTTGTTACTGCGAAAGAGAAGGTTAAATCTTTATTGATTACTAGCAACTAAGAAGCTTATGTGTTAGTAGGCAAGACAGCCAGGCGAGAAGCCAAGCGACATACTGGGAGGCGGTCCACTTTGGTGGACTACCTTGTTGCTTGTTCCTGGTTATTCTCGGATAGCAGAATGAAGTGATGGGAGCAAACTCTTAGTTTCAGCTGTGTTCTGCTTCGGCAGGTCTCCTGGAGGGGCGTCGTGGTTGAATGTTTGAGCAATCCTGCGACGCCCCATTAAGACGAGGTTCCGTTGTTTTTTAGTGAGTAATACTGGTTTTTTCTAGCCAATGTGTTAAACATAATCACCTGTAGGTATGTTTGATTTGATCATGACGTATGCGTAAATGCGTTTCCTAAATTAAAAAAAAATGAAAGGTTGTAGTTTATACGCATTCAAATCCGTCCAGCTGCTTCAGCGTGAACTAGTAACAAACATACATACACATAAATATTTAAACTTTCGCAAGTATAATTGTAATCCTAATATTTAAAAATGTATGAAAAAAAACCTATTTATATATTCCTATTAATAGCGACAGGTGACATTTTAACGTAGGTAAGTAGGTCAGTAAGTCTGAATGCTTTTCGACTGGAATCCCATAAATTATTTTTGTATAAAACTCTACCACAAATCTATGTATGTACACATGTATCTACTTATATAGACTCTTTGCCTGTAATAGTCTTGCCGTGATTTTAAGTGTTGTATTTAATTTAATATTTATATTAGAAGTACTGGTAAATTATGAAACAAACAATTATTAAACTAGTATGTAAATATACTACAGTAGCGACTCACTCTCGCTCCGCTCGGGCTCGTCTCTAATTATTTTTTAACGTTTAGTATATATTTCTTCAAGAGGGGATATTTTCTCGCAGTAAAAAGTGTCCTATATGTTTTCCCGGCTATCATCATACCAAACTTCACTAAAATTTGTGCAGTGGTTTTCTCGTAATGCGGTCACAGACAGACAAGAATTCTAAAAATTATAAATTCGGCCTCTGTATCGATAATAATGACTATTTCAATAAGATTTTCCAAATAATATTTTATGTACAGATTCGACTCATTTAGAATTTTATTATATAGTTCATATATATACGAGTATAGATATTGAAGGTAAGAGATAAATAAAATTTTACAACCAAGCTTGGGTTATTCAACCTTTTAAGGGAGAGCCATGCCACCATGCCTGTCGAGCTAATTTGGGAACACGTCATATTTGTTTAAAAGGACTCCGTGACTTAATAATGATTATAATATGAACGTGATGTGGGTCAAACCGTTTCGGCATAATATAACCGTAAGACCGGTTTGCAAATTAGTTGACATTGGCATTCGACGCATGCCGGCGACGAGCTTTTCATACACACACACTAAATATGTTTTTGCCATTGTTATATCAAAGTAAATGATGACGGCGGTGTGTTAGTACACCGTAATTAGCATATATACGTATTACGTTACTTATTGTCGGTAAGTTTCGTCACACGGTTGCTCTACTCCGTTAACAGCATGGGGCTACAAGCGACATCAAATCGCTTGAGCTTTGAAAACCTTATGAGATATTGCCTTTAACTACAGAACTAGTTATTCTAGTTGTGCTGACACGCTTTATATCTTTATACTTATTGATATACTTCAAGGCTGTATTAATAATAAAAGGGAAAAAGGTTTTAGTTATAGTATATGTACCGTCGGTAAATAGAATAATTTAAAAAAAATATGTTTTAGTTATATATTATACTAGCGGCTCACCCTCGCTTCGCTCGGGTTCACCACTAGAAAAGCACAAACAGATCTATCCCACGGGAACCGTTCATTTTTCCGGGATGAAAAGTAACCTATTGTTTGACCATCAATATAAGGTATCAGCATGCCAAATTTTACTAAATTAGGTGCATAAGTTGTTGTGTACTAAACTGTATAAGCTCTTTAATTTTCTGGAATGAAAAGTATCTTAGATGTTGACCGGAGATATAAGGTACTACCATGCAAAATTTCATTTAAATCATTTCAATAGTTTCGGAGATTAGCCCGTACAAACAGACAAACAGACAGAGAAACAAAAAAATTGAAAAAAAACTGGATTTGTTCTATTTCTCTTCTTTCGGGATGTAAGAAGAGAACTGACTCGGTTTTTAGCATTTTTTTCTAACCTCTACAGTTTTATTACGTATAGAATAAATAACGTATAATAAAAAAGTAATATATAATAATGAAAATAGTTATAGCGAGTGTACCTTAGGAGATAGACATATACTATGTAGAACTTTTCTATAGACCTTTTTAAGACTTACAATTTTCTGGCACAATGTTTTCATCTATCTCTTAAGGTTGAGCGTTAGCCATATAAATTTCTAAGGACGATTCGATAGAACCAGTTATTGAGTTTTCCCGTGGGAATGAATAATTTGCCTGTCGTAAAAGGTATCCTAAATGTTGACCCGAGTACTAATTTATCACTATACAAATTTAGTTAAAATTCGTTCAGTACTTTTTGCGTAAAACGCGCACATCGATTTGACTAAGTTAGTTTTATTATAGGTATAGATAAGAATAGATATTGCTTAGGAGATATACATATACTATTTAGAACTTTCCTGTAGGACTTTTCAAGGCCTACAATTTTTTAGTATATTGTTTTGATGTATGTATGTCTTAAGGTTAAGCCAGCGGAAGGTTTCTAGGGAGGACTCGATAAAACCAGTTATTGTATCTTCCCGTGAAACGCGCATACAAAAACAGACAAATAGACATATAGGCAAACAGACAAACAGACATTTTTTTTAATAACTATTGTTTTGGGGTCTATGTTGTGTACATAATACGTTACAAAAAAACGAAAACAACTATCCCACGGGAACTGTACATTTTTCCTGGATAAAAAGTGACCTATTTGTTGTCCTGATGTATGACCTATATTATTGTAAAGTTACATCAAAATCCAATTAATAGTTTTTGTGTACTAAGCTGTATAAGTTACTATAGTTTTTTGACCGTCCCACGGGAACCCTTTAATTTTCTGGGATTTAAAAGTAGCCGATTTGTTATTGTCATGTATGAACTATATTTTTTTAAAGTTTTATTAAAATCCAATCAGTAGTTTTTGTGTACTAAGCTGTATAAGTTGTTATAGTGTTTTAACTATCCCACGGGAACTATTTAATTTTCCGGGATGAAAAGTATCTAAGATGTTGCCCGGGGATATAAGGTACCACCATGCAAAATTTCATTTAAATCGGTCCAATAGATTCGGAGATTAGCCCGTACAAACAGGAAACCAGACAAACAGCTCGCTCGGGTTCGTCCATACCTACGAATATGTTGTATTATCTCTTTAACCATTTGTCCAAATTATATGCAGTAAAAGGGAAAAGTCTTTTGTTTTAAACATTTTAGACGATAAATTTATTTATTTTGATAAGAATTCATAATTGTTGATAATATGACCAATAATCATGACCTACCGATTTAAATTATTTTTTTAATATAAAAAACTACTTTTTGTGACTTAAATATAAAAGTTAGACATATGCTGTCGCTGACTTTTTTGTAGGCATTATTAAGCTCTACAACTTTTCTCTAGAACATAATCATATATCTTTCATCGTTAAGGCAGCGTTCGTAAGAAACGTTTTCGTTCGACCGTTTTTTCTCCGACTTACTTTGCAAATCCGACTACCACGAAAAAGCCTTTTCATTCTTCGGGTTAATATATAGCCTATGACACTCAGAAAGAACGTGGCTTTCTATTGGTAAAAGAATTTTGAAAATCGGTTCAGTAGATCCAGAGATTACCCCCTACAACGTCACAAACTCACAAACTCACAAACTCACAAACTCACAAGATCACAAACTTTACCTGTTTATAATATTAGTATAGATAGTTTAAGTAGTGTATAATATACTTACCTTAGATGTAGGTGCATGAAATATGATGCAGAAAGATATAGGATGCAGATGTTAGATGTAGCACGTAATTAAGAGTCGGTTCAACCGATTGAAATGAAACTATGAAAATTTATACAATTAAAATTCTAACTTAGTCGAATCTGTACATTAAATATTTTTTAGAAAATGTTATTGAAATAGTCATTATTATCGATACAGAGGCCAAATCTATATTTTTTGAAATTTTGTCTGTCTGTCTGGGAATGCATCACGAGAAAACCACTGGACAGATTATGATGATATTTGGTATGATGATATCCGGGTTGCTGGTTATACAGGTCAACATAAAGCATGTCTGAGAAATCTATACTAAGTAATTGTTAAAACGTATCTAGGGGCGAACTTGAGCGGAGCAAGGGCAAGCCGTTAGTATACTCTATATTTTGTATCAAATAGCGCAGTGAAACGCTGAAATTATGTTTGTTAGTGATGTGCAAAAACAAATCATAGAGATGAAGGCAATCAAATGTAAGCCTCATATTTTTTTTTTAATTTTAATTACTATAATATTTCAATATGTGTCTTGTTTTGTTATGATATAAGTAATATTAATATTATATTAATAATCACATTTTTATCATAATATTTAGCATTATAATGAAAACGTAATTGCCTGGTAATCGTTTAATATTAAATTGCAACTAAATCCGCATTCGATTTAATGGCTTGTAGGCTAGTAACGTGACAACTTCCTTGCAAAGCTAACAGCCGTAGAAACTAGATTGCGCGATAAAAGTACAGTATATGCGGCAAAACATTTTATGACTTAGAGCTAAAATAAAAGATACCCTTTTAAAGACAACTGAGTGACCCCATTTTTATTACATTAAAAGTGTTATTCAGTAACCAATATATAGTTCTGGGGACACATGAATCCATGACAAATTTGTAACAAATTAATATTTATGTTTATCATACAATTATCTATCAAGTTTAGTGTATATGCCTATATATATAGATGTTTACAAAATATATAAAGCTAGACTCGTAAATTACATGATATATGAACTACTTAGAAAAAAAAGTTACATACAGACGAACATAGAACCTCCTCCTTTTTGGAAATCGTTTAAAAATGTATTTTGATTTATGTACTATAAATCACAACATATTTTCAGTCATTTTCATTTCAGTAAATTATTTTTCAGTTAGCTCATAACTTCATCCTTATCGTAAATAACGGATAATAAATAATTTTATTTGTTAAATTATATAATATTTTCTGTGTTGTTAAATTTGCTAACATGTTTAAAGATAAAGTTTATTGTCCAGGTTGAATAAAAGTAAGTTATTTTAGATGATTTTTATAGTCATTCATGGAGTGAGTCATCGTGTAGTTATTGAGTGAACAAACAATGTTCCCATACGAGTTTAGACTTCGAGTATAAGAGATTTTAATGCTCGTACTAAGTGCTTTAGTAAGAACTTATTTTTAACTGCACTCGGTTCATTTGATTTTAAAAGGCTAAGAACTCCAAACTGTTTTAATGAGTTGTTTCTTTAAAAATAATAACATTTCGTATTATATTTAATTTTTCAATGGATTATAAGTTATTTATAGAAAATCTACGTAAGTAGAGAATAAATAAGAAGATGTATGTTACTAAGAGAGAGTAGTTTTAGTTTAAAAGGTTTATATGAGTTAAGGCTAGGACACTTGATCAGGCAGTGTTAGAGTCAGCTTGACCAGCGCTGCAACGAAACTACTATGTTTCTAAAGTAATTAACTTATATCCATGTCAATGTCGGTAAGAAATACATTTAATTACAATATTAAGTTGGATGTGAGTCGAAAAGTAGTATAGGGTAAGACGTCTGTACTTGTAAATCAATAGATACCAAGATCCTACCTCCTTGCTTTGATTCATCAGTTATGTTACACACTGTAGTACGTGATTTTTTTTTATTGAACGATAGGCTTGCGCTTAACTACAATCAGCTCTGGGGAGTACTGATGAGGTCTAGGTTGGAGCGCGCTTGTCTAGTAAAATGCCTGTTCACTCTAGCCTTGAAGGTACTTGGATTGTAGGTGGCAGGAAACACGGATGCTGGAAGGGTGTTCCACTCCTTAGCAGTTCGATTCAGAAACGTAGAACTGAAGCGTTTCGTACGAGTTGATTGGATAAAATGTGATTTTATTTTGACGCTTCACTATGTAAGTCATCAACCGAAATTCCAAAAAAGTCTGTCTGTCTGAAAGTGCTGAGAGTTAGGAAGATATTTAAATAAAACTTAATAAATTTGACTCTACATTACGTTCCTTTAGATATTCCCGTGACATTTTCTTAATTGATATTGGCAAATTATAAAGGAAAAAGTTAAATTAAAATTTAAAACTCTCTTTGCTACCATAAAATTTAAATTTCAAAATATTCATGTTTATCTAAGTAGCTACTGTAGTTATTGAGATTTCGTGATTAATCACGGAGTCACGGAGTGAGTATGATTTCGTTTTTTCATAAACAGATCTTTGTTCCTCATATTTTGTTACAAGAACTTGTAGAATTAGCAAAGTAAAGACAAGATTTTACATAATGTTAAGATATCCTAGAAAATCTAGACTCCTTTTATGTTTGTATAAAATATTAACCTACATTGCAGCAGGCAAGCGGCGGACGTTACATTCCACGCTAATTGCATTTAGCAGGATTCATTACGTATGAAAAATCTAATATGTATTTATAATATTAGTTATTCATAATTAATTTTAATGAAATTATTCATATAGTATAAGAAGATAAAATTAGGTAGTGTAAATTAAAATTACTGGGAATTCTGTTAATTAATTTTTATTTGTGTTGGTTCAATGTTTGGGACGTGATGTAAGTCAAATAGACGGTATCTACAATTTTTGCCTATCGGTCAGTTTAAATCACCATACTTGGAATACAGGTATTTTGTACAACTTACAAGTCTTTAAGTATTTTGTAATACATACCTACATAAGTTTCATTTGGGAAGATACAAAGTTAGGGTTTGTACTAAACTCAATGAATACATATGTATATATGTATATATATGCACACAAAAAATATCAGCGTTATATATCTATAATAATATTAAATGCGAAAGTAACTCTGTTCGTTTGTCTGTACGTCACCTTTTCACGCTTAATCCGATGAACCGATATTGATGAAATTTATATATATGTATAGTCTCTTCTATACTTACCCTTAAAACGAGGGTGAGTCGCTAGCATACTAATAAATATACTAGATACATATTAGTAAATATTATAAACAACTAAGTTAAATAATAAAATTATTATTCTTATTCGAATAAACATATGACAGTGGTTATATTAATTTCGAGTAATAGAACTTATGTATTTGGTTACGTACGATCTCTCTAGTGAGAATTGTTTTATCCATGCGGTATAAAATTATTTGTAATTCACAATTTCTAATTAACTTTTAATGCTTTAATAATATATTTTTTCTATTTCGTTTAATTTGGTTTTTTAAAGTTTTTTTTTAATTTATATTGGTATTTTAGAACTGAAGGCTGTAAGCTTTGCTTAGTAAGGCAGAAGGACAAAATTTTATCTAAAGTATAGCAGTGTAGTATGGTAACAATACAACAGTGTAAAATATTTTCCGAGTTAGATAAAGGCAGTTCTAAATTAAAAAATACCTACAACATGTAAATAATAAATATTTATACTATTCAATGCTGAATCAATTTTAAAATGAGTTCTATATATTAGATAATTATTTTAAAAAAATACCAAAATATCAACTTTTATATAGAAACACAAATAGACTATAATGTAAGACCAGTCAGAGCGACGCACGCTGCGTCGCAAGTTCAGCGGCTCCGGTGAAAGTTGCTGTGACGCATTTTGTGCTCAGACTAGTACCCTAGCTGCTAACATAAACAAAATATTTTGTAACGTAATTGAAATGCAAATTCAAAAGGAAGTTGTATTTTTTAATATGATTGAATGAATATAAGTAAATTAAGATTTCTCATAAGGATGATACATAATTTTGATATATTACTTTTATGAAAGTTGTTTTAGAATAATTCTGGTACACTACCTTGTTTAGCAAGAATTAATATTAAAATTAACTTAATTTAATCTAGTTTAACAAAGTACAGTAAATATTATGTGCATGTGTAAATATGCGCTTTCTATACTTTGTGTAGTTTAATGGACTTCCCAACGTGGTATTATTTTAAGATGAGACGATGAAGACCCTCCGTCAAAAGGCCGGATGTGTTGTTGGAACACATGCGGGTTGCCAGATTTATAGGATTTTTAATTTATTGACATGTAACTTATTATCAAACAGTTTTAGTAAATTAAAAGAATAATTCCAAAACTGATGTTTTCGTTAAGTAATATTTTCGTTAAGTAATTATTTCTCTAAAAATATTGTTTACTTTATTGAAAATTGTTATCCAAACATGAAAGGGATAAAAAATTAAGTGAATATTGTAAGAAAAAATATATAATTATTATATAAAACACTTATATTATATTAAATAGTCGTAAAGCACAAAAACAAACTATGGAAGTTTACTACATTCCACTTTAATATGGAAAACATTTTTAAAATATATGATTAAGTAATAATTAAAAAAATATATTATAATCATAACATTAATTTGATAAATTGCTAATACTTAATGAACCACTGATGTTTTTCATTTCTTCTCGAACAGATCTAAAATAATTTTCAGTTTCCTCTTCGAGGTCATCGGTAGATTCTTCGACGATAGTTTCACTTGTAGCCTCTGCTTCAGTGCGAGCTTTTAATCGCAGTTCTTTAACTCTGGCGTCCAAAATATGTTCACGTCTCGTTTCTCTATCATACGTTTGATGCATTAGTTGTTTATCATTAGGACCAGATATTGTCATATTTTCAGATAAGTGTAGTAAAAATAACGATCCGTTGTTGTCGCCGGCAGCTATAAACTTACCTTCAGTGTGAGGGACTACTTTAGTTAGGCCATATTTCGATATATGTAAAGTCGCCACTGGCTGTTTATATTTCCGAAGGAGATCCCAGTAATAAAATACGCCATCTTCAGATACGACCATGTAGCTAGAATATCTTAAAGGTGCCCAAGCAACATCAGTAACTTGGTAACGATATGGCTTAGATACTATTATAGGAGCTGTGCGAACTTCCTCACTCCATATGCGAACATTCCAATCTCCGCATGTGATAAACATCCTTAAAGTACACGGACTTCGATGTACAGCTCTTACGGGTCCCGCGTGTGATTCCCAGTAACAAGTTAATATTTCAGAATGACTTCTTCCCATGCGATTAGCATTTATAACAAGTCCTGATTCTGTACCGCATAAAAATTTTGTTGGTAAGCCCCGATCAAACTGTAAGGCACTAACACCTTCTGAATTATTCAAACTTGGTTTTTCATTAGCTCCATGTTTAACTGACATTGGCAAATGATCAATAGGTTGAGAAAGATTTCTACTATCCCACCAAAGGCATTGCCCATCTGGAGAACCAGTAAAAAATTCAGTATTTGTTCGTGAATGTGTGTAAAGTAATGCTGTAACTGGACCAAAATGAGAGTTATATATAGAACTACTGCCTACTGAATTAGGCCCTACACGAAAATCAAAAACGTTAACTATACCGTTGTTAAGTCCTGTTATTATGATATCAGATTCTACTGGAGAACTTACAACTTGCCAACAACCATGTTGGGGTAAAAAGCTTAATATGGGCGTAGTTTGTTTATTTAAATCCCATACGTAGCATACGTTTTCTTGTTTTGTGTCTTCATATATAGGATACTTTTTGTGACAGTAAGATGCGATTAATTTTGGTTTCTTTTCGTTTGTCCATGTAAAGCACGATATGGGTCGATGAGATGGATCTCTAAATATGTTAGCTATTTGGACTTTATACTTTTCGACTGGTGCCTGAGCTTGCATTTCTTTGAAGTATGTTTGATACATATCGATTGCATTGTTTTGATCAATAAAGTGCTCTATAGGAGGTCTTAAGCTTAATACTGATTGTACATAATTTTCCTCGTGTTGCACTCGGCGTCGATGGCGTGCTAGGTGATCTTCGTTATAGAGATGAACATCACGGGGCCACCCACCTTCTGTGTGATTTATGCCTTGTTCATTCGTTATGATTGGCTTGGTGTTGCTATCATTCTCCGATAACGGCAACGTGGCTTGAGTCTCCCGGTGGACAGGATTGCGAAGCATATATTCCTGTTGCAGCGCATAGTCTGGATTTATAGAATCTATTATATGAGCAGGAACTGATTGAAACAGAGGTTGCCTGCCAAAGCTCTTTCTTAATTTAGTGTACTCATAAGTTGATTTTGAATAACTTCTCATCTTCATTATTCTTTAAACGATTTACTAATGTATAATAATGAGAACTTCACATATTTTTATTGGAAAATCGACGAGGCCATGATATAACGACGTATAAGCTTTGTCTAGCAACATATGTGTCCTTGCTTCATGAAATATGTTTGTATATATGTCTAATGTAAATATAAAATGTTGAAATATAATTTATGCAAATTAAAATGTACAAAATGATTTTATATTATTGAGTATACTATTTTGTCAACAAATAAAATTAGTTACGTTATATTAATAATACAACATAATTTTATTATTAATGTAATAAAACTTCGTAGTAAGGAAATATTTGAAGAATAGAAGTAATTTTCGTTATTTTATAATAACTAAGGACGTGTAGGAATGCTTAGCTATGTTATGTAGTATAGGAATTAATATTATGTTTACGTTGCATGAATGGATGGCTAACACGATTAGAAGCTGTTGTATTTCATAATTTCCAATCAACATAAAAATAATTGTTAAATATTCATTACAGAAGCATGAGGAAACAAATAAATGTTAAAACAATCATTTAAATTACATTTATGAGGATATTTCAATACGTACGTTCTTATCGTATTCTAAAGTTATTTTGTAATATTCATAAGACTAAAATATTTAAACTTACTGTAAAAATGAAATCGCAATCCAAAGAAAATCTGTTAGGTATACCACATAAACAATTCACATATTTTAACTGAGACTGACAGAAATTGATATTTACAAACAATATTGGTGTAACACAGTCACGACACTTGTAGCGCTTTAGAAAATATGTGGTTTCGAAAGGTAAATGCGCGCGCGCCGTACGGTGCCGTTTTATCGGAGACTCGCGCGTGACTGGAAGTAAAATAACGATTGTAGGCTCAACTCTCAAGCTATGGGTAGAGTATGTACCTACTAAGACTGGTTTGGTTCATTTGAGTTCTTCCACTCATATTGTGAGTTGTGACTGATGATTATGTAGCTACTTTTCTATTGATGTGTGCTTGTTTCCAATGCACTAGATCCGGGAACTCAAAGCATTACCGTATTTGGGACAGCATACAGTTCCTGAACCTATATTATGACATGTATTGTGCTATATTCAGACGGTTTTATGTAAGTTTACTAATGGTTGTGTATTGTGTAATGTTGTGCCAAAATTCAAGAAATATGGTTTGAATTATCATTTAACTATTGATTTTAATTAATGTTATGTGTTAAATATTTTCTTTTTAAACTTTTTTAAGAAGATGAATTTGTTTTATACTAATGCCTTATTTTTCTTTTTTCATATAATCCTCGGTATCATTTATTTTACCAGGATAAAGAGTTAGTATCTCCAGTCTGAGAACAAAAGACTAAATTATTATCACACTTTCATTTATAATTTCATGACGGCCAACTTCAGTTGTAGACTAAATCAACTGAAACGCAAAAATTAGTATTTTAATGGGGTTAATTAAAGTACAGAATATCGTTTAATCGTGGTCAAGAGTTAACTGGTATAATTGGTCATTAGATGGTCTTAGGATCGAGTGCTGCCGTTAATTGCTACTTGACTTAAGGTCACTCATATTTGTGTTGACATTTTGTTCACAAGTTTCCTATCATTGCATAAAAATTGTGATTAGCTGTTATCTTTTCATTAATAATATATAATTAATTAAGTATTATCTCTTAGTTTTTCGGATAATTGATCAAAAATTAATTACTTTAGCAGTATTTCTTGTGTACGTGTGTCTCTTATATTGGAAAACTAAACAATAATGTAGAGTTTGTTTTTATACAAAGGAATTAAAATATGAAGTATATACATAGGTATATATATTTGCTATATATTATATAGCTATGTAATATATGTGTAATTATTATAAATATATTAATACTTGAAGCAAAAACTTTGTACCTATTTTTACGAAAATTGCGCGGACGGAGGAGTATGAATTTTCCCACACTTATAGTTTATATATATAGAGAAGGAGTGCAGAAAATCAATAAAAAAACATTACACACACTACCATGTATTAGATACACACAAGCATATATACTCTTTTGTTTATTGTTAAAGTCTGTGGTCAAATTGAGAATTATTATGTATTAATACGTGAAGCAAAAACTTTGTACCTATTCCTTTTTAAGAAAATTACGCGGACGGAGTAATGTGAAATTTGACACAGTTAAAGTTTATATGGAAATATAGTGTAGTAAGCTAATATTTTTATATAAAATATATTAGAAATACATTTATATTAATTAAAATAAGCATTTTGTTTGTGAACCGATCTGTTTATTTTTTGTTTTAGTTTAATAGCTATTGACGAGCTTTAGTTTTATAAATAAAAAAAAAACAATAATAATCATGGTCGAAGTTCGACCACTCCGCGGACTCTAGTTATAAAAGAAAGCCTCTTACGTCTAAAATGACACTGATTCATACATTTACAATATATGTATGTACATTGTACATGCGTACCTAGAGACAACCGTATTGTGTATTTATATACCTCCATTCACATTATCATCTACTAATTTTCTGATTTTAATTTATTAAGTATAAATTATCCTATAGGAATATATAAAATGAACTATATTTATTTATTTTATTTATATATAATAAAAAAAAAATAATAAAAATAAAAAATGGCTCCTCGATGCCATTTAGTTTTTGTTTTGCATATTCATACTGAGTGAAACATATAATTTTATAAATTTCGATATAAATAGAACCCGTTATTTCGGTTGAATAGAGTTCGACTAAGTTTAAAGGTATAACGTAGACACGGTATTGTTATTTACCGTGACGTAGATGCAGTTTTAATTATATTTAGTATACACACATTTGTCTTGAATCGCAATATTATTATACATACGAAAATTTATGAAAAGGTATATATTAAATATACTTGGACTTCACATTTTATATTGACCTATCCACCACGAACTACTATGCGAAATGGGCCTCGATCTAAAACTCATTTTTTAAATACATAATGGTAGTGAGTACTAAGTATTTATGTTTGAAGCGTTATGTTCACGAATAAATAGAATAAATAAAAAATAAATAGAATAAATAAATAAAACATGTTATTTATTAAGTTTTATCTAAGGTAAGTCCATCAACAACAAAACATTAATAGCGCTTGACCAATTACATCACGTTTTAATAATTCAGCCAGCTATGTACGTGATTAATCCTATTATTGGAAACGCAATGGCTTTACCATAAACAAATGTTACTTTAACTTCAGTAATAAAAGTAATAATAAATACACATTAGTAGTAAGTTATATTTTTCTATACACCGTTGTTGTGTTTTAATAAGAAATATTTTTTTCTATATCTATGTATACGTATACGTCTGTTTCTATGGTAACTTCTCATAAACTATGCAAAAGATTTTGATACGGTTTTACTATCATGTAGAGATTTTTTCTGGAAGAATTATATGTATGATGTTCTCCTGACCGCTTCCGGCCACGGCGGCCAATCTCATTGAGACTAGCCAACTGCGCAGGAGATATTATAGTGCACAAGTGTACGCGCAGACACAAGTGCACTCTCTATTCCTGTCACTCTCATACTCTGGTGGGACGACACGAGACACGACCAGTGAAAGTTAAGGCGCAGGACCGACGGCTTTACGTGCTCTCCGAGGCACGTGGGTGAAACACCGCCAACTTCCCCACTCCGGGCTGTTACTGAGGCTTAATATACAGAATTACTCAATAACTAAACTTGGCCCGACCCGGGACTCGAACCCAGGATCTCCGGGTGTGCAGCCGTACATGCTAGCCTCTACACCACCGAGGCAGTTATATGTATAATACATCAAAAAAAATGATGTCATATGTACATATTTTTGGGCGCTTACATTGCTAATTTTTAGCCAGCGTTAGTAATGTAAGCGCCTAATATATAAATGTTACTAGATAATAATGGGTTCTTACTAAGATATTTTAAATAATACCATATTAATGATTTTACAATTAAATACATTAAATACTTTGTGCATTTAATATAGATCAAAATTGCCTTTTACAGCATGCATATAATTAAAATGAATATCCTAGTACCTAGATATCACAGATTTAAAATTATCGCTCGTAGCGAAACGGCTAGGGCTGGCTAAACCTTTAGAGATATATATGTATGTATATCAAAACAATGTACTAGATTGTAATTTGTAGGTCTTAAAAAGGCCTACAGAAAAGTCCGCGGTAGGTGTCTACCTCCTAAGGTACGCTATTTTTATTTATATAAAATGTATCTAGCGTACTGAAGCGAGGGTACGTTATAATATAACTAGCATTGTCCGCGGCTCCGCCCGCGTTCAGATGACCAAAAACCAAATTTTTAGGTTTTACATAGTATTTACATATATACTCTTACATTGATGTTTTTGTATTTTTTTAAAAAAATGAGATATTTTCTCGCGGTAAAAAGAATCCTATATGTTGGCCCGGATAAACAGCTACCATTATACCAAATTTCATCAAAATCCCTCCAGTGGGTTTTCCGTGATGCGGTAACAGACAGACACAAAAATTCTAAAAACTATTAGATTCGGACTCTGTATCGATAAAAATGCCTCTTTCATTACGATTTTCCAAAAAATATTTAATGTACAGATTCGACTTAGTTACAATTTTATTATATGTATAGATTAGTACATAGTCCATGAATAATTATTATTTGACATATTATACTTTCAGCGATTAATGTAAAAAAATATATTTAAAGTACATAATGCAAATGTGTGTGAAAATAATCGAGAAATCTGATTGTTGGTTTTTCCTTTATAACATAACAATGGACTTAAGTTCTTGGATTATAATAAAAGCTAATTTGCCGAAGAAGTAGTCCTAGTTGAAGAAGATCATAAAGTCTTTCTGGCCAAAGTGTGAGCTAAGTAAAATATTAGTTCCTATTAGAAAAAAAATGTTTCATTTGTTTGTTCATTTTGTTTAAAATATTTATCATAAAAAATATTTGAATTGGAATTTTCA